GGGGGGGGGGAAGGGGGGGAATCATACACCTGCACGGTCCACCAGGCATCGGAGTGCGTAGGTCCTGGTGTACAGGTTGGATACTACCTTAGTGTAGAACTGGAGATATCCTAGGAGGTAGGGGCCTGATGATAACGGGGGGTCTAGACTAGACTAGATCAAGCATGTGCTTCCGGGGACGCAACCTAGGACGGGAGCAGGGTGGTCCCCAATCAAAGTTATGTCAAGACTTTGATATTGAGGTTTGGCCTCAAAGGTTAATCAAAATAAGGTACCTACCTTACCTTATCAATCAATCAACCTCCCAGGTTTTGGCAAACTCTTGGCAAACCAACCCTAAGGCCTCATCAATTTTGGGTTTGGATTAACAACTTCGACTAGGGTCAACTGTCAACAAACATCACTTTCATGGCATGCCGAGCGCTGTGAACTGCTCAGTGCGGAAAACATACTTTTGCGCCATTTTCTGCAAGTCTCGACATTACGAACGATGGTCGGGCGTTGGCCATGCTGTTGTGCACCTGGCAAGACACGTTGTCGGCGCCTACAGGGAGGTAGGTATCGATCGATGCTCGTTATCGAGGATATCGTCGAGAAGCCTGTCTGGAGCTGAGCCGAGCGACGTTGCCGACGGCACATAACTGTGTTGGCAGCTCCCAAAAAAAAACAAAAAAACAAACAAACAAACAAGCCAACAAACTTTGTCGACCACCCCATTGACAAAAAGTGCAGGGCAGGGCAGGGCAGGGTGAGATGCTTCCTTCCACTTGCACTTCCAGGTGAGCCCGAACCTGGACGCTGGAGCAGTGGAGAGGCTTGTCGCCTATCGCCAAACGATACATGTAGGTAAGATCGTAAGACGGCTATTAATACCCATCTGCCCTCCCGCCGACGTTGGTCGTTTATCCCGTTGCTTGTCCTCATCGCCATTCCAAACAGCATATCAGACTTGAAAAGACGGTAAACAGACACACTCGAAGGCCCAAGAGTCATCATGGCCGAGCCCAGCGCTCAGTTCCTCCCAGGAACCCTCCAACTGTTTGTTCGAGGCGAATCCGGTGATCTTCACGACCAAGAACTCATCATCTTGAACCCAACACCAACCAACAGCCCCAATGATCCCATCAACTGGTCACCACTGCGAAAATACTGGCACGCAAGCCTCGTCCTCTTCGTTACCGCAATGACAGCTGCAATTTCCAACGATGCCGGAGCCGCTGGTGATGGAATGCTGGACGAGCTGGGCATTTCCTACGATGTAGCAAACACAGCTGCTGGTGTCCTGTTCGCATCTATCGGATACTGGGCTCTCCTGGCTTCTCCTATGCCTTGGCTGTACGGTCGACGGATTCAGTATCTTATCTGCCTGACCTTCGGTCTGGTCGGATCGATCTGGTTCGCCCGGACGCAGGGTATACAGGATTCGATATGGAATCAGATGTTTGTAGGTGCATCAGAAAGCTGCGCAGAAGCTTTAGCGCAGCTCTCGCTCTCGGACTTGTTCTTCCAGCATCAGCGTGGGACTGTTCTAGGACTATACATCTTAGCTACCTCGATGGGTACATTCTTGGGGCCACTAGTTGCAGGGTATATCGCCATTGACAGCTGGCGATGGGTGGGTTGGACAGGTGCCATCGTGTGTGGATGCTCGTTGGTTGTCTTTTACTTTGGTCTGGAAGAGACAGCTTTCCAGCGGGATGTCGTTCTCGGTCTGCCCGGGCCTCGTCCATCGGTCTCGGTGGCCCCAGGTGACAAGAAGGATGTGACTGGGGAAGTAAACGAATGCCTCGATGCGAGGGACTACAACGACAGTGCTCGGGTCGGCGTGGACTGCAAAAAGTCGTACAGAGAACGCATCGCACTCATCACACCCGCACCGAACCTGATCGGTACAGGATTCAAGCAGTATTTCTACCGCCTCTGGCTCATCCTCCGCGTCTTCACCTTTCCCGGTGTCCTCTATGCCGGACTCCAATGGGGCGCCCAAGACGCCTGGCTCACCTTCTACCTCACCGTCGAGGAAGACAACTACTTCGAGCCGCCGTGGAACTACAGCAACCAAGCCGTCGCCATTATGAACATACCCACTCTCATTGGCGCGACAATAGGCTGCATCTACGGCGGCTGGTTCTCCGACATTTTCGTCAAATGGATCGCAAAAAGACGAGGCGGAATCTCCGAAGCCGAGGATCGTCTCTGGTTGATGTATCTCTCTGCAATTATCAGTCCCGCAGGATTGATGCTTTTCGGCATTGGATCTTCCCAAGCGTGGAGTTGGCCTGGGCCATACATTGGGTTGGCCATGTCGGGCTTTGGTTTCGGCTGCGCGGGTGATATTTCTATGTCTTATTTGATGGATGCGTATCCGGACATGGTACTGGAAGGCATGGTGGGTGTAGCAGTCATCAATAATACCATGGCTTGCATCTTGACGTTCGTAGCGAGTCTTTGGATTGAAGCAAGTGGTTTGGCGAACACGTTTATTGCAATCGGAGTGTTGTCTTTGGTGTTCCACTTGACGACGATCCCCATGCAGCTGTATGGGAAACGATGCCGGAGATGGACGTACGGTAGGTATCGGGAATTCTTGAGATTGCGTGATGATTGATGTGTAGGTATACCAAGATTGCAACGAGTGGATGGGGATGGCGGGAGAGTAACGACTGCAGATGGCACCAGGGGCATCCGAAAAAGACGAGAAGAGGCTGTGCTGTGGAGGCGTGGTTACATACCTTATGCATCAAATCTTCATCAGATATGCATCAACGTAGCCATGACGATCTAAGATTCTTCTCACTCGCCGGTGCAAGCTGCGATTGTATTCCAAATAATGTACTAAAAGCTGCGGTGGGAGTTGTCGAGGTCCAAATCTAAACTGGAAGAATTTACATGCCTGAGGCCTTGAAATTGCTGATTCAGCTCAGTCCTCACAATTACATCCTTCAATCCAGATAAGTTCCCGTAACTATACCTCCAAGATTTGTAAACGATTAATAAGCACTCTGCTCGCGTCGTTTATGACTCTAAAGTAGCAGAGAAAGAATGAAGCATTACGTTTAGGACTGATCGCGCTCCAAGCTTTAGTAGGCAGCACTAGGCGTTCTAGAAGCTTTTATAGTGTTATAGGATCACATACTCGTAGAGAGGACTAGAATCTAGTAGAAATTGTTTACGCGTGAGGCGTGAGTGGCTGGATTCAATATTCGAGTATTCTCTAGAATCTTCGGCTCTGGTAGCAAGTTATGAAGTAGGCTCCTCTAACCTAATAATGACAGTCTTGACACCCCTAAGGGAGTGCAGACGATCCTAGGTAAATGCTAAAAGATAATTCGAATTCAAGAAGATAGCTAGAGACTTTAGAAGGAGAGACTAGATACTATTTGTTGTATCTTTCGAACTTCAAAGAGGTACCCTAGTTCTATACTATAAGGAAGTGCCCAAACCGGCATCTTGTATAAAACAAATATTCTATTGATCTACGTAAAAGAATGTTAAATTTCTGGATACTCTAGCTAATTGTCTAGACATCTGACCTACCTCCGTTTCTCTGGGGTTTCGCGTTGCCCTAGTATAAGATAGTGAGACTTGTCTTACTCTATATACTATTGAAATCGATTATGACGACTATCCTACTAAAGTAATACAAATCTTCCCAAATCTAGGGCTAACTTATATAAGTTTAGATATATACTAAAATATATTGGTTTATTGCCTAGATAGAGGGCTCCTAGGCGTATAAACTAGAATCGAGCTTCTCTAGGAATTAGACAAGATATTAGAGCTAAATAGAAGTAGCCAAGTTAGCCCTATACTACTAAGTACTCTATTTATTCGGTCTAGGATAATTAAATTAAAACCCCTCTCTAAGAGCTAAGACCATATATAGTAAGTAAACAATATACTTAGGGGTAAAGCCGACTTCTAAGCAGATCTAGTAGATAAGCGGCTAATCTATAGTTAGAGGGCCCCAAATAAGATTGCGCTAGAGAAGCTGAATTTAGACGATTAGAAGCGATATATCAAGTAGGTATTGGCTCTTAAGGCGGAGGAGGTTAAGCTTATCTTGCATAATAAGACTCTACTTGATTTTAGGGGATATAGAGACAAGAATTATATATTGGTACTAAAAGGAGTTGATGTCTACTTAGACTAGTTTCACACTCGCTTTTTAAGAATACAATAGGCGTGTCCCTCTAGAGACTCCTCTATAATATAGGGTAGTTGTTTAGCACTATTATAGAGTTTGGGCTCTATACCCTTATAAGGAAGTGTATTACAAAGTAAGAATACCTGTTGCTAGAATAATCAAGGCCTTAAACATTAAATTTTTTACTATAGCTATAGCTAGTTTAGATACTCTACAGTAATAACGAACGCTTACCTAGGTATGTCTATTGTATTCCTAGGCTCCATATAATAAATCAAAGCACGTAGAAAAACACTCAAAAAATGCTTTGAATTTGAGAAGATATCTAGAGACCATAAGAAAAAGATTCTATGTACTCAAGATTATAGAAAACCTGTCCTATTCTATACTACGAGGAAGTAGAATGTTTAAAGCCAGCTAAGTAGGTATTTATCATAGAAGACAATATCGGTATCTAGTATAAAATAGGGAGAATCCTAGACCTATCAGATACCACAGCTAAGTCTGTAGATATTTAACCTATTTAGCATCTATAGAAGGACTGAGAAATCTTGTATAGGAGTCTCGCTTATTTGTAATAAGTAGTGTAGCTATAATATAAGAAATAGCTAAAGATAATATAGTATAGATATAGGTAAAGAGTATGGACAAAGACAAATACATACTAAGAAGGCATGATTGAGCTATATCTAAGGACTATAATATAGATTGAGACAAGTAGACTCCCTATATATAGTTAGAGAGATATCTCTAAAATAGTAATGTTCTATAGTTTTGTTCTAGTATAAATCTATGCTATGACAACGTAGACTCTCGGAGGTATAAGGTATGTATAGAAAGACTATAGGAGGCTTATATAGAAATTTTGTTTGTATATAAAAATGAGTATGGCTATAGTATATAGAAAAACGATATATTAAAAACATTAGGCAGGGGATAAGGTGATAGACAGTCATTGAATCGTATAAATAAATATAACACTTTCCAACGAACCCTCGTAGGAGAAAAGGTATTAAACTTTATCTATAGTAAATTCTGTATAGACTAGTAGACGACCTAGCTACTGAAAGACACTTTACTATATAGAAACCTAGGAGGGATAAAGAAATAGTTGAATTAGCTAAAAAAAAAACAGATATTGTATAGTTAGAGACTAATACTTAGCTCGAATCTACTAATTATCCATTAAAGGGCCCCTAGAGTAATCTATTACTAAGGTAGGTCTCTATAACTAGTTAATACCTAGGAGAGTCCGTAAAGGAAGAACATAGCACAAGAGTACTTGAAAACGCTTTGGATTCAAGAAGATATCTAGAGACTATAAAAGGGGGGGATTAAATACTATATCATATATACTTAAGATTATGGAAACGTAACTTATTCTATACTACGAGGTAAGTTTTTATGATAGAAGACAATATTAGTATCTAGTATAGCCCCATCAATTTGCGTAAAAACATTGAATTTCTAGATACCCCAGCTAAGTCCCTAGATATTTAACCTATTAAGCATCTATAGGATGACTATAAAAATCTTGTATGGGAGTCTTGCTTATCTAGAATAAGTAGTGTGACTATAGTATAAGAGACAGCTAAAGATAACAAAGTATAGATATAGGTAGGGAGTAAGGAAATAGACAAATATATACTAAGAAGGCAAGATTAAGCTATATCTAAGGACTATAACATAGATTAAGACAAGTAGACCCTCTATATAGCAATAGATATAAAGATAGTATATAGTCAAAGAGATGTTTCCAGAATACTAACGTTCTACAGCTTTGTTCTATTATAAATTTATGCTAAAACAACTTAGACTCTCGGAAAAGCGGAGGTATACAGTACATATAGAAAGACTATAGGAGGCTTATATAGAAAGTTTGCTTGTATATAAAAATGAGTATAGCTGCAGTATATAGGAAAATATTATATTTTAAAGATAGGTAGGGATAGATAGTTATAAGTCGTACAAATTAATTTACAACACTTTCAAAAGAACCCTCGTAGGAGAAAAGGTAGTGAACTTTATCTTTGGTAAATATTTGTATAGACTAGTGAACGGCTGCAAATTTATAGCTTTAGTTAAATTATTACTACTTAGTATAGATCGGCGATTAAGCCTAGATTGACTATATCTTATACAGAGCTATACTAAATACAAAGTTCAACATAGTAGCTAGTTCTATCGCGAATAGATGTCGTATCTCTTTATACACCTATATTATAAGCTTCGAAAGGATGGTATTAAAGAGCTGGATTTAGACGATAGGAAGTAATATATTAGGTAGGTACTAACTTTCAAGGCAGAAGAGGTTAAGCTTGTCTTCGAAGCTTAATCTATATCGAACTTATAAGGGCTCTCTATATTATCGTCTATCTCTTATACCTATTGCTGTCCTTGTGCTCGTCCCTATCCTCCTCGTCTTCCTTGTCCTCTTCGTCCTTTCTAGGTACGTATAGGTAGTAGTAGTATCTAAGCCTATATTATAGTAAATTAAGCTTAGAACTCGGCGAAGTTGGTTAGCAACGGATGCTAGCCTATACGTTACTAGCCTCTGCGTTACTAGCCTATACATTACTAGCTTACGCGTTTCTAGCCTACGCGTATAATTTATAGTACTCGGCAAGGTAGTTCTAGAGTAGTTGTTGGTATTTAGTTACTATACTATAAATATTCTTATAGCTACTATAAGGTAGCTTATAATAGACGTAGTATTCTATACCCTAGCTAGTTTAGCCTTCTTACGATCTAGTTATAGGTTGTAGAATAGCGCGAGCTTTATAAAGGAGGTTAGAGTTATTTAATAATACTGCCTATAGCTTTAAGCCTTTATATATGCTCTTACCGCTAGAGAATATATTAATACCGAAATAGCATAGTTTGTTTATCTATACTTTTATGTACTTCTCTTTATAAACCTACTAGGCTGTCTATAGATAGCGTACTATCTTCTACTAGCGTTCTAGTATGTCTTTACTATAGTAGTAACAATAGTAGGGTTATTAATAGGCCGGAAAATAATATTTAGCTCTTCTAATAACATACGTCTGCCTTTATAGCTATAAATACAGCTCTATATATAGTATTGAAGTCCTCGTCGTTATTGCTTTTAGGGATATTATTCTATGTGTATATAGTTTATTCGTTAAGGGCTATATAGGTGTATTATTGAATACCTCTTTGGTTAGTATATATCGGTATTATCTCTTAGTATATATCTATTAGTCTCTTTCTTCTTCTGCTCTTACTACTGTATTTATATACTAAGTATATAGTATATTATTAGTCTATAGAAATACCTCTATGAATGCGTTTGGACTATTAGTCTTGTATCCGTCGAAGAGTCGCTAGAGTTGCTAAAACACCTAAATATAGCCCTTCTAGGTCTCGTCCGGTATAAGTATATATATAAGCGGAAGAACGGTTCTAAAGCGTAAGACGAAGTTGAAGTAGAGTAGTAGTCGCCTTAATTTAACGTCATTATAAGTGCAGTTATAAATAAGTACCTTAGCGTTCTTCTTATGTATTTCAATAAGCTCTAGGTATACGAAAAAAATATATTCGAGCCTACGTTTATATTCTTTGTAGTTATAGAAGTATCCCTATTTCTTAAATAGTAATAGCGTTTGATTACCGGGAGTATTGCTACTAATAAGCTTTTAGCAACTCTTAGCGAACATATTATAGATATCGCAGTACTATAGCTATACTAGTAAGGCCTACTTTAGTAGCAAACTCTGCCTTTGCTATAGTACGTATTTATACTAGCGAAATACTAGTCTTATAGTATATCCAAAGGAATTCGCGGAAGCGTTACTACGCTATTAGTAATAAAAGAATAGTAGTCACCAGGCTCTAACAATTTATTAGGGCTCTATCTACTATTCAATTGATAAGCAAATCTTGTAGAGCTATAAGATAAATAAAGGTAGATAGAAAGTAGTTAATATAACTAAGCTATAGGCCCGGATCAAATTAGCAATAGTTCTATTAAGGAAAGTAGTATAATAATATCAGAGGGATCTATATTCTCCTCGAGAACTTTAGAGGTTATAGCAGGTATCGCTACTCTAGTACTTAAGCAAGAATTAACAAGTTAATAACTCTCTATACTACTCTCTAGTTTCACTTCTAGTGAATATATACTCCGGTATATATTCGACATTACGAAGTAGTAATACGAGGTTTCTATAGAATATAAGGGAGAATTCCAAATATATCCAAGGGGATCCGAGCTTTTCTAGAGATTTGTCGACGATTTACCTAATTGGAAGTCTCTAGGAAGCCGTCTCTAGAGTGTTTAAAAAATAATAATATTAATTCCAGACAATATCTCTACTATGTTTTAACTGTTTTGGACGATTCTCATAAAAGAAAAAGGCTCTCGACTAGCTATATTAATCTCTCTACTGGTATCCTAGTTCCTTTGGCGCTATACTATCGAGAGATAGAGGAATATAGTTTACTAGTAGTTAGAAAACCTAAGACGAATCTGCTAGCTAAGCGATATACTATTAGGTAGAGACTTTGAAGCCGACACTTTAGCAAGTAGCGCGAAAGTAGGGCTCTAGAGGCGTCTTCTCCTAAGAAGAGCTCTAGAATCTTGTTTCTAAGAATAAAAAGAAAACACAAGAGTTCTTGATTCATCTATATGTCGGCGCCAGAAGGGACAAGATAATTAGGGAATACAGGCGCTAGTGATAAGGTCTTATTCAACTCGAATCTAGCATATTGGAGGAAGAAGAAGCAGAAGCAGGTGTAGAATACAATATAAAACCAGTAAGGGTTTTGATACTAAAATCTTACTACAGAGAGCCATTCTAGACGACTCTAGAGAACGCTAGGTCTATAAAATTGTCTATCAATACTGTAAAAGGACTTTGTAATTAATCAAAATCTAAGGTAATAAACATTCTATAGTTACGACTCTTTTGTTATTTGTATTTCAGAGAGATCAATAAGTAATGAAGATTCGTATATATTAGCGACATTGATCTCGAATATCCTAGAGGGAGCTAGGGCTCTATACCAATAAAAACTAAACGTTAGTGTCGTCTTATAACTTATTTGGGTCTATGAGACAAGGGGACTCAGAGACCTAATAAACCATCTTGAACAGTCCTCAAGACTCTACTTAGTACTATTTCTATTACAAAGAGGGGGCAATTGGAAGATAAATGTCCCCCTTATTCAAGTAACAATGCCTCTTCTAAAAAAAGGGATAAGGGAGAAGCATTAATTTCTAGAGAAGTAGAACAAGAAGACGCGGAAATTTTGTTCTCGGCTTCACAGTTTTTAAGCACTGGAATAATACTATAAAGTAGCTAGAACTAGAATTTATTCGATATGAAAATCATATTCAAGGACTCTAATGAAGGTTATATATCTTACGAATTGCTTATTGCCGCTTGCAGTTAATCTTAATCTCGATACTTAGTCTAGACTGGATTATAATGGATTGAAACCCTACTATAAAATGGAATCTTACGCTATTCAACTCCAAAAGGGAGATCTTTACTAGGGCAAAGCAATTTATATCTCTCTATAGGTTCGATATAGGTATCCCTTTATATAATAAGAACTCTACAAAAAGAAATGTCTATACCTAGAGTCCCGAGACGACGCCTAGAATTAGTTTTCAAAGACTAAGGTATATAGGTAAAAACATCTTGAAATATCTAGACATTCCTATTAGTATTAATACGCGAGGTATACATAAATTCTGAGTATACTTGTAGAATAAGTCTTTAAATAATAAGGAGAGCTTAAGGATCTCTTGATAAAACTAGCTAAAACATTTGCGGACCTATACTAGTTTTGTAGATATCTATAGTCGCTATCTAGAAGCTGAATTTAAGTACGCGCTTTTTTCTTCTAGGCTAAATTACCTCAATATTTCTAGGGCAAATTGAACATTAGAGGTAGCAGTATTTCTTTAATAGAACACCGCATTCAAGTCTAACTTATACGCGATTACACGAGTCTTATATGAATACTATAGCTATACTAGAAGTAGGGCAACAAATCTCTTGTTTAGATATAGAACTAGGTCGCTCTAATAAAATGATCGAGTCTATGGCAAGGGGGTATAGGTACAGAGGAAGATAGTAACTATATAAACTACGTAGGATATTAAAGCGAGTAGAGGAAGCCGATACTAGAATAGGAATTACTAGTATTAATGAGTATATATTAGTCTCTTTATTGTATTACACTCGTTTTCATAAGACATTATAAGCCTTGTTGAACCTTTTCTCAGCAGCTATACTACGATATATCTTATAAAGCAAAATAAACTTAGTAGGAAGTTTACTAGCTATACATCTATGTTAATAGCTATATATAACTCTATCTACTATTTAAACTCAATATATAAAGATTAGACCTTGGAAATAAGCTCTATTATCATCAATTATAGTAAATTCCAGCTTATCGACTCCAAATAAATACTATAATATCTTAAAGACCGATTTATGTTTGTTGAATGTCTTTGTCTGATATTAGTATATACACTAAAGATAGTAATAAAGCCGTAGCATAGTATTAGTAGGCCAGATGAATAGATGTTATAACTATAGTCGAATATTAGTAGATACGCGTTATCTATATAGATACTTATTAGCTAAGAATACGCAAAGGATATAGAGCATAGTCTATTGTACGGCGTATGTTAGCAGTAGACACACTTCCGCTTAGGGTTATGTTCTTTAATATATAAAGATATATAACATACAAGGCAGTAAGAAACGGGGGCCTATACGGCCCGTACTACGCCTAAATAGCTGATTCCGCGGCTTTTATAGGCGAAAAAGGGTAAATTAGTATAGAAAATAGGGTATATTAGCGGTAGATACACTTCCGCTTAGGATAGTATTCTTTGATATATAAAGATATAGAACGTACAAGGCAGTGGAAAATAGGGGCTTATACAGCCCGCGCTACGTTTAAATACCTGATTCCGTAGCTTTTATAGGCGAAAAAGGCTAGATAGAGGTATAAAATAGCGTATATTAGCAGTGGACACACTTCCGCTTAGGATCGTGTTCCTTGATATATAAATACTTAGAATGTACAAGGCAGTGAAAAACGGGGGCTTATACGGCCCGCGCTAGACTTAAACCTCTAATTCCGCGTGTTTTATAGGGGAAAAAAGGTAGATTAGTATAAAGAATAGCGGTTATAAGAGTTGGACACACTTCCGCTTAGGGTTATGTTCTCTAATACCTAAAGATATAGAATATACAAGGCAGTAAGAAACGGAGGTCTATATAGCATTATAGCCTGCGCTACGCTTAAATGTCTAATTCTGTAGGTTTTAGTAAGGGCAGAAAATACGCTGGCGTATATTAGCAGTAGACACACTTCCGCTTAGGATCGTGTTCTTCTATATAGAAACATCTAGAATATACAACGCAGTGAAAAACGGGGGTCTATACGGCTTGCGCTGCGCCTAAATATCTGAGGCGATTAGTATAGAAACTTTTATTTACAAGCTGATATCTACGAGCTCTAAGAATACCCTATTTACTAAAGTAAGTGTATTGTTCTAGCGATAGCTAATAAGAAACGCAACAAGCCGTTACTATACTCTAAATAGTAGAAGCAGGCTAGTCCGATAGTTATACTTAATTTAATATATTCACTAATTTAGAACGTCTACTAAGTATCCAAAGTAGATAGACTATCTTTGTTAAGCGCGTAGATCGCTGTTGTAGCCTAGTAGTCTAAATTGCTTTTTCTTTAATAACTTCTAGCTCAATATTAGCTAGTTTTTTACTCTATTAAAATCGTACTTTTATAGTATTATAATATTTCTAGCCGCTATACTCGTCTGACTAAAGCTGTATCGCTTTTTTATATCTATCTATTAACATATCAATAGGCGCACAATTCTAGGAGTAAATACTAAATGTAGCGTATAGTAGAGATTATAGTAACAGAATTCCTATCTTTGGTTTCAGACCGATGTACATCCTTATTACTTATATTACCTATCCTAAGTCTATCGCTCTCTCTGGCCTATATTTAGCTTAGCTCTACGTCTAGTAGTACTAGCGGATTAAGTCACTATCTCTATAGCTAAATCTCGCTTTTCCTATAGTGCTTTATAGGAATGATATACTAGATTCTATATAGGGGAGCTTATATTTACAATAGCAAAGCGATATCATCGATAGGTACTTAGGTATTGTATTCTCTAAAAAGATCTGATCCTATATAAAGAGAAGAAAGGAATAGTGTTCATAATAAAGTATATAGCCCTATATTACGTATTTATACCTGGTATATGAGCTTATTACCTATAGTTATCCTATGATTATAAGAGACGTCTGTATAAGAATTAGGTTCAGCAATCATAGGATACTAAGTATACATATATATAAGAGCACTAGAGAGTCCTAGATCTCTAGAAAGGTTTCTAGTCAATATATAGGCTTATAGGCTATACGGCCGGTAGGCTATACGGCCGGTAGGCTATACGCGGCCGTAGATAATAAGAAATATCAATAGAAGCAAATGGTTCGGAACTCTACTTTAGACAGAATATCGTCTTTCTTTATAGTATTCTTGATCTACTAGAGCCTAGTCTCTCTCTACTCTGATTCGTAGTAACTAAAGGAATACTTATATGGAAAGACCGTGTCTAGATAGTAGATTGAACAGTATATAAATATACTAAGAATACTAGCTTGATGTTACTACTCCTACAAGCCCCTTAGAAGTATAGAAGAATATTGGGCGGTATAATATTTATAAGCTAGGAGGAAGCTAAAGAGAACGTATTGAAATCTTGTAAGCTTTTCCTTAGAAATTTAGCCTAACTTTATTGAGGCCGTTGTATAGTCTAACTTCTATTGTAGTAGGATTACGCCTAAAGTAGTATGGGTATATTAGAGAACAATTACCTTACGTTTGTATAAGTTGGGTAAGAGGGAATAAAGTCCTATCAATCTAAGTTTAGAGTACTTTAGCTAGGAAACAAAACCCGAGAGGGCCTACTTCGATTCGTTGAGTCTAGAAAAGACAAGAGAACTCCTAACAAGAAGCAAGAAAGCTTAGAGAAAAAACAGAAGAAAACAGAATAAAGAGGAAGAGGAAAAAGATGATAGAATAGGTCTATATTCTGGACTCCTAGTAGGCAAGCCTATTAGACATATTATAGTTTATCTTGTATAATTCGTTTATATAGTTAGGTTATATAACCTGTTATACGACCTATTACCTACTCTGTTATACAAGCTTTTATTTCGCCTACTAACACAGCTTTTGATATTTTTTACAACACTCTAGAGACGTCCTTCTAGAAAGCTACGTTAGATGAAGTCTATAACTTTCTCTCTGTATAATATAGGGGTCGTAGAGATCTATAAAAGCTTATAGAAACCTCGATTATTACTTATTACAATTATCTCTTCTCTAAGATTCTAAGAGATCTTACTCTATCCCTAATTAGACCTAAGGAGACGCAAAGATAGGGTCGTAGGTATAGAAGCTTCTAGTGCCACTATATAGGATACATGAAGACCTATAGAGTCCCCTATAGATTATAGATGTAATTCTATAAATCGAAAGGTACATACTATTATAGAAACTATTCTATCTACTAGTTACATACTATTAAAGAAAGTATACATTACTAAATAAGTATTACTACTAAACTTGTATAACGCGCGCTCTAGCTACAAGCCCGTATAGTTTATTCCTAGTACAAATCTTGACTCTAAAGGAGAAGGAGGGAGACGGCGACGGAGATAGACTTGACTCTAAAGGAAAAGGAGGGAGACGGCGACGGAGATAGAGATAGAGATACCTAGGGCAATGCCTAGGAAGAAGATAATATATATATACACACGTACGTCCGTACCTGTAGCTATCGTTGTATACTACTAGCAAGCAAGCCTCTAAGACACATTTGGAGCACCTACTGTTTACAAATACTCGCGATAAGAGATCTATCTATAAATGATTATGTAGGACAAAAAGTAAATTCTAGTTAAAGATTAATCTAAACAGCAAGCCTACTAGGTATAGGATATGTTCGCTAGGCTAGGTACCTGCCTATAGAGTGCCTTTTTGAAGCCTCCGCTTGTTATACAATCGTAGACTACCTTAGGCACCTAAGATAGAGTCGTAAAGAGGAAGTATCTACTTTAACAACTCGGAATAGGGTCTGCCCCTAGACCTTGTAGACATAGTATATACAATAGTAGCGCTCTATATTTTGCTAAGCCATCAGTATAAGAGTCGCACCTCTGTACTCGCAGACTTACAAGCACCTATAAGCTCTTCGTCGTTGCGCTTTTTAGGCTAATCTGCACTCAAAGTTTGTATATAAATGACATCTGTAACTTGGCCTATCTTGCACGTGTTAAAAGTCCAATGCTCCAAGGTTTCCATGGAAGCCGCTAGGATGTTAACCCATGAACCTGTCACCCGGGCTCTGTCTGCATGGCATTGCATGCACTTCTAATTGCCGGCTATATCGCATGCGAACCAGCCTTCAGTCGGCCTATCGCTCTCTTATATCCTCGTGCTTTTCACCGTCAGTGGTGCTGAGCTGAGGAGCTCTTTTTCTGCGCTCATGTACTGTGAACCACCTCACCGCACCCGATTGAGACCATCTATACAGACCGCACGCTAGCTAGCCAATAGATTACCGTGCAATCGTCAAGAAATGGTCGATCAAAAGGAGCCAGCCTCCACTGGAGCTGAAATGGACCATGTCGACACTGGCGCACCAGACGACATCGATGACTTCGTCAAGGGCATCGGGAGCGTGCAGGAAGTCTTCACTATCGACGATGACCAAAGTCCCTATCCGGAAGTGAGGGCTAACGTTCCCAACACTGACGACCCTTCGATACCAGTCAATACCCTCCGCATGTGGCTGACAGGCATCGTCTTCACCATTCTCGGCACCGGAATCAACCAATTCTTTAGCATGAGATATCCGAGCGTCACCATCTCATCTCTCGTAGCTCAACTTCTCGCATACCCCGTGGGAACCTTTCTCGCTCGCATCTTACCTGTCAAGACTGTGCACATTCTCGGGTACAACTTTGTGATCAATCCTGATCATTACTTCAACATCAAAGAGCATGGATTGGTGACCATCATGTCCAATCTCGCATTCGGACCATCGTGGGCTACAGACATCATTCAAGCGCAGGTGGCACCGGCCTTTTTCAATCTCAAGGCTCCAGTCTCGTACCAATTCTTGCTTGCATTGACCATGCAACTTTTTGGACTGGGTATGGCAGGACTCGCATATAGATTCATTGTTGAGCCTCCACAGATGATATGGCCATCGACACTGGCCAATGCTGCACTCTTCCAGACATTGCATTCGAGGCTGAATCCTGTAGCAGATGGCTGGAGGATATCGAGATATCGTTTCTTCACTTTCGTGTTCATTGGGAGTTTCGTCTGGGTACGTTGAGAGTGTTTTTGCTTGAGCCCGACGGCTGCTTCTGACGCGTGTACAGTACTGGCTACCTGGCTATCTCTGGACTGGTCTAAGCACCTTCGCTTTCATATGCTGGGCAGCGCCGAGTAAGTCGTACACTCCCAAAGTCTCGGGGGAAAATTGGTTGCTGGCCTCGCAACATCTATGTGCATGAAGCGGCAGCGACCAATCTCTGCGAGCCTTGTCTCACCGTCTGGTGGATACGTTCTAATTCTGACAGACAACGTGGTCGTGAACAATTTATTCGGCATGTCCACTGGCCTGGCATATCTCCCAACGACCCTCGACTGGTCCCAGGTTGCCTATAACGGCTCTCCTTTGGTCGTACCTTTCTGGGCCCAAGCAAACGTTTTCGCCGGCTGGATAATTTGCTACGCCTTAGTCACACCCATCTTGTACTATAAGAACGTCTGGAACTCCGCATACATGCCTTTCAGCGGAACCCATACATACGACAATACCGGGAACGTTTACAACGCGTCTCGCATCGTCGACCAACACGGACAATTCCTCCAAGACGAGTACTCTAAATACAGCCCGCTCTTCATGCCCGTCACATTCGCCCTGTCATATGGCATGTCCTTCGCCGTCATGACCTGCGTACCGACGTACATCTTCCTCTTCCACTGGCGCGACATTCTCGACGCATTCAAGCCCGACCGCAAGAAAGACATACACGCCCGTCTGATCGATCGCTATCCCGATGTCCCATGGTGGTGGTACGCAGTCATGACAACCATTGTGCTCGCACTCTCCATTACCGTCCAAGAAGTCTACTCCACCGGTCTTCCCGTCTGGGGAGTCGTCATCGCCTTCCTCATGGCCATGGTCTATCTCATCCCCACGGGCTCCGTCTTCGCCGTAGCAAACCTCAACAGTAATGTCCTGACCGTCCTCGGAGAGATTATCGCCGGCTACAGTCTTCCCGGCAAGCCCATCGTGCTCCTCATATTCAAATTTTACGCATACACGGGTCTTGCTCAGGCAATGATCTTCGCGAGCGATATGAAATTAGGTTTATATCTCAAGATACCACGGCGGACACTCTTTGTCGCACAGCTCACAGCGTGCATTGTGGGGTCATTGACTCAAAACGGGGTGTTGCTGTGGATGTTGGGCAATGTAAAAGACATTTGCACATCCGAGCAGTCGAATGGATATTCCTGTCCACAGGTAAGCCAGCCGCCCAAGCCAACAACATCCCACTCCAATTGATGGAAAAGAACGCTGTAGCTAACAAGCATATGTACAGGGTACAGTAAACTTCTCCTCCAGCATTATCTGGGGCGCCATCGGCCCAGCACGTCTCTATAGCTTCGGTCAACAATACTCCGGACTCCTCCACCTCTTTTGGCTGGGAGCCCTTCTCCCTGTTGTAACCTTCTTCGCCCGACGTCGCTACCCCTCCAACACCTTTCTCGCTAACCTTCATTGGCCCCTATTCTTTGCGGGAACCGGCAACGTCCCACCAGCAACAGGAATAAACTATAGCTCAGCGTTCGCAGTCTCCTTCATCTTCAACAGATGGATCAAGCAACGTTATGCGTTTTGGTGGGCGAAATACAACTATGTCCTATCGGCGGCGTTGGATTCGGGACTGGCTGTGTCGGCGGTGATTATCTTTTTCGCAGTGGTCTTCCCAGGTGTCAGTGTTAGTTGGTGGGGAAACAATATTCAGGGTACGACGGTGGATGGGAAGGGGACTCCATACATGGACCTTCCGCCGAGTGGAACTTTTGGTCCAGCGACGTGGTCTTGAGGATATCGGATTAGAACTCATGCACAGTGCACGACAGAGCCGAGGGAAGCCTGTAGTTTGAATTGGCAGAGGACGCTGAGAATTATCGCGTTCGGGAGTCTGCGCTGAAGACTAACTTGTGGCACTCATTCTTTACATGCGGGTGTGGCATGATATTGCCTCTGGAGCGGGCTCTGATGACGGTCGCTCATTTGCAGGCTGGAAGGAAGGGCCCATAAGGTAGAGCACGAGTGCGGAGACCGTTCGCGCACTGTGTAATTTTACAGCAGCGGCACCTCTTTCATAATATCGCACGCTCACTTACACCTCTTCTCCACAATCTTGGCCCCAAACTCATCGTACTCTGCTTTTGATACCCACATCTGGTGAAATGTTCCCAAGCTCGCCAAAACACTCCCTCCAATCCAGGCTCCATACTTCCGCTCCACTGCATTACTGTTTGCAATGACTCGAACCTTGGGATTCGGAAACAGCGCACTCAAATCCGCCTGTAATCTCTCCGGTAACTTCTCGATTAGGCTCCCCGCGCCAGTCAAGATTACATTGTTCAGCAGCGCCGGCCGCTGATCCACATCTACGCTCTCCACCGCCTGCCTCACAGTCTGCGTAATGGTTTGTGTCTGTTGTGGAAGCTGGTGTGCAGCATCAGAATAGGCAGCTTTGTGGTCAAAGAGACCTTCGGCGACTTTGAAGCGTTCGAGTCCAAAGACTTGGTTCCAACCGTCTGGCATCTCGAACGGCTTGGGTGGGAGCTGTTTGACCTGATCGGCGTTTGTCTGGCCGCCAGATCCGACGGGTTGATCAAGGCGTCCCGGACCAGGCCAAGCCTGCACGACGCTTTCCTTGAAGGCCGTGAGCACGCGTTCTTCCTCGAGGCGGCGGTAGCTATCTGTGGGTGGTTTGTCGAATGTGACATATGTGGCGTTGCTGGGTGCGCCCGCGTCGACGGGAAGCTTCGACTTGACCATGTAGTGTGGCACGAGAGGTACATTCTGTTGGGCGTACATCAGGCGGATCTGGTCACTGAGCCAGTTACCAGCCAGGGGCGTCCGTTGAATGCTCTTCTTCAGGACCATGCCTTCGTGGAGCGCGGTGACGGAGGTGTTGTGGTGTCCCATGTCTACGACGAGCGCAGTGGCCTTGCCTTGTGAGTATGCGGCCAGTTGTCCCGTTTTGGCCAGGAAGAAGGCCGGCACTGCCCACTGCTCCATGGCAATCTCTATTGTCTTTTCACGTGCCTTTGCCGGATTCCAGCCCGGTTCGGTGACGAGCAGAGGATACTCGCCCAGCACCTGTTCCTGCTTGTCCGCCAGCTCTTCCTCCGCCGCCTCGTCCATGATGTTCACATCTCCGTTTTCGTCCTTGTTGCCGTCGTTGAGTCCATTCCGCGCGGGCGGCGTCTGTTTGTGGCCCGTCAGTCGACTGGTCACGGCGTACTCCCACAGCCGTGACGCCGTATCCCAATCCTGCACCACGCCCTCTGCATCGTACGGGCTGACTATCTCGAGGTCGGGTTTGGGGAGATGGATGGCATTCTCGCCGTAGAGCTTGTCGCCGGAAGCTGTTTTGGCGTAGCTGCTGGGCACCTGCTCACATGCATCAGGACAGAGTGCTCGAGGTTTCTCATTGAGTGCGGATTCAGGCGCATACCACGGATTTGGGCGTGTCTTCTCCCGCAAAGCCAGCGCGCACACTGTAACTGCCTGGATCTAGGACGAGAGCATTAATCTCGTCGCCGGCGTATTCTGTCTGCGCGGGCGCTTGTGTGGGCGGGAGTGTCGACATGGTACCTGATGGTATATATGTCTTCTACCACAACATTACTCGGCGATTCCGAAGGAGGGAAGGGTATAGTCGGTTGTTTCAGTGAATATCACGCGCGATCTGGCGAGTTGAATGGCATAATTTGCGAGGGCAGGTGCGATCTGATGCAATGCGATGCGAAACGCGACTTCCTCGCGAAGCTCGCCCATCCCTGTCGTCGCAGAGATACGCTAGCCCCAATAAGGTTAGCCGCTGAGCACCTCTTCCTCCTGTCTCGTCTCCTTCGACCTTCCTCCACAACTACCTGTACCTGTATTACTACCTCTTACCAGGTACTACATGTACTTGTCCTTCTCGACATCCCACCACAATCAGTATGAGACTGCGCGATCTGTACAAAGTCGAGACGCTCGACACGCGCTTTGCGGGCTCTGGCCAAGCACTGCCCACTGCACAGGCCTCTAAATGGGCAAGTCGATAAACCAGCTCCCCGTGCGAAGAAGACGGCATATGTGCTCGGACGGCTAACGACGACGACCAGTGAGTGGCCAAGCAGCAGCCGGCTGTCGATGAACAGATCCCGCGTGCGATGTGGTGTGCCAGACTAAACCAGTCGCCAGGAACACGGCCGAGTACTACATCTACTATGTCGCCTTTCTGACCATTCCCGTGTGGATGTTCAAGAGCGTATATGATGTATCACAACCAAGTCATCCGGGCTACGCGAAACTGGAACCACTCCTCGAGCCAGGCTGGATTCCCGGACGGAAAGTGGACAATTCCGATGCCCAGTATGCTGGCTTCCGCGAGAACATTCCATATATGGCCCTCGTTTTGATCCTCCATCCGCTGCTGAGAAGAGCTTATGAGGCTCTCAGAGCGAGTGGGAGAGCCGTCGCTAATGCTGGGAATGCTGCGATCAAAGCTGACCTACACTTGCACCATCGTGTCACCTTTGACTTCTTCTTTGCTGCCATCTTCATCATCGCATTACATGGCGTGTCGGCGATCAAGGTCTTTACCATTCTCTCTCTTAATTACCAGATCGCCACTGCGCTGCCGAGACAGTATGTGGCTGCAACAACATGGGTCTTCAATGTCGGCATACTGTTCGCCAACGAGCTCTGCCAAGGCTACAAGTTTGCCGACATCGCCGCTGTGACGCTGCCTCCAACCATTACAGGTGCGGACCAATCGTCCAAGGAAACCTGGGGAACGCAACTCGACAGCTATGGAGGGTTGATCCCACGCTGGGAGATCCTCTTTAACATTACCGTCCTTCGACTGATCGCGTTCAACTTCGACCACCTATGGATGCTAGATCGAAGAGCAAGCAGTCCTGTTGAGGTATTGTGCTTCCTTCCTCGTGATCCCTCGCGCCTGTGTACTGATCAACTTTAGAAGAAGGGCCTCGATCCCGCCAATCTGTCCGAACGAGATCGCACATCCTTGGGGGCCAAGCCTTCTGACTTCACATTCCGCAACTATCTGGCCTACATCCTCTACTCACCTCTCTACCTCGCCGGCCCAATCATCAACTTCAACGACTACATTTCCCAATCACGCTACCCCATGGCTACAACCTCTCGATCGCGAATCATCCCCTATGCGATCCGTTTCATGCTCTGCTTATTATGCATGGAACTCGTTCTTCACTACCTCTACGCAGTCGCCATATCCAAGAGCGATCCCGATTGGAATATATACTCTCCGTTCCAGCTCAGCATGTTAGGCTACTTCAACCTCCACGTGATCTGGCTCAAACTGCTCCTACCTTGGAGATTCTTCCGGCTGTGGTCTCTCATCGACGGAATCGATCCTCCAGAAAACATGGTGCGTTGCATGTCCGACAACTATTCTGCACTAGCATTCTGGAGAGGTTGGCATCGCAGTTTTAATCGCTTCGTCGTGCGATACATCTACATACCTCTCGGAGGATCCGGAAAGGGAAAAGTTCGGGGCATCGCGAACTTTCTCGCCGTGTTCACTTTCGTCGCTCTATGGCACGATATTAATTTGCGCCTTCTCATGTGGGGTTGGTTAATTACATTGTTCGTTCTGCCAGAGGTCTTGGCGACTCTTGCTTTCCCAGCTCGGAAATTCAAGGATCGGCCCAATACGTACCGTTGGCTCTGTGGAGTGGGCGCGGTGGGGAACATCTTGATGATGATGGCGGCAAATCTGGTTGGGTTTGCAGTGGGACTGGATGGGTTGAAAGGGCTCGTTGATGGGATTATAGGTAGCTGGGGTGGGAGAGTCTTTTTGATTGGCGCCATGGCTACACTGTTTGTGGGCGCTCAGGTCATGTTTGAAATACGAGAGGCGGAAAAGAGGAGAGGGGTGAATATGAAGTGCTAGTGCTGCTTCAGTGCTTCTCAGGGAAGCCAGCTTCAAGTTTCCTCGGTGTGGTATGTACGAGTACAGAATGTAATACCAGTCCCTCACCATGTCCTCTACTCAGCATCAATCGGCGCCCTCGGCGGGGTATCGTCCACCTGCACACCGCCTCTCTTCTGATGCTTCGAATCCTCAAAGGGCAACTGCCAACCGCCCTCACCTTCGGGCGTCGCAAGCCACAATCGCATCAAATGTCTCCGAGGGTGCGGGGCGGGAAAGTCCTTGTACGCTGTCCGCGAGTGCAGGACATGGGCATTACTCAAGAATTGAATATCTCCAATGTCGAGAATCATGTGCAACGCATGTCTCATGCACGTATCCTCGAGGACTTGCGCCGCTTCGACTTGTTCGGGGGATAGAGCGGGTATGAGGCCTGGGTCCGAGAAACGAGAGAGGGATTTGACGTAGTAGGGGTCCCATTTACAGTAGACGCGGCCGTTGGGGCCGGACTCTCGGTAGAGGACGGGTTGCTTGGTGTAGGGTTCCTGGCCGGCGGAGACTTCGCCTTTCCGATCAAAGTACCAATTGGGGGTAGTGAGAGTTTTGATCACGTCAGGACGTTCTTTTTGGAGGATGTTGTAGACGTGATGGACGGATGCAATGTCGGACTCGCCACCTTCGAGGGACTTGGCGATGCAGAGCAGTCCCACAATGTCGCAGTCGTCGCTGTGGAAGAACTGTCGAGCGGTCGTGCGGTAAATGCGAACTTTGTCGATCTGGGTGGGGTCGGCACCGGTGTCCTGTGGAGACGGGGGGCTGTTAGAGACATGGCGCGAGCGGGACTCTCCACCAGTGCAGGCAGGCCGACGAGACTCACCTTGACGTGTCCCAGTACGTGACCGAGACCATTCTGGGAGACGAAATAGCCCAGGTAGGTACCGAGGCCCATATACGCCACTGCACTCTTGTGGTTTCCCCATTCCTGCACAGGGAAGCCTTTGAAGAGAATGAAGCCTTTGCCGTTGAGGATCTCCTTGCGCATGGGCTCGAGGAAGTTTGCCATGTTTGGGAGGGGGAACTTGGCCTGTGATGCAGATAGGTATCCAGTCAGCCCTCTCTCTCTCTCTCACTCTGCCACGCCAGCCAATCGTCGATGCACCCACCTTGGTAATGCCTGTCATGGGCGTGCCAGACGAGATGAAATCATCCGCTGCTTTGCTAATCTCGACAATTTCGTCGTCACTGAAGCGATGCACCCATCTCTCGGGATGGTTCTGGTAGTCTTCCGGCTTCCATACCGTCTCACCTACAATCTCCTGGGGGAAATCATGGTACGGCTTGAGCTGGTCATATTGGGGGACCAGCTGACCCGAAGTCTTGATGCCGTCCGGAAAGACGGCTTTGGAGGGATTGTCGTAGCGGAAGCGTGGCAGCTCGGTCGGTTGATCTACGAGGGCGGCTGGAGCCATTGGGAGAGTGTAAGAGGTGGTGGAAAGGAGTGATCAATGGGCTGGTAGAGAAGGTAGCGTTCGCGCAAATAGGCAACAATGTGGAGAGTGGGATCACAGAATGGGATGAAAGAGCAGTGCAAGAGGGTGTACAAGTGTACATGTACCTATATATTCCATAGCTCACAGTGATGGTGGAGGGTGAGAGCTCAGAAGGGTGGTGCAATCTGGTTGGACAATGATGCGAGCTCTTCAATGCCGTATTGCTCACAGGGCATGGCAGCTGAGGTGCACAAGTCATCACGGCGAGCCGGATTGCGTGCTGAGCTGCATGAAAGATATACCTCCTACCTCATGTACCTGACCTTATCATAGCGAATAGCGACGAAAGATGCTGAGCTGGGGGGGAGGAGAAGGGGGGGGGGGGAATAATGTTCCGGAGATCAGATATACTGGATTGTCTACAGTCAGCAGTCAAAAGGCGGTTCGTCGGCAGGCGGTGTGAGGTGATGCGAAGAAGATGAGAGGCCTGAGGCGACGAAGCGAACCCTTCCCTTCAGGTGACCTCCTTGTCTCCTCAGGGCCTCAGGCATACCTCCTACATGTATCGGGTGGTTTCTGGCTTTCCACGTGGCTTTTTCCGCTTCCGCAGTCCCGCCACTCCGGTGACAGGGCCATGGTAAAGGTTGTCACGGCCGAAACAAGTGAAGGGAAGGGTCAACCGAGCACATGTCATCATCATCCGAGTGTGTTCTTCTTGAAGGACATGTCGAATACATGTTCCTTACCTTACCTCCTACACCTTACCTACATGTACCTGACCTTGAAAGGTATCTCGAATGGAATGTGGAGGGGCGAGTAGGAAGCTTGAATCGCGGAATGGGACTACTTATAATGCCCTCTCCCATTCGGGACCGGTGTGTCGCTGCTGCGGCTGAGGCGTCATGATCCTGCCTGGTGCAAGCATGGCATGGCATGGCATGGCAAAAGGTAGGCACCTGGCACTGGCAGGCGTGTTCACGGGACGGTGTACCTACGTGTGCGGAGTAGTCGAAGGATCATAATACTGACAAGACTACCTGACCTCCTATACCACCTGATTCTCCCACGGCCTCAACTTCCCTCCTGACTATACCTTACCTACCTGGCATACCCACCATTAGGTACTTCTACAGGATGACGAGAGGCTTGTGTTTGCTTCCACTCATTGCTTGAACCACTCCAGGCTCACTTCAGCCCCGAAGACCACCCTCCTCAACTGGAACCCCCGCAACACTGGAGGACGCCATCCCTCCCTCCCTCCCTCCCTCCCTCCCTCCCCTTCCATCCCCTTCCATCCCATCCTGGCCTCTGACCTGTCCGACTCGCTCCACCACCTCCCCTCAGCCTGCCCTGCCCGTCTTCCCACCTGAATGCATGCCTGAGGTCAGCCTCCAACATGGCCGCCTTGACGGATAGTGCCAGAGCAGACATGGCAGTCAGCATCACGGTCAGTAGCAGTGCAAATGCCAGTGCCAGTGCAAGTGCAAGTGCAGTGCAGTGCAGTGCAGTGCAGTGCCAGTGCCAGTGCATGCATGCCATATTATGCCATGGACAGGGACCTCGGGCTGTAGTCGACTTCTCTCACGTCGTAGTGCCCCAAATGTCATGCACCTATGGTCGCATACGTGCATGCATGCCACTACCTGACCTGCCTAATCCCGCAACCTGCCTTGCCTCGACCATAGCTATGGCTGATAATCGCTAACGGGCGGAGTAACCGCATACAGACCTGTCTCGATGCTACCAAGCAGGCCTTCTACGACGGCTCCGCCATCCTCGACAAGATCAAGAGAAAGCGCGCCCTGAAACGAGCCCCGCCCCCGCCGCGACTACTGGAGGAGAGCATCGATGCGGCCCCCGACGAGATTGAGAAAGAGAAGCAGCGAGGACTGGCTCGCTTTGGGAAGGCCTTTCAAGAGGGAGACCACATTGCCATCATTCAGTTGCAGCAGGTCACAATACAGTTGCAGGCGAGTCTGCTGGAGAAGCTGCGCCACGCCGCCTTCGACGACGACTATGCCATTACCGACTTCACCTACCTAGTCGACGCCGCTGATGGAGGAAGAGACAAGACCATTGCCGTGTTGCACGAATTCAAGCAGAGGCTGATCCATGGCACCTCGAGAGAAGACTTTCATTCTCCCCACTCCAGCAGGACCGAGCTGGGAGTACACACACCCACACAAACACCACCACTGCAGCCTCCCGTCGCTGAAATACCCCTCAAGTCACGATCAGAGCGAACCCTCTCTCAGCCACAGCCCCCACTCTCCTTCCAACACCCAGCCCAGCGACCGAGTGAACTCAAAAAACATCCAACATGGCAGAGGGACTTTCGCGTGTCACCTTCCGACGACGGCGATGCCACCTCGGGCGCAGAAGAAGTGCAAGATGTACAGCAGCGACACAAGAAGCGAAACTCTCTCCTACACTTTTTGAAGCACACTCGTACGAACAGCACCACCGACAAGAACCTCCCGGATGCTATAGCAGAGGCCACAGCACCGACCAGCACCGCATCATCAACAGCAACGACAACAACGACAGTCCCTCTTGCCCTGCGTCCCTCGGAAGATCTTGGGGCAAGACACTCTCACGATAGACCTACGCGAGATCGATCCAACACAGCTTCTTCTCATGTCACGAATAACAACAATAATGGCAACAATAGCACCGCCACCCGAGAAGCACGCTTCACCTACGAGGACTGGGAGGATAATCCGTCCGAAATTTGGGGTGCTCGTCCCTCTCCGAACGAACGCCGGGAAACCCTTTCTCTCGCTCCCAACGCCACCTCGTCCAGCGATATCGAGAACTTCACCGCCCTCCATCACGCAATCTCCAATACCAATTCCCTCGCACCACCCTCCTCTCCCAACCTCACTCTGAATGGCGTTCGCACAGCTAGTATTGCCCCGAGCTTCGCCAGTTTCGGCGCCGGCATGGCCGCAGGTCTTGGAGCCTCCAATTCCCATGCCTCTGGAGGAGCTGCAACAGCGCCTCAACCATGCCCGGACAACGAATTTCTCGGCCTCTGCAAATCGTCCTGGAAACTTCAAAATGGCGATAAAAAGGGAGCCTTCACCGCACACAAACAAGTCGAGCCGTGGTCCCGTCATCCGGGAGTATACGCTGCCGCCCCCTACTTCCTCGCATGTAACGCCAAATCGTGCTTGTTCCGCTCCTCTCACGCTCACACCGATGTCGAACTCATCTGGCGGAGAGTATTTACTTCCTCGGCAAAGGGCATCAGAGTACGTTGGAGATTTCTGGCAAAATCACATGTGGTGCAAAAAGTGGTCGTCAAAGGACAGTTTTCGTTCAAATGTCTCTTTTGCGTGTTTCTCGGAGTCGTGCAAGGTGGAGGTGGTGTATACCATGGAATCGATTTGTATCTGGATCACATCAATTATGCCCATCGGGGCCAGAAATTGAATGACGTCGTGTTGTATAAGACGGGTTGCGTGATGGATCGGGTCGCAGACGATGGCGAGGATTTTGACATTAATCTGTGGCCGGGGTATGGGAACGCTGTCATCCCCTGCGCGGGCATAAAGGGCGAGGTGCAGTCACGTCAGAAAGACGGGACTGAATGGTTGAGTGATGATCTATTGATGGGGGATCCGAGCAAGAGTCACAATGGAAGAGATGACTCCATGTTCTCTGCGAATGAGCCGTGGAATGAGGGGTTGAGCGACTTCCACTATAGGGGCGAGTATGATCGGACCGAATTGGAATAGGAATCTGATCTGTACTCCAGTCAGCTACCTATCGAGCTCTACCTTGACTTGCACAGGGAGAGCTACTGAACCGAATATGTCAACCGGTTGATGGAACTATGAACGCCAGATTCGCAGGATGCAGAGCTTCTCCCACCCTGCCGACTTCCCACTGGAAGACACAATCTCGGCCTGCCATGACCTCGGCCAGCTTCGAACCCTCCTTGCAACTTCCTCCGGCCTGTTCTGCTTGCACAGAAGAATGTACGCCACTCCACGATGGCTCAGCACTTCCGGGATCTGTTCCAGCAGCCGATCCGTCGTCTCCATACCATCTGCTCCTCCCGCATACGACAATGACAACAGATGTGAGTCTCGATCGAAGCGAGCCGTACGTGAGAGCGACTGGTAGTCCGACTGGTCGTTCCATTGCGCTGGTAGCTCCTCTGTGGGCACGTACGGCGGATTGAAGATGAGCACATCAACGGAACTGGGCCGGAGACAGGTGGTGAGGTCGCCGCATATGCTGTCGAGAAAGTTGGCAGTCTTTCCGGGGTGAGCGTCTTTGATCGCGCCTTGTACCGTCTGTGCGGTGGCAGTGCAGGCGAAGGGATTGACATCCACTCCTATACTGACTGCATCGATCCGTCCTATGATGTGATTGGCATTGGCTGTCGCAAAGGCCAGGACGACGCCAGATCCCGGACCCACCTCGAGGACCAGTGGTGATGGTGCAGTTGCTGGAAAACGGTTGTGCAGAAAGGTGGCCTCGGAACTGGAAGAGAGAGTGTCGAGGAGCAAGTACGAGTCTTCGGCTGGCTCGTATATGTGAGCATAATTGACGTGTGATGTTGATGGCGTTGGTAGCATGGTGGCGGTGGTGGTGGTGCACTGAGAGTTGTTGTTGTTGTTGTTTATTTATGGGAGATACCACTACTGTTTGGCGGGCATTCGCAGGCGAAGAGCTTTTCCTTTGGGACAGAGGACCAATCGCAGTCCTTGAAATATCGACAGTGACGTGCTGGGAGTTATAGCGAGCGTTTTGAGCGTTTTGTTGACCAGCGTATGGTGGTGAAAGGAAGGATTTGTCACATCAGGGTAGTCTGCACTTATGGCCGATGAAGTGGAGATATTGAGCTTCCCGCTGGTTGTCATATGCAATCTCGTTCCCATTCAGCTCTACCAGGCTCTTTCGCGTTCGTGATAATCCTGGATACCTGCCGGTTCGTCGCTGAGTTGAGCGGCAGTACTGGTAGAAGCTTTTTTTCACCCGAGAATCCATTGGAGGTGCCTGAGTGCTAACGTGAACGATGATGTCAACATTCACGGAAGGACGGACAGACTGACTGAACAGCTTCAAGCCTCCACCTTTCACCATTGCACCAACACCACTCTCACACGCCTATCATCGACACGAGCATCACCATCATCCCCGAGTGACACCGAGACAGACACAGCCAAGATGCTCCGCTCCACCCTCCGCCTCCTCGCCACGCCCTCCACCATCGGCTCTCAATCATCCGGCCTCAAACGCGTCCCTCCCGCCCTTCTTCCCCCCATCCTCCTCTACCGACGAATCCTCCGCGGCCATCGCAAATTCCTGCCGCAGGAGATGCGCGTCCTCGGAGACGAATATGTCAAGGCCGAGTTCCGGGCACATCAGAAGATTGACAACCCAATTCACATTGTAGCGTTTTTGAGCGAGTGGCAGAGTTATGCACAGCAGGTCGAGGGCGAGAATTGGAGGGGGGAGAAGATGGACCGGGGCAAGATTGATAAGATGAGTGGTGAGTTGATGTTCTTTTCCTCTCTCGCTCTCTCTCCTTGCTGGTGATGGCGAGGAGAGGCGTGGTGGTGGTGGTGATGGTGGAAGTAGGCGTGGAGTTGACGGTAGCGGATGCCTGGTTGGCGCAACTGCCTATATACATTGTTTGGGAATCAGGAAAGAACGCGTACTGACATGTCCCTCCACAGATGAGCAACTTGCACAAATGTACGAACTCATGCAAGCGATTCGGAAACAGGAACTAGAAGACAACGATCCCGAGTATACACCGCATCAGCCGCCTGCTGCAGCTGAGCCTGAGAAATAGACATTAGCAAACACTGGACACTGGACACTGAACACTGCATTTCTCAAGGACATGGCAAACGCCCTTGCAAACAACACTGCATCATATGCCCAGAAGATGTGCGATTACCACCAAGGAATCTCCACCGAATAGCCCACCTTGGACCTTCCACAATATCACTTCCTCGAATTCATCAGAGCCTTCTGGTACTTTGGAAGGCTGTGGCTGCACCGCGACGAAGCCAACATCCGTCGCCTCCTCTCCTGCGCGTGCCGAAACGAAACGCTGAAGAACCAAATTCGCAACAGCTCTGGAGGATTCACTCTCCTCTACGACGGCCCGACACCTATCACCTTCACCGCCGCATGCGACGGGCCAGTGGCTTGGAAGAGGTATCACGAGTGGTGGAAGTACATTGAACGGGGGAAAAAGTACTGCGAAAGCGCTCCAACAACACCACCAGATATCTGCCGCCAGCACCCACTCTACCCGGCAATCGCCCTGTCTGTCCTCGCATCCTGCGTCTGTGCCCTGGTTCTCTTTGGGCCTTGGCTTCTGGATCAGTGGGAGTCCTATCATCCCTCAGAGAACGAATAAGTCCTCGAAGAGAGGGAGAGAGGAGCGTGTGCGTGAGAGAGAGAGTGTGTGTGAACGAGCGACCATGTGTAGGACCATCTATTGGAAAGCGCCCGATTGCGGCCACACATGGTCAGTCACCCTTGAACTCACGTCACTCAAATTGCAATTCTGACACATCCACCTGACAGGCTCGAGTTAGCACGACCTTGTGGACCAGACATGAACCTTCTCACCTGTCCAGACTTCGGCGTTCGACAGCCTTTTGGCCCAGCAGAGAAGCCTCGTCGCTGTCGATGGGCACCACGCAGAGCATGCCCTTCGTGTAACCACGATTCGCATGACATGCGAAAGAGACGCATGATTGTCGTGAAGCGGTATGGGTGGAGATTTGGTCTCGGCCCGGCTAAGCAGGATATTGGAGTCGATATCATTACGCATCGCTCGGCCAGGACGCCAAAAGGAATGGACGTGGTACCGTTTTGTTGTATTCTCATGTGAGCGGTGCGTATGGTATGCTTGACGTGTGCACATGTTCTATTCTGTTCTTTTGCTGGAGGTATGCTACATTAGGTTGGGACAGTTATGCTCTGTATCTCTTACAACTACGATACCTAGGTAACTACTTCCTCGTTGCTCTCCGAACTCTGCAACTGCACCAGCTCAAAGTACCTCCCACGCAACGCCATCAACGTCGCATGGGTCCCGCTCTCCACAATCCTTCCCCCTTTCCCATCAGCATTATCAAAGACCAAAATAGCATCGGCATTCCGAACTGTAGACAGACGATGCGCCACCGCAATCGTCGTCCGCCCTCTTGCCGCAGCGTCCAGAGCCTTCTGCACCACGCCCTCGGATTCACTATCGAGCGCAGAAGTCGCTTCATCGAGCAGCAAGATCTTGGCATCTCGGAGCAAGGCTCGCGCAATGGCAATTCTCTGCTTTTGACCTCCCGATAACATACAGCCTTTACTACCGACTACCGTGTCGAACCCTGCAGGGAGAGAGGTGATGAAGTCGTAGATATTGGCTTCTTTGCAGACTTGGATGAGTTTTTCTTCGGGGACGATGGTTGTCATGTTTTGTGATTTTGCTTTTCCTTTTTCGTCTTCTTCTTCATCTTCTTCGTCTTGTCGGTTGATTGCGAGTAGCAAGTTTTGACGAATCGTGCCTTGGTAGAGAGTCGGCTCCTGCAGTACGAGCGCGATATGTTTTCGATATGAGCTGAGGTGAAGAGTGGTGATGTCTTTGCCATCGACGTAGATGGTTCCATTCGTAGGGTCATAGAACCGCTCCAAGAGAGCAATGGTCGTGGACTTGCCACAGCCAGAAGCGCCGACGAGGGCGACATATTGGCCCGGTTGTACCTTGAAGTTCAAGCCTGCCAGGACTGGCTGTCCTGTTGGATACGCAAAATGCACATCTCGAAACTCGATCGAGCCTTGGAGATGGTCTAGGACATCGCCATCTGAGCTCCATACGTCGATAGCGGGAGTTTGTTCGAAGAAAGTCTTCAACTCGGCAGCTGCCACTTTTGCTTTTGCCATGTTGGGGGCGAGGGAAAACATGTTTGCCGCTGAGCGTGTGCCGAAGATGACGAGGAAGAAGACCAGGTAGAATTGCTCCAGGGAGTAGGTCCCAATCAAGCTACTGCCGTACCAGAACGCGAGAGCCATGCATAGAAAACCCAGGCTCTGACTTGCGGCGTAGAGCACACTGGATTTGACATTGAATCGAAAGCTTCGAGATGCCTGCGCAACCAGAAGGTTGTGATATTTCTGCCACACTTCATTCTCGAGCGTCAGGGCGGCAATAGTTTTCGTGGAAGACGTGGCTTCGCAGGCATATGAGGCACTTTCTCGATAGGCATCCTTGAGATGCGCCTCGAAACGAGACATGCTGTAGATGGAGAGGAAGCCGGCCAGCAGGAGGATCGGTACTGTGGCAATGCAAACTAGTGCCAGTTTCCATCCGACTGCCAGAGCCACAATGTACCCAATGATGAGAGTCGCTAGTAATTGAAATATGGTCCCGAGGGCAAGGCCTGACATTCCTAGTTTCAACATATTAGCATCGTGTTGATCCACAGCGGGATATATCGTTGGCATCGTACCCGCAAGATGTGTAGTCTCTGTACTCAAAAACGACGTCAACGACCCGACCGTGTTCTCTGGACGATCGAAGAATGTTATATCTTGACGTAAAATGGATCGGAAAGCTTGGTCTCGACTGCGGTGGATGAGACGTTCACTGCCATAAGCGAACGACAGACCGAGTACTGTCGAACAAGCCAGCATCACGAATGCGATCATGACGAACATGCCACTCCACAATGCAATGTCGGAACGAAGTCGTAGGTACTGGGAGGGAGGCAGCGAGAGTGTCACAATGGCTTTCGCCAGGATCACACACTGTACAGGTTCTCCCGCTCCGGACACAATGGACGCTATGATTCCGAGCAGCATAACTTTCCACTCTTTTCGGTTCATGGAGCAGGTGAACTGGATGAGCGACCAGAGTGAAGCCTTCCGTCGAGGCTTCTCTATGGTAGTAGCGGAGTCATCAACAGGGACAGCGTCAGCATCGCTGAGACTGTCGAGCGATATCTTGCGGACAGACTGGAGGTCCAAGGCCTTTTCTCCTCCTGCTGCTTCATATGGCCAGGGGTTGGCCTTCTCGTCCCAGTCCACACCTGTTGATTTAGTATTTTGTGCCATGTTCTGAGCCTCCACGAGCTCGTAGAAGGCACCCTTCGCGGCCAAGAGGTCTTCGTAAGTACCTTGCTCCACAATCTTACCGCCCGCTGCCATGACGACGACGGTATCGACGTTCTTGATGGTACTCATGCGGTGTGAGATGATGATGGTTGTTCGACCTTGAGCTGCTCGCTCGAGCGCAGCTTGTACCTATCCATGCCATGGCAGCGTCAACAATCATTGCTTTCGCACATTCCGAAGAGACTCTCCTACTCACCACTTCTTCGGTCTTGCTGTCCAACGCACTCGTGGCTTCATCGAGGAGCAAGATCTTCGGGTCGCTCACCACGGCTCGTGCGATGGCGATCCGCTGTCGCTGACCACCACTCAGAGAGGACCCTCGCTCTCCAATGAAAGTATCGTAGCCTTTTGTTAACATCATGATGAATTCATGTGCATCTGCGAGCCTAGCTGCCTTTTCCGCCAGATATCTTTTGCTGTGCTCTCCAGTTATCGCCGCACCTCTGAGGCCGTGAAGAATGTTGTCCTCTACCGTGCCCGAGAACAGATTGGGATCTTGGGAGACTAGTCCAATCTGTTGTCGTAGCCAGTGCAAGTCCGCATCCTCGATGTTGCACCCGTCAAGGAGCAACTCGCCGGATACCGGGCTATAGAAACGCTCCAGGAGAGCGACAATGGTGCTCTTCCCTGAGCCTGATGGCCCGGTTATTGCTACAGTGTGTCCAGCAGGAATGTTGAGGCTGAGGTTCTGCATAACCACAACATCAGGCCGCGAGGGGTAGATGTGTTTCACCTGTTCGTGAAATGAGCGTTACTGTGTCACTCACTCACTCTTCGCTAGGTGCAGATGAGATGAACTTACATTTCGAAGCTCGATATGACCCTCTACCTTTTCCATGACTTTTCCCTGGTTTGTATGCTCGCCCCATGGCGGGACTCTGTCGATGGTTGCATAAATCGCTGAAGCGGCACCTGCAGCTTCGACAAATGCTTGAATGTGCTGTACAGCTTTCCCCAGGGCAAAGGATCCCAGCATGAGCACGAGAAGGATAGTGAAGACGGCTGGAAGATTCGTCTCGCCACTGATAATGTACTTGCTGCCCATCCAAGAAGCGAGTGCATATCCCAGGTTGAAGATGCCTATCAAAGCGCCTACCCCAGATGCCATAATGCATTTGGCACGCAGTCCGAACGCTTGTGCCCGATCTAAGCTCTTATTGTACTCCTTGGCTAGGCTTTCTTGTGTTCCGAATCCAGTCACAGTCCGTATAGAGCTGAGAGCCTCTTCGATGACAACAACCCCCTGGCCGTGCGCAGCCAAAGACAATTTGGTATACTTGACGACGTATTCTTTCAGGCCGTACATGAGAAGTACCATAACGGGAGTCATTGAAGTCATGATCAGTGTCAGCTTCCAGTATTTGACAAAGCCAACGACATACGCGGCAATGAATGTGGATATCGCTGACAGTGCCAGTTCGATCTTCTCGGACAAACCCTCTTGAACCACATTGGTATCAGCTGAGATGCGTGTAATGATTTCGCCTGGACCTAGCTGATCAAAAAATGCCGCGTTTTGTCGCAAGAGCGCTTTGAGATACTGTTCCCTGATTTTTCTGGTAATGCTCTCCCCTGTGTATTTGAAGCCGATAGTAGCAATATAGATGGTGAAAACTACAAAGGCTGTTCAGCATAATCTGGCTCAGATGCTGCTTTCTCGCAGAACTTGGATAGGGAAGACTGACACTCGCCAACTGCCAGGTAGACAAAGTATAGCGTCTGTCGATTGACGCGGGCATCGAACTCCGATCTGGAGATACCATTCGTGAAGTCCTGGAAAGCTCCAGCAAGACTGCCTAGGATGACGGTGTTCAATGGCACGGCGGCTCCTGCAGCAATGGCACAGATGGAGCTGACAGCAATGATAACCATGTCTTGCCGCGAGGCAAAGCGGAACAACGACGACCAGGTGGCCTTTGCCGCATCAGGTTTCTCGAGTTGCCTCCTGAGAATGAGGGCTTCATGATGCGGCAGATGTCCGAATGGATCGCTGTTGGCGCTGTCGCCTTGTGTTGCATGACTCGCCATATCTGGAGTTGCACATGTCCTTGCTGTTGGCTTGAAGCGTGAAGATATAGCCATCGTTGTTCTAGAAGATGACCTCGGGTCCGAAAACTAGGCCAACGAGTCTCTCTCTTACCACTCCATGCTTTGGCTTCATTGTTGAGACTACTGGATCCCACAGCTCGCTAGAAGCACCACCAAGATTGCGCGCTCTCTCTCTCTCTCTCTCTCAAGGCCAGCCTGAGGCACGGCGAATCGGGCAGACATGCCTTGGCAGATATGAAGGGGAGCATTCCAGTGTGTGCCCTAGGGGGTCAGTAGTGTGTCCCCATCCCCATCCCTCACCAGTGCGACAATATCGACACATCTTCGGGGGCCCATGCCGCATAGCATGCCAAGGAGTAGTCCATGGACCCGGGCTGTGATGGACCCAGGTGTGGTCACCAGTACAGCAGTAGCGTCTTCATTCGTGCGTTTCCAGTACCCACCATCTTCAACTAACACTTTCGGTACGTCTTCTTCTCGGCTTCGTATTGATGCTCTTGGGCTGCAACGTTGGCCATGGGTCACACATTATTGCTGGTGGCCACGATAATAATGCGTCGTCGTCGTGCAGCCCGGGTGTGGCATGCCCTGGATCTTCAGGCCTCATGTAAGCGATAGGTCGGCCAGAGCACGATAACAGTGATGATAATATTACCTTTGAGCACGGGGTTCACAAACCGGGGGCGGCGTCACAATAGAGCCGAAGTGAACTGTGTCAGCGCGCGCGGGTGAATATTCAGCCTTGGAGTCACTGGGGGGAGTAGTCAGTATAGCGCTCATTCGCTCGGTGTTCTCGCCGAACGTTCGGCGAAACGAAAAGCAGGGTTATTCTCGCCACTCTCCTACTGACCATTTATCTACTCGCCTCGCGCGATCCGCTGGCGGTAGACGCCTTCGTTCCGCTCGCATGCACGCCCCTCCAACTACTCTCACGTTCTTTTCGCCTACCTTATACCGTAGACGATGATAGTCGAACGAAGGGCTACAGTCTACCGGCGCTTTTAGATCAAATGGCTGAATACCGACTGCTCAACGGCTAAATCATAAATGTCCGTCCCCGCCCCTTGCCCCTAGCCCCTGTCTTCCTTCAAACTGGACCCCGCACCTGCGCCGGCGGACCAGAACGACCTCATCCTCTGGCTAGTGTGGACGATTTATTCCGTTTGTAGGTTGTGCAATTCGAGAATACCTTAGCCTCCTAGCATGACTGCATGATTCTAGCTACGACAACGACGACGACATCATTCCCTGTCAGCCTTGCCAGGTTACACATCACCATCCTGATCCTCCCAGAAGACAAAGGCTCTGAGCTCTACGCTTTCTCGTGCCGGACCGCTGTCCGAAGCGCACTGGAATGATGTATGCGGCACCCTCTTCGCGCGACCATCATTCCTGGAATCGTACATTTTGAAGAGCAACACCTCGTCGGGTGTCATCTTCGACGCATAGTACCACTTGTGCTTCTCTGGATCGGTGGGAGGCTTCACTGCCCAGAGATATGTGTCTGGGGCGCCCGCCTGATACTTGTGAATGTACGGATGTTTCTTCTGCTCCTCCGTGAGTTCCTCGGCCTTCATCCACTTGATGGTCTGCTCTGCGAGCTCATCGTCGGTGATGCTGTGTGCGTCTGCCACACAGAGAGCATCGCGCTCCACGGGCTGCCGGGGTCTCCAGAGATTGATCAGAGCCCAGCGACGTCGAGGGCTGACCGCTAGTGGTTTGAGATCATCCCTTCTGCCATTCGCCACAATCCGATCATAAAACTGTTCCGCTCCTTGATACGAGTAGTCGCAGTGGATGTAGCAATTATTAGCTGCGCGGAACTCGATGTCTTCGTCTTTGAAGTTCTCGATATCTTTCATGATGGCCGACCAGGTTTCCCCTCGCAAGACGTGATTGAAGACATAGGCGTGCGACGCGCCCGTCACCTTCTTCAGCAGAGACTCCATGTCTGGATAGTATAAGCGCTCAATCTCCGCGTCATTGTCCCATGTGTTCAAGGCTGCAGGCCATTGCACCCACTGGAATCCTTGCTTGTCGAGAGAGAAGTCGGCTTCGAAACCACGGACGTCTCTGACCTTCGTCGGGACCATCACACGCGGAACGCGCAACGCTTTGACTAAACCAGGCCATATCTCATCAGTGCCACCATTCTCAGGTGTCAGTTGGTACTGGAGTTCGGTATCGACAGTAGGCATCTGAGCGTCATTTCCAGACCCATCAGTGTTGCTTGTGAGAACAAGACGCTGAGTAGTCGTCGTCGTCGTCGTCGTCATGGTAAGGATTGACTTTGCTGGATCGATGGCACGAGGTCGAACTACAGAACAAGATTTCCCTTCCGGATATGGCAGCAGACAGGACTCTCCGGGCAGCCAGTATAGGATCTCCTCTTCGCGCCCGGAGGAAAGGGGGTGACGACTAGGCACAGTCCGTCGAGCTGAAGTCTTTGGCGTGTTGCGAGCCTGAATTGGTCAAAATATCCTGATAGGCTTACCTTTCGAGTGATGAATGATACCCCCACGCGAAATCCCCTAGTTCTACAACACGAGAAGTGGCAGCCAACACTAATGCTTCTGTTATCGAAACATGTTGTCACGCGATAATGAATCATGAATAACTATTGCTGTACCCGACTCCGCCGTCTGGTTCGTATCAGTCCCATCAGCGATCACACTGAAACGGTAAAACCGTACCTACGTACTCGACGAGTACACGGTCCGTGGCACACACTAGACTGACATCGCTACGAAGTTCCAAAGTCCCCAAGTTCATTTTAGCGTAGGGCGCGTCTTTTGCTGGCCTGCAACCCCAGACTGCAGCTGAATAGATAATCGAGCCCAGCTAGCCCCCTGCCTGCTAGCCTCTGTCCAGGGGCTTGTTGAAAAGCTAACCTGGAGACCTGGGGCAACATCGGGTGGGATGTTTCATCTCATCCCAGCCCTTCCAGAACAGTCGTGGACTGAGTATGTAGTATCGACGATGACGGAGACTTTGTTCGGAAGTTCGGAACCGGAATGCTGCCAGGGGCTCGTACAGATGTGAGATTCGCACGCTCCGTCCGGGCTGGCGACAATCTTGCGGAAGAGTGTCGTTATAGCTGCTACCACGAGTGAGTGAGTAAGAGTGTGAGAGAGTGGGAGACAGAGACAGAGAGAGCACAGCCAATATGGCAAACAACACGATTTCAAGGCTCGATGCCAGCCTCCTAACCACGGCATATACAACCTCCCCACGACCATATCCCTCGCCAACTTCTCTTGAAGTTCGATTACTAGAATACCACACCGATCATATGATCATTGCATCCTGGAATGTCCACGCTGGATGGTCCAAGCCAACCCTCCAGCCCTATGGGCCGATAGCAATGTCCCCGGCCGCATCAGCTCTGCATTACTCGACCGAGTGTTTCGAAGGACTAAAACTGTTCCGCGGACCGGACGGACAAGCACGACTATTTCGCTCCATCGAGAATTGTGAGCGTATGCGTCGATCCGCAGCACGAGTGGCACTGCCCGATTTCGATGCTGCAGAGCTCGAGAAGCTGATTGTTGCTTTATGCGCATGCGAAGCACCCAAATGGCTGCCACGGGAGGGTGGTGAAGGGGCTTTGTATATCCGTCCGACATTGATTGGGACTGATCCAGCTCTCGCAACACTGAGACCGCGATCTGCGATGCTCATGATCTTCCTGACGGTGTTTCCCAAAGCGATCAGCTCTATTACAGGTCCAGAAAAGCTACAAAAGACAGCACAGCAGCCGGCGGCGGCGGCGGTGCGTAGATCGATGAAGTTGCTCGCTTCGGACAAAGAACAAGTTCGTGCTTGGCCGGGAGGGTTTGGCAATGCGAAAGTTGGTGCAAATTATGGAACTACGTTGGTATCGCAAGATCAGGCAAAGGCTCAAGGCTTTGATCAAGTTCTGTGGCTGTTTGGATCAGAACGATATGTCACTGAAGCGGGAGCAAGCAATTTTTTCTTGGTGTTGCGAGTTGACGAGAAGAAATGGCAACTCATCACTGCGCCATTGGATGAAGGTCTGATTCTGCCTGGGATCACGCGCGACTGTATCTTGCAGTTGGCACGAGGACGATTACAGCAATCTGTGCAGGATATTGTTGTTGAAGTGGTAGAAAGGCAGTTCACGATAGCGGAAGTTTTCGAGGCTCACAAGCAGGGGGACATAATCGAGGCCTTTGTGAGCGGGACTGCACTCTTCATCACTCCTGTTGGCGCCATTCGCTCCGACGGGCAGGATTTGGAAATCAATTGTGAGCCCGTACATGGAGTGCTATGCTCTCAGATCATCAAAGGCTTGCTGATCGACATCATGTCAGGTAAGCAAGATGGGCATGGATGGACGTTCGTAGTAGACGAAACTTGATTTACGTTACCAATACATAAACCAACCTAATCGTGCTTGTTGCCAAGCGTTATGAGACATTTTCTTCCCCTGGGAGAACTCACAAAGAAGTGATCAGGGGCCATATCATCCAGCGACATGCTTTTTGCAAGGCTTGCCCCTCTGCACTCCCTGAAGAACAAAGCCAACCCCAGTCGGAGTTCTAGGTAGGCGAGGTTGATGCCGAGACACATACGAGTGCCACCTCCGAATGGCACATAGACTTTCTTCTGATTAGGCGTCAAATGACCCTCCGCCATAGAAGGGAGCTTGACGTCCAAGAAGCGAGTCGGGTCAAACTTCTTTGGGTTGGGCCAGATGGCAGGATCGTAGCGCGTGGTATACCTAATTGCACAAGCAAAAATCAGTTTTTCATCCCTCATTTATCGGACATTTCTTCTAGACCTACATCTGTGGCCAGACCAACGTTCCCGGTGCAAGGTCGAAACCAGCAATTCGAGCTCCCCCTGGAGGCACGACTCGTTGTAAACCGATCGAAACGGGACCATGCAGACGTAACGTCTCGTGGATCACTGCATTCAGGAGTCGAGCACTCTCAAGCTCCTTCGGCAGCAATTCACTTGACAACGCTGCAACTTCTTGCTCCAGCTGCTTTTGAACCTCAGGATGGTTGAGCACAGCCCAAGTGGCATAGGTCAAGGTGGATGATGTACTGTCGGTGCCACCAAGCATCAATGTAAGAGCTTCATCATGCACGTCCTCGTCCGTAATGGCTCGTACAGCGTCGTCGTCGGACTCGTCGGCTTGGGCCACGATCTGCGTGAAGATATTTCGACTAACTTCCGCTTTCTGTACGCCACGATTACGGAAGTTCTGCACTGCTTTTGCTGTGTACTTCTCCACCTTTGGTCTGGCGTTGAGAATCTCCTGTAAGCGAGGGATGGGCAGATACTTGAGCAGTGGCATGAGCGTAGGAAAGTTCCTGTTCAACGATGAGCATCGTAGTGTCTTCTTAACTGCTTCGATGTAACCCAAGTGCTAGAAGTATCGTCAGATCACATCTCTCGGAGGCAGGCAGATCTTTTTGCTTACTTCGTCACTCTCAAGGAGGTTAAGGTCTTCTCCAAAAGACAGCGTCGTAATGACAGAATTCGCCATGATATTCCACCATTTGTACGCGTCGCCTTCGCCGTTGGTCTCTGCGTCGTCCTTGATCCTCTGAACAGTACGTCTGGCTCGTTGGCGGACCTCATCAGCCCACAAGGACTGAATCGAAGAGTTTGCCAGAGGCCGAGCGAACAATCGACGTCGCTGACCATGAGCCACAGGATCTCTGGCAGCGAAGAAGCTTCGCAACAGACCATCGTATATGGGTCCCTTGAGATAGCCGCGACTGGAGCGAAATATGTCGGCGACGCCATCCGGATCTGCGACTGCTACCTACGGATCTCACATGTTATCCCATCAGCTACCGTCTTTGCTCCACTTATATAGGCATATGGTGTATCGTACCATCGTGGGCGTGATTCGCACGACTGGCCCATATATGCGGTGCAGATCATCGACCCATACATGCACCCGAGGAATCAATGCATTGATAATCAGGCCCAAGGACGTGTATCTGGTATACCACGGACCCGGTACAAGCGATAGAGGATCGCAACGTGCATGAAGCCATAGCTGCACGAGTTTGTACAACAAGCCCACACATGCAACAATCGTTCCCAGTAAGAATAGTTCCATAACTCGAATGGACACGCAAATGCACCTGGGGACCTCTCGTGATCTGATCGATCAGCAGTGTCGAGAACGAGCAAGAGAATTAGGCTCGTCGAGCGGTGTGGTAGAAACTACTTGAGCACCCTTCGCCACACTGAGGCGTGGAGAATCTCTCTGATGTTGTCTCTGTCAAGAGCCCAAGTCTAGCTAGGCAGCGTCTTAGTTTCGCTTCGTTCCATGAGTACTAGAGTGACTTAAGAGAGTGGAGCCATTGGCGTGCTGCTTCGCTATCTCTCCGCCTCGCGTACATCCTGGCCCCGGCACGAAAGAGGCTGATCCCTTTGCCATTCTGCCGAGAGGAGCCAAGAGCAAAGAGTATGTAGGCGAGTGTGGCGCATGCTTGTCTTCGGCAGGCTACGTTAGGGCTTATTAGTCCTAGGGGCCCGTCGGAACGCTCGTCTCGCAGGTCATACCCCTTCATACGTGGGATCGCTACATACGGCACTGAAAGCAGAATCAAAGCATGGGAGAAGAGAGTAAGAGGTCGACGATGGAGAGACTGGTCGGAATACCTCCTACTTCACATGCTTTCTTGACTCCCTGCAACCATCGCAAACGCCAAGCGCTCAGAAGCAAAGATACCGTACCTGAGGGAACGTGCACAGGCAATGTTTGATTCACTCAAGCCGTGACCACATGATGCAGAACATAGTTTCAAATTCGCCCGTCGCTGCGCCACAGATCTTCCGCTAGCAGTATAATTGAATAGCGCAGAGAGGGCCAATGAGAATAGCTACCCAGCTGAGGGACCCTAAAGTCTCTTGGACGGGGCTTGGGGTTGTCGCTAGACGATCGAGTAAACCAGTTTCCTGCCGTCGGTCAACCCTTTTCGTAGCAAGTCCACGCCTTCTGGTATTGCCGCCAGGCCACCACTTCTCATGTCGATGGGATGCGTCTCAATGCGACCAGAATCCAGCAGCTTTTGGGCCTCGGGATTCCACCTCTGTCCGAACAACTTGTGCTTCGGTCGGGGCGCTCTCGCATATGGCCGCTTCCATCGAATTGCCTCTCCACTCACAGTCCACGCTACAATCCAATCTGGCTGGACGTCACGTCTGCTATGAGAGCGGATGGGGAATTGGTCGAGACCGACATATCGACCGCCCTGGTCGCCTAGCGCATTGTAGCATATGTTCATGCTCACACTGTCTGAGATGCAATCCAGTGCTTTTGACATGCCGTTCTTCGTGAAGTCTCGCACATCGTCCGCAATTGTTCCTGACTTGTAGTCGAAACATGCAACTGCTCCTAAGGTTTTGAGGCGAGCAAAGTGGCGCGGTGAGCAAGCTACAACAGGCATCATACCGGAGCTGCCGACGTGATTAGCAAGTGTGAAGAAGCCGAAGAATGGTACCAAACTTACATGGCAGCACACTGAACAGCCAGAGTTCCTGTGGCTGTTCCTGCTCCGTAGATGAACACGAACTGTCCTGCATCATCTGCTTCTGTACGGTCTGAAGGCAATGGAACTTTCAGTGTATAATGAAGCGCAAGTCCTACGGTCATAACGGACATGCCCAGAGTCGCCGCTTGCTCGAATTTCATCCCCTCGGGCATCTTCCATGTGACTACTTCACGGATAGCGGCATACTCAGCGAAGCCACCATTCCCCGGAGCATCTGATGCATTGCCTTTAACGGGGCCAAAGACGCGATCTCCGACGCGTATCTTTGAACTGCACTTGCTGCCAATGGCGACGACTTCACCGGCAACATCGCATCCGAAGGTGGATCCGGGAGCTGGAGACAAATCTAATGATTTCCTGTGAACAAAGAATCAGCGCCGATGCTATGAATACACATTGCGAACTCAGTCAACGTACCAATCGAATGGGTTCAGCGCCACGCAATGTACTCGCACGAGAACATCCTCATCCTCCACATGAGGCAACGGAGTATCTTGTTCCACACGGATTACGCTGTTTCCAACCACTTTAATCGCGCGTTGTCGTTGTGGCAGACTTGGGAGTGGAGCGATCGCCATTTTGCTTGCGTCTGAAGGTTGTCGTTGCAGCTTTCCCTGGAAGACGACAGCTCTTCCCAGCTGTAAACAGAACAGCCTGAAGTTCTGGCAAGCTTTGGCGTGATTTCTTGCCCCCGAGAGGATCGCCCACTACTCATGGGTGGCAGGCTCCAGTCGGAGTAGTGTAGCCGGTATCTGGCGACCCTCGCACATGCGAAGTAGGCCAGGACATCTTCCACGTCGCCACGCACCGACAGGGCCATGCTCAGGCTAGTAAGGGAGCCATAGCGTCTGTGCCCGCTGTTGACGCGCGCACGTCAATGTCTCACGCCCTCCAAGACGATGGTGATGCATATCATTTGTGGCAGTGACATTGAACAATTAATTCGTGGTTGGGCAGGGTGCGTTAGCCGAGACCCAAGGGGGCCCCCTGGGATAGTGCCATGCGCCGGAGTGACCACCGAGATGAGACAAGAGTCGTCAGTCCAGCTATCACGCTGTCACTACGACTAGCGCATGGTGAGTGAGTGAGTGTTGATGATGTTTTGCATGGAAGTGTTGTAGTCGCGAGGGAAGAGGAGAAAGTGAGTTCGCCGCGGCCGTGCCAAGCCAAAGTGCCTGGCCGTGGGGTGGTGCCCGGCCCCAAGTGAATTTCGGAAGCGGTAGGGAGCTAACGAAGCTCGCGTGTGAAAACAGCGTATTGTGGATGTGACCTGACCTCATCGTCTCCGGGGTACAGTAGCCCAGGAGGAGATACATGTACAACCTGTCCATAGCACTACAGGTAAGCATCCGACGGCCGACGGTGCTATTGAGGGCGCCATCAATTGCACTGCCCTTCCCGTTATCCACTGCACTGGGTGTTTGTCGGATGACCTGCTACGAGAGGTATACTGGCATAATGGTGCTATCCGAGAGAAGAAGATAACAAGTCGGCTGGATTCTGGTCCAGAACTGACCCATCACACCCATCACACCCAGTGCACCCATCATCCATGTGATCCATCTGATATCTGCCGAAAGGGCTGCCCTAGTAAGAAGTTAGTAAGGTCAATAACACACCCACCTGTACAGTGTACTAACTATGGAGCTTCCAGTAGTAATTACCCCTTACCTGACTGGGCATAATGCAGGGGATGGGCACGTTTAGCCTCTGGTCATGTAGAAGCAGCTCAATCTGACTAGTTCTAGACTGTGGGGGTGCCCGTAACCCGTATGCTGTTCGAAAACATCGGGTTCACCATCGACCAACTAAACGGAGACAATGGCGGCGCCGGCGCGATAGCCATTATCGCACTGCGACGCTATCACCAATCATGCCCCTAGGAGGAGGTAGGCATATCACAGCCAGATCTACAAGCCTCAAGCTCGTCTGCTTCACGAGCTTGGCGACAGCGTCGCTTGTCGTCGTTCGTTGGTCAACGCCACACCGCGGGCCACTGGCCACTGGCGATATGAGACATGGAAATTATTATCTACCACCAATGTTGACGAAACCTCCCAAGTCGTCGGCACATTCGTGTATGCCCGCCCCGTTCGTACTCCTCGCCACTACTACGGCATCCCGAGCCAGCTAGCTTGCAATGGCCTGCGAACTCTGGCCGGACGCACGCACTGTGTGTAAGCGTCCTGTGGCCAGGGGACATGAATGGGATGGTGTGGTTATCGGACGACGCTGTAATCGGACGCTATGCGGTAGTACTTCTTGACGAGAAGTGTGCAAAGCAGAGGCCACACGCAGAGCAAGGGCGCAAGACTGATAACAGCCTCTATTCGATGCTGCCCACGTCTCTTGCACCAATGCACATGCACCTCGAATGCACAATCCTGAATAATATCTGTCCTGCCTTATACTTTCGATCGTCGCCAACAGGAATCTTTACTGCTAAGCCATAGTCCCCCCTCGAATACGGGGAAATTTGTCCCAGGATGAATGAGCCTATTGCTGTTGTGGGTTCCAGCTGTCGCTTTCCAGGCGGAGCATCATCTCCCTCAAAGCTCTGGCAACTTCTGAAGAACCCACGGGACGTACTTCGCGATATTCCCAAAGATCGTCTGGGACTGGGAGCCTTCTACCACGAAGACGGCGAGCACCATGGCTCCACCAATGTCGTCCCCAAGGCGTATTTGCTGGAGGAGGATCCCCGACTGTTCGATGGGCCATTCTTTAACATAAATGTGAGTGTGCTTATATCCCGATTTCGTGGTCTCTGCGCGTGAAGAACAACTTCGATATTCAGGCGTCCGTCTTGGGGACAGCAGAGGCACATATGAGACCGTCACTCACTCACCTGCTTGCAGCCGAAAGAAGCGGACGCAATGGACCCGCAGCAACGACTGCTTCTCGAAAGCGTCTACGAATGCATTGAGAGCGCTGGATATCCGCTCGACAAGCTTCAAGGCACTGCCACATCGGTCTATGTAGGCTGTATGACGAACGACTATCATGACATCCAGGGGAGGGACCTGGAAGTCGTCAATCGCTACCACGGGACGGGCTCGACTCCCAGCATACTTTCAAATCGTATCAGTTACTTTTTCGACTTTCGAGGTCCATCTGTGACACTAGATACGGCATGCTCATCTTCCCTCGCTGCCATTCACTTTGCGGTGCAGTCTCTGCGCAATGGCGAGTCGACGAGCTCGATCATCGGAGGCGTGAACTTGATTTTTGACAGTGTCGCCTATATCTCCGAGTCGAAACTACACATGCTTTCGCCCACATCGCGGAGCTCCATGTGGGATGCCTCAGCCGATGGTTATGCCCGCGGCGAAGGAGTTTCGGCCTTGATGCTCAAGACATTGTCCCAGGCCCTGGCGGATGGCGACCATATTGAGTGCATCATTCGCGAGACTGGCATGAACTCCGATGGCAGGACCACCGGCTTGACAATGCCCAGTGGTGACGCGCAAGCTGCTCTTATACGACAGACATATGCTCGTGCGGGCCTTGATCTTCAATCCAGAGACGATCGGCCGCAGTATTTTGAGGTTTGTGCTCACCTCCTCTTATTCACTGCTTGGTTTGCTGACCATCCAATAGGCACACGGTACTGGCACTTTGGCTGGGGATCCCCAGGAAGCGCGTGGGATATATAATGCCTTCTTTGACACTGCCACGACTAATCATAATACCGAACAAGAGACCCTCTTTTGCGGATCCATTAAGACGGTAGTGGGTCATCTAGAGGGCTGCGCTGGTCTAGCAGGATTTCTCAAAGCATCTCTAGCAGTACAGCATGGAGTGATTCCTCCAAACCTGCTCTTCAAGAGCCTGAATCCAGACATTACGCCGTTCTACCACAAACTGCAAATACCTACCGAGGCAATTGCCTGGCCTGCAGGGGCATCAACAAGACGCGCCAGTGTCAACAGCTTTGGTTTTGGTGGGACGAATGTGCATGCCATCATCGAGCAGTATGTTCCCCCTCCGCCGACTACCGCCTCCAAGGAACAAAAATCATGTACCGAAGACTTCTTCGCGGGACCGCTCGTGTTATCAGCATCCACAGGACCTTCGCTCGCAGCGACCATCGATCGCTTGGCGGATATGCTCGAAGAAAATGACCTTCAGTCCAGCATCGAGGAACTTGCCTTCTTCACGCAAGCCCGTCGAACCACATTCCAACAACGCATCTCCTTTCCAGGGGGCTCTACAAGCGGACTGCGAGAAGCTTTGCGAGCTACGACTCGTTCGACATCCGCCTCTGAGATTGGCACGCGAGCTCCTGCGAAACTCAAGTGGCATACGCCTGGCGTGCTTGGTATCTTCACGGGCCAGGGCGCGCAGTGGGCCACCATGGGACGCGACATGGTGAAGCAATGCCATGTATTTCGAGAAAGCATTACAGCTTGCGAGGCTGCTCTCACATCACTACCTGATGCACCAACATGGTCTCTCGTACACGAGCTTTTTCGAGAGCCATCAGATTCCCGACTCGGTGAAGCGGCACTCTCTCAGCCTCTCTGCACAGCTGTTCAGATCGCTCTGGTCGACACTCTTGCTGCTGCTGGCATATCCTTTCGCGGTGTTGTGGGACACTCCTCTGGTGAGATTGCTGCAACATATGCCGCTGGCCTCTTGTCCGCTCAGGATGCCATGCGTGTAGCATATTATCGTGGTGTGCACGCTCATCTGGCTCGGGGCGACACTGGGCAATCAGGGGCCATGTTGGCTGCAGGTCTTGGCATCGATGATGCGGAGGTATTCTGCATGCCCTTCGCTGGTCGACTGAGTGTGGCGGCCAGCAACGCTCCAACCTCGACCACGCTCTCTGGTGACGAGGATGCTGTCCTTCGTGCCAAGAGCCTGCTGGAGGAGCAAGGAACATTCGCGAGGCTGTTAAAAGTTGACACAGCTTATCACTCACCTCACATGCTGCCTTGCGCCAAGCCATATCTCGAATCGTTGCAAGCATGCAAGATTCAAGTTCGCCCCCAAAATGATGAATGCATCTGGATTTCGTCAGTCTACGGCCATGCTGAGCTACTAGAAGATCCAGAAGATCTTATGGCACTGGCCGACGAGTACTGGGTAGCCAATATGTGCCAGCCGGTCTTGTTCTCTGAGGCTGTGGAGTGCTCCTTGTATCGAGCAGGGCCATTCGATCTCGCTGTCGAAGTCGGTGCTCACCCTGCTCTAAAGGGCCCAGCATCACAGACCATCAGTGCCGCATTAGGTGTCAATGCGGTACTTCCTTATACACCCACTCTGCAGCGTGGCCACAATGATGTCGAGGCATTCTCTGCATCCCTCGGATCGTTGTGGACCACCCTCGGCTCCTGGGTTGACTTCAATGGCTGGAGAAGAGCTTATCTTGGCCCTCATTCAGGACCTGTTGTAGCGGTACAGAAAGGAATGCCCACCTACAGCTGGTCACACGAGCAGATTCATTGGAAGGAGAGCCGTGTATCCAGTCGATATCGATTAGCAGAACGAGCGCCACACGAGCTGCTGGGCAGACGTGCAGCTGACGACTCCGACACCGAGATGCGCTGGAAGAACATCATGAAGGTCAACGAGTTACCGTGGACACAAGGCCACGTCTTCCAGCGAGCAATCCTCTTCCCTACCATCGGCTATGTTGCTATGGCTATCGAAGCAGCTGCTGAGATTGTTGGTGGCGTTCATCGACTCAAATTAGTCGAGATTCGCGACCTGACCATTCCACGTGCGTTGGTACTTGAAGACAACCACAGTGGGGTGGAGACTGTCTTCTCTGTGCGGCGACTTCCAACGAGCAACGATGCCATCATCGATGCAGAATTCGTGTGCCACTCTAGCGTCAACAACACTTTGGAGAAGAATTGTGGTGGACGCTTGATCATCGAAACTCTCTCCGAAGAGAACAAAGACGACGACCAAGTCCCTCTACTACCAGCGCGATGTCCTCCGCGCTCTGGTACCACTCTGATTGAAGGCGAAGCCTACTACCAAGCGATTTTGAAGACTACTGGGCTCGACTATACAGGGCTTTTCAGGGGCATGAAACAGGTCCGCCGAACCTTGGGATTCTCCACTGCTCAGGCGTCCTGGACGGTCGAAGAGGTCGGAAACAAATACCTGCTCCATCCTGGGCTGCTGGATGTCGCATTGCAAGCGATTCTTGCAGCATTCGTCAATCCTTGTCGCATCCCCATTCGAGGGTCACTCTTACCATCCGCTCTATCTCGGCTGGTGTTCGATCCTCATGCCCAATCCATCTCTGACGATGGCAAGGAAGTGGTCTTTGAGTCCGACTGTTTCTTGACAAACAATACAGTCCGCTCAGTCGAAGGCGACATTCACGTTTTCGGTCCATCGGGCCAGTGCCTGTTGCAAGTTGAAGGCTTCCGAATGGACAACTGGACAGAACCGAGTGCCTCAGAAGATCGGCCTGTCTTCTCTCGTCTTGACTACCAGCCGGATATATTCTATACGGATGGGAACAACCTGCCTGACCTCCAGCCTGATGGTGCTGAGCTACAACTGATCGAGGCCATCAACAGGGCATCGTTCTACTATCTACGCAGTTTCTTCTCGACTGTCTCGGAGGATCAGGTCGCTGGATGGACGTGGGATCGTCAAGCTTTCTACAAGGCTGTCAAGACTGTTATCCAGAAGACTCTCGCGGGTACACATCCGGTGACACAAAAGTCATGGATGAATGACACAGCCGCGCTCATGGAGAGCTACAAGCAGACAACCGCATTCCAGGACCAAGCAGATATGAAGGCTCTCCATGTTGCCGGAGAGCATCTGGCCAAGGTGATGGCAGGAGACGAGCGTCCTCTGGAAGTGTATCTTCGGCACAACGTCTGGGCTCCATTATACTCACACGGTCGCTACCAAGTCCGCCTAAACCGCACCATCGCCGACCTTGTTCGGTCATTTGCGCACCGATATCCACGAGCCAAGATTATGGAAGTCGGCGCAGGCAGTGCTGGTACTACAGTGAGCGTGTTGGAGCAGGTCGGCGACGCCATCGGCCAATATACCTTCACAGACGTTTCCGCTGGCTTCTTCGAGAAAGCACGAGAGCGCTTAGCCCACACGACTGCGGCAGTATCAGATCGTGTTCAGTACAAGGTCTTGGACCTCGAGCGTGATCCTCTCGAGCAGGGATTTGAGGCAGAGTCTCAAGACGTGATTATAGCAGCAAATGTTCTGCACGCTACTGCAGACTTGACCAAAGCCGTACAGAGCGTGCGCCGACTCCTGAAACCGGGAGGCTATTTGTTCATGCTGGAGGTGACAGGAGAGTATCTCGAAGGACTGTTGCTCATGGGTCCGCTGGAAGGCTGGTGGCTGGCCAACCGCGAAGGCAAGACGAGTCAGCCTGGATTAACACTCCAAGGGTGGGATGAGATGTTCCAAAACACTGGATTCACTGGCGTCGAGAAGTACCAGAGTGATGTGCCCGATCCAAACATGCAAGCGGTGTCTGTCGTCGTAACGCAAGCCACAGACGCCCGGATTGACACCCTCCGCTCTCCTCTCGATTTCCTCGACGACGTGCCTGTCAGTGATCAAGTGCTGATCATTGGTGGAGAGTCATTGGCCATGTCCAAGACCGTACGTGCCATTTCGCAGCATGTCGGGCGGTTTGCTGCTCGCGTTCAAGTTGTTCATAGCGTCGACAAGATCGATCCTGATGTTCATCTGGGCTCGCCTACAGCAGTCATCGCGTTGTGCGATCTAGAGCGTCCGTTCTTCGCGCTTCCTGTCACTGAGGCTCGTCTGAAGAAGCTCCAGGCTCTATTCTCTCATGCCACAGATGTGCTATGGGTGACCACGGGACATCTGGACGATCAAGATCCTTCCGCAGCCATGATGATCGGCCTTTGCAGAACGATGGTCATCGAGATTGAGCAACTGAATCTCCAATTCTTGAACACCAACAACAAGAGAGTCGATCCTCGCTTCGTGGTCGAGGCCTTTGTCCGCCTCAAGGTGGGCTCCTCGGATGCTTTTGCAGCCACGCCAGTCCTGTGGTCGAATGAACCGGAGTTGACACTCTCGTCCAACGGCGAAATCCTGATTCCACGTCTCAAGCCAGATACTGAGCGGAACAACAGACTCAATTCAGCTGCTCGACACATCACCAAAGCTGTCGACTCTACGGAGCTCGCCAGTAACGAGTACACGGTCGTGCCACAGGGTGATCACATCTACATCGAGGAAGACTCGCCATGGTTGCACACTGGCAAGCATGATGGATCGAAGCTCCTCGACGCCATCACTGTTCGAACCACTCTTTCGGTCACTCTACCGCATTGCGCATCGACAACCCTCATAACTGGATACGATCAAGCCGCCAAACCTGTCCTTGCCCTGACCAACTCTCACTCGTCCAAGGCGTCCATATCTCCCGCCTCAGTACTGCCACTGGAGAGCAACACACCCTTCACTGCGCAGCAACTTCGAGCCTACGCACACCTGATCGTGGCCAAGCAGATTCTTGCCGCTGTCCCATCGGAGATCTCTTCACGACGCTCCAAGACTGTCATTCATGGTGCTTCTACTGCTGTAGCCAACGCCATCAAATCTCTTGCCGGAGGGGATTCCACCATACTGTTCACACATTCTACTGCAGGATCAGACCTGAGTGGCATCCAACTGCACGCCCGATCATCCAATTACATCTTGCAACGCTCGCTCCCCGCTGGAGTCGGGTTCGTGGTGGCTCTCACCAAGGACGACGCCGTAGCGGACAAGTTATTGTCTATCTATGCGGGCAGCAGGCTGGATCTGGACGCATCGCTCTTTGGAAACAGAACAGTGTTGCAGAACTTCACCGTTGATGTGGGAGCTTTCGACAATACGAACAGCGTTGGTGATGAGCCAACTATACCTGCATTCATGTTGCCCACCTTGTCAGCATCTGCGCTCAGCTTCCCCTCTGTGGTCGACTGGTCAGGCAGTGCCGAACACCCATTACAAGTCAGTGTGAAGCCCATCGACGGAAGCGGACTCTTCTCCCCTGATAAATCATACCTGATGGTCAGCTTGGTATCCACGCTGGGCAGATCGATCTGCAGATGGATGGTCGAGAACGGAGCACGCCACATTGCCTTGGCCAGTCGCAGCGCCAAAGTAGACCCGCAGTGGTTGGACGAGATGGCTCACTTGGGCGCTGACATTCGGGTGTATCGAATGGACGTTTCGGACAAAGCATCTGTACAAAGCACTGTTGCCATGATGCGCGCGGAGATGCCACCCATTGCTGGAGTCGCCAACGCTGCTCTTGTGCTTCGAGATCGGCGCTTCCTCGATATGGATACTGCAGATATGACCGAAGTGCTCGCGCCCAAGGTCGACGGATCGTGGAATCTGCATGAGGAGTTCAACGATACCTCGCTGGACTTTTTCGTCTTGTTCTCCACTCTCTCCTGTGTCATTGGCAATGCAGGTCAGTCCAACTACGATGCTGCTTCACTCTACCAGGTCATGCTGGCGAAGCAGCGCCGTCAACAAGGCCTTCCTGCATCAGTCATGGAAGTCGGATGCGTCGCAGACGTGGGATATGTTGCGGAGCGTGGTCAATCACTCTTTGACAAGCTCGCACGGACGATGAAACTCCCTCTCTCCGAGTCGGATGTGCATCAGGTGTTTGCGGAAGCTGTAGCAGCCAGTCCAGTCCGAGAAGGCGAAGTTGTAGACTCTACTACTGCAGAAATTGTCAGTGGCATGGGCTACTACACCTACAACGCTCGCACGCCAAGTGAAGCCCATCCTCCGTGGTTCAACAACCTTCTCGCCTCGCATTATGTGAGAGAAGAAGCAGGAACAAGTGCAGTGTCAGGAGGCACTGGCGCCGACGATCTATCCGTCGCCACACGACTCGACGCAACCAACACTGAAGAATCGGCAGCGGCTGCGCTCACGCAGGCTCTAGCCGGCAGAGTAGAAACCATGCTGCAAATGAGCGCCAACAGCTTCAAAGCCGACGCATCTCTCCTCGACGTGGGAATTGACAGTTTGCTCGCCGTGGAACTCCGAACATGGTTCCTCAAAGAAATCCACGTCGACGTGCCCGTACTCAAAATCCTCAGCGGAGACAGTGGTGAAGCCATATGTGCATTTGCTGCCAGTCAGTATCTGGCCGAGAAGAACAAGACTGCAGGAGGAGGAGGGGGAACAACACCACCACCGCTGCCATCTGGAGCGCTCAGTCAAGATATGATGGCCACATCATCAGACTCGGACATGGCAGCAGAAGATGCGAGCAACTCGTCCGATATCGATACTCCTGGTTCCAGCGATGTGGAAGATTCTGCTTTGGCCACGAGCATCAGCAGTATGGGAGCCGAAACCAACCACGGCCACGAGGCAGAGGCAGAAGTAGAGGCCGAAGCAGCGGCAGAAGAAAAAGATGAAAAGGATGAAAGGGGAGAAGATGAAAATCTTTCACCGCCGGCAACGCTTCGAGCAATTGCACCCATGACGCACGCACAGGCAAGGTGAGTCTTTACCCTCATCGTGTCAAGTCCGTCCGTCCGTCCGTCCGTCCATATGTAGTTTTTTTCCAAAACTATATATGTCGATATGATGATGATGATGACAATACCTTTTCTTTTGCTTTCTTTCCACTTTCACATATATCCATCTATCTATTATGTTATACCTTTTGAAAAAGAAAGAAACCGAAAAAATAACTAATCAAACCCCTCCCTCCTTTCTTCGGGGGCCTCTCGCATTCATAGACTCTGGACATCCGACCACATCTCTTCCTCCAATTCTACCACTACTACAACCACTACTACCCCGCAAAACAACAACAATCTCCTCCAATACCATGTCCAAGGATTCATCCACATCCCTCGCCTCCGCCGGGCCATCGAGACCGTAATCGCGCACCACGAAGGTTTACACACATGTTTCTTCCACGACGCAACGACAAATTCGCCTCGACAAGGCCTTCTTGACTCTTCTTCTTCTTCCACGGGCAAAAAGAGTCCAATCGAATATTTCAAACATATTCCCTTCACTGCCAACAATGAAAAAGACAGCAACAACGACAAAGAAACTCTCCTCAAAACCATCCAAACCTCCCTCCTGACGCGAAACTGGCGTCTTCACATGGGAGAAATTCTCTCCGTCGTATTACTCTCTCATTCTCACGAGACGCATACATTGTTGATAGGATATCACCATATCGGCATGGATGGGTCTGCTTGGAGAATATTTTTTCGGGATTTGAATTTGGCTTATCGAGGGGTTGTTTTACCTCCTTCTTCTTCTTTGGGAGGAGAGAAGGGGAATAGGAGGAGTTTAATCGAGGTTGCGAGAATGGAACAGCAACAACAGGAAGAGGAAGAAAATACTACTACTACAACTACGACAACGACAACGACAACGACAATGACAATGTCAATGTCCAGTAGTAGTAAGAGTAAGAACTACTGGAAAACCCTCCTCTCACCACCCCCCTCTCCCTTTCCCCTCTTGGAAATCTCCTCGGTCAAAACACGACCCATGATGGAGAATTTCACGAATAATATTTGTCTTGTGGAACTGGATGCAGAAATTGTCCAAGGTGTGAATTCTTGCAGTCGATCTCTGGGAGTTACAGCTGTGAATTTTTATTTGGCGGGAGTACAATTTCTCTTGTCGAGATTTTTGAGTTTGAGTACGACGAGTACTGGATGTGGAAGCACTACCACCACGGAAAAAGAAGAGGAAAAAGAAGAAGAAGAAGAAGAAAAAGAAGATTTCTGCATCGGCATCACCGACTCCGGACGAGATTCCTCCACAGCAGAAACAATAGGATTTTTCCTCAATTTGCTCCCATTGCGACTTGGACGAACGCGAAAAAACCAAATCAAATCCTTTGGCCAATTAGTCCGGCACGTCAACACCGTCTACCGCGCAGCACGAGAACATTCCCACATTCCCTTCAACACCATTCTCGAACAAGTCGGAGGAATCACGCGCGATCCCACATGTCCACCCCTCTTCCAAATCGGCTTCGACATCCGCCCGGGCGGACAATCTGCCAAACTGCCCCTGGGGGAAAATACGCAAATGACGATTCAAGAGACGCACGATTCTACTTTACCTTACGATTTGGCGTTTTGCGTGACTCCGATGCCTGTATCATCCGGACCGTCGTTTGTGCAAGTCGTGGCGCGACAGGATTTGTATTCTCGCGAGGCGACGGAGTTGTTGGCGCAGATGTATGTTGCTGTGATTACAAATGTGGTGCGGTCGTCGGCGGCGGCGGCGGCGGGGGGCGTCCTGGAGACGCCGTTGGAAGGGTTGAGCATTTATCCTCCTGCGGGTATGCAACGGGCTTTGGAGTTTGGGGCGCCGAGGGAGAAGGTGTTTGAGGAGTGGCCGGAGACGATTACGGGACGAGTGGATGAGATATCTCGACATCGTTCAACGACGGTTGCCATGAAGGATGTCTCGGGGTCAATGACCTATGCAGAGCTATCAACCGCTGTGACTACATTGTCAGGGCGTCTGCTTCCCTACCGAGGTCAACGGATCGCCGTCCTTGTAGAGCCTCAGAGAGAGTGGGTGATTGGCATGCTCTCCATTCTCAGGGCGGGCGCGACATTCATCTCGCTCGATGCGACTCTGCCTCCTGCACGACTCGGAGGCATCATTCGGGCATGTGAGCCAAGCGTTATCCTCGCTCATGCTGCAACTACAGCTTTATCCTCGCAAGTGCTCCTCGAATCGGGACCAAGTGCACAACCATCGGTCATGTTCTTCGAAGACACTCAGGAGGGCGACGAAGATGTGGGGAATTTCGAAGACCCAAGCAGAGCATCGTTTATCATTTGTACCAGTGGAACCAGCACAGGTGTTCCCAAAGCCATTCTGCTGTCTTCCCGCGGCTTTCTCAACAACCTCGCCAACCGGAAAGGATTGCATGATATCCACGCCGACGAAGTCATCTTGCAGAAAAGCGGACTAGGCTTCGATATGGCCATCGCAGAGACGCTGATGGCGATCACGCACGGAGGCACTCTGGTCATCGCTCCTCAAGCCAGTCGTGGCGATCCCGTGGCCATGACCGACTTGATGGTCCAGGAACAAGTGACGATGACTTTTGCGTGTCCGACCGAGTACCTCATGTGGATCCGTCATTGCAGCGATACACTTTCCAGGCTCACTCGCTGGCGGCTGGCCGAGTGTGGTGGGGAGAAACTCCCCAAAGCATTGCGGAGAGCGCTACAGACACTTCGCTGCCATCCCATCCCATTGCTGATGGATGCATATGGACCGGCCGAGGTGACCATCTGCGCAACTCTGCAATGCAATGAAGAGGAAGCGTACAGCATAGATGACGATGATGATGGTCTGACTGCAGGTTCATCTTCCGTCGGTCGACCTCTTGCCAATGTGGGAATCTTCATCGTCGATTCTCGTGGTCGCCTGTGCCCACCAGGTATTCCAGGGGAAATTTGCATCACTGGAGTCGGCGTTGCCTTGGGATATGTTGATGCAAAAGCCACTGCAAAGGCATTTGTGGAGAACTTCACCATTGATCGTGATGATGGCACCACCCTTTCCATGGGAAGAATGTACAAGACGGGAGACCGAGGCGTCTGGCGAGCGGATGGCACACTAGGCTATCTGAGCCGAATGAGCACGGACACGATGGTCAAGATCCGTGGTCAGCGCGTCGATATGAGTGATGTGGAAACGGCCATTCTCTCTGAAGCATCGGATCTCGTCTCCGAGGCTGTCGTCACACATCATGAGGAAGAGGAGGACGCGTTCCTCGTCGCGCACGTGGTACTCAGTGGTACCACCTCCAGTGGTGGTCGAGAAGACATCGCCGCCGCCGTCGATCTTCCCCCAAAAGATGACCTACAACTGGAGCAGCTGATGCAGAATCTAGCGCTTCCGCGATACATGAAGCCAGCACGCGTGAATCTCCTGGAGAAGCTACCTCTAACTGCCAATGGGAAAGTCGACCGTCACGCATTGGCTCGTAATCCTCTCCCTCCCAGACAACAAAAGAAGATTGAACAACAGCGTCATGACCAGGCGAGCAGCATCACTACCCTGAAAGAAGTAGAGCTGCATCTCCTGTGGCAGCGCGTGCTGCGTCGCGTCGATATCCCGCGGCATCGAGACGTCGACTTTTGGGCCATGGGAGGCTCGTCTCTGCATATGGTCAAGCTACAGGCCGCCGTTCGTACAGACATGTTAGTTCAACTCTCGATTCGGGACATGTTCATGCACAGCACATTGGGGAGCATGAGTGACTTGATCAGCAATCGCACAGCGCCGACAAGTGCTTCTATCAATTGGGACCAGGAGACGGAAGTCCCGTCCGCTTTATGCTTGAGTCTGGCCTCGGCACCCGCGAGCCAGCCGCTCTCATCGCTCTCAGGAGGAGGAGGAGGAGGAGGAGGAGGAGGAGAAGTTCTGATGACCGGTGCAGACGGGTTCCTGGGCAGGCATATCCTCTTCGCCCTCCTTCGCAACCCTTCCATTCGGCGGGTGCATTGCCTTGGCGTATCCTCATCCGCTTTTGCGAACACTTGTCCTGGTGCAGTAGACGACTCTTCACGCCTCACCTTCTACGAAGAGAGCAGTCTCCAGCAACAAAACTTCGGCCTGACGGAAGAGACCATCACCACACTCATGGACACAGTCGACGGCATCATCATCGCCGGCGCTCATGGGCATTGCCTCAACAACTATCTCTCCTTGCGCCGAGCAAACGTGACTAGCACCAAGACGCTGGCAGCGTGGGCAGCTCGCCGCCGAATCCCGCTCCATTTCATCTCATCCAATCGCGTCACGCTGCTGCAATCGGCAACGACAGCACTCCCACCAGTCAGTCTCCACCACTTTCCACCCCACAGAGATGGCTCCGAAGGCTTCACAGCATCCAAATGGGTCGGTGAAGTCTTCCTCGAGCGTCTCGCGGCGGCAGCGGCAAAAGGTGGAGGATCGGCAGGGACGGGAAGATGTTTTCCCATCACGATCCATCGACCATGCGCAGTCATTGGCAGCGAAGCTCCCTCTGAAGACTCTCTGAATGCAATATTGAAATTCTCGAGGGTGCTGCAGGCGGTGCCGAAGCTGTCGAGTCTTCCGGTGAAGGGATATTTTGATTTTGCTCGTGTGGAAGATGTCGCTGCAGAGATTGCGGGAGTGGTGATGCAGCAGCAGCAGCAGCAAGCGGAGAATTCGGGAGCGGGAGTGCAGATTCGGCATCATAGTAGTGGGGTGCAGGTGCCGCCGAGCGAATTCCGGGCGTATATGGAAAAGGTTCATGGCGGCGGCGGCGGCGGGGAGTTTGGTGAGGTCGAACTGGAGGAGTGGATAGAAAAGGCGTTGTTGGTGGGACTGGAGCCGATGATTGCCGTGTACTTGCGGGCGGTGGTGGAGAGTGGGAGAGATATTGTGTTTCCGTATATGGGAGAGCCATTGCCTGTGTGTGCAGTGTAGGTAGTGTAGTGTAGGATAGAATACAACACCTACCTTACCTTGCTGACCTTACTCCTACTCGTGTTGTAAAGACGGTATACCGCCAAGGCCTAGTTGATTCCCATCTGTTCTCGCTCTGCGATATTGTGCCATTGATCATCTGCTTCGGACATTCAGCGTGCAGGACATGTCTCCCACATGATGACATTCTACCCATCGGTCAGCGAGATGGCAGGCTAGCTTACCTACCTGTACCTAGGAAGTACCTTATGAAAGGGCAGAAATTGACCAGAGTGGTCAAATATTGATCGAATGATTTGATGAGAAAAAGAAATGGTGGGAACGAACGGTTCATGCATGGCCGGCTGCATACATGTGCTTTATGTACATGTACCTTACCTTATGCATGTATATTCCATGTCTTTTGATGCAGGCCAGAATCCTAGCGTAAGGTACCAGGTAGGTAGGTACACGAGCTTACCATCTGTTTCAGAAGGAGAGAGAACGAGATGATGATGACGATGATGAGTAAGTGAGAGCGATATGTACTTTTTATGGCTGCGTATATCTCGCATACATGATGTACCTACCGCCTACCTCCTACTCTCAGTAACGAACAAGACAAGCAACAAGACACGAACCACACATGTCGTTGTTCTGAGCGAGTGGAACCGTGGTAGAGATGCTTCTTTGATGACTTCTTCGTCGCTCTAGATCGTGTGCTCTGACTGGGTCTGACGGTCTGACCGGGTCGGGGCGAAACCGTGCCACGTTTTTTGGGAAAACTGTGCTGTGTATGTGCCGACCTTTACCGTAGCGTGCATAAGAACGGCAACGCTTTCCACCATTCGGAGATACCTACTAGGTGCTCATGTAGGTACCGCCTAGGTATATGTAGTATACCACTGGAGAGCGAATACGGTAGCAAGAGGGAGGTGGATGTGTGCGAGAATAAAAGATGCAACAAAAGTGTTATTTTTGGGTGAAGAGAGAGTCTCAAGAGATCATACCTCCGTAGATGTGTCTCTAGTAAAATGAAGAGGGACTCTCGAGTCGCATGTTGTCGGTGCGCCCACACGCCGCTTTCCAATAGTCTCCCTTTTTGCTGCTGACTGCACGCGCTCATCACAACCTAATCACAGCTGCAGTGAGCCTAAGGTATGCACCTCCACCTCCTAGTTCGAGGCGCTTGCCTTTATTTTGCCCACCCACAAATGGAACACCTCCAGGCTGCAGGCTGCAGAGAAGAGTCACCGTTTCACACCGTCTCGACTACACTTGGCAGGCACCAGGAACCCACTCTGCCAAGCACGAATCGAATCGAGTCCGGACCTGAACTGCCTCTGCCCTTGACGCTGGTGATGGTGATGGTGGTTGGTGGTTGGGATGATTGCTGATGAGGTCGTCGCTAGGAGGTATGCCTACTGTACATGAGCGACACAGTACTACTTTTACAACACGAGTAGTCGAGATGAGGATCGGAGTGGATGGATGGTGCATGGAGCTGGTGGCGGTCACTTGGCTGAACTGCGGCTTCCGTGCCCTCATTACGGCTGTTTGAGGAAGTCCGTATTATTATTATTCTTGTTTTTCTTTTGATTTTTTTCACGAATCGCGCCTCTTCCTTGGCCATGCAAGCATGTACCTGCAGCACCAAGGGCGGTCATACTGCTGACTATTACCTCCTACCTACAGGTACTTGTAGACCATACCGAGCACACGCTTGTTCTCACGCTCGTGGTAGAGGACACGATGTGCTGTGCTGTATGCCATCATGAATGGGAGAGTACAGGTGAGTGGGTAGGAGGTAGAGACGAGAGGAGAGAGGAGAGAAGAGACGAGAAAATCGAATGAAAATCCGAAGCCAATGCCAATCTCTCAGTGGTGCCGCCCGTCGTGATTCTCCAAAGTCTATTCGGGGGAGTGTGCAGAATTGCGAAAGTGACAGGCACGAGCGGGCGGGTACAGGGATGCCCAAAGTCAGTTTGGTTCCAAGGAGAGAAGAATGCGGCGCTGCCTCGCTTCCCGTGCGCTTGCGACCGTTTTCATCTTTTTCGGCTACTTCGACCACAACAACAACAACCACCACCACCGCTTCTTCTTCTTTTCTTCTTCACTTCGCACCCCGTGCACCCACACTCTCTCTACCACCGCCACCACGCTCTCTCCGTCGTGCCCTCATCCCGCCGACAGCACCACATCCTTTGCAAGGCTACTCCGTCACCACTGTCAACACACACACACACACACGACATTCCGCAGCTTCACCCCCAGCACCAGTCAAGCAGCACCAGCAGCATTCCTTGCGCCTTGTCAAAGCAACACTCAGCATTACTGCACTGCAAAGCATCACTTGACGTGACCCGGTCGCCGCCCTCGTCAGTCTGCCCTGCTCTGCCCTGTCCTGCCCTGTTCTGCCCTGTCATCACCATCATCATCATTATCTTCATTATCTTCACACACACGCCCATCGCACCGTGACCTTCACATTCATTTCCACCGCCGCCGCACATTGACATTGATCACGCCGCCCTGTCTGCCCTATCTCCTACGCGCATCACCTTCCCCCATGACATCCGTTCTCGCACGCTTTGCATTCTTCTTGTAACCCATCACCACTCTCCGACGACTGCACTGCACCTTGCAACCATCGGTAAACTGACTGGCCTGGGTCCGCAGTATCCATACAGAAGCACTTCCATAACCCCGCATCGTCATTCATCATGAAAGCTGGTCTTCTTACCATCGCGGCCTTGACTGCCGTCGCCTCTGCCCAGGTCCACCGCCGTGGCCACAGACACGCTCGTCGCGGAGATGCCGTCGAGTACCACCAGGAGGTGCAGATTGTGACCGCCACCGCTCCTGGCGCCATTGTCTACGTGGATGGCAATGGAAACCCCGTTTCGACCGACTACCCCGGTGCTCCTGCCCCGACCCCAGAACCATATGCGCCACCACCACCTCCACCAGCATATGAGGCCCCACCAGAGCCACCAAAGGCTTCCACCCCCGAGCCACCAGCAGCGCCAGCTCCTGCACCAGTCGAGCCACCAAAGGCCCCAGAGGCTCCCAAGGAACAGAGCCCAGCTCCGCCTACGTACCAGCCTAAGCCCGCTCCAGGCGGTTCTTCCGGCCAGGGCATCGTGTACTCTCCATACAACAATGATGGAACCTGCAAGTCGCAGGATCAAGTCAATGCCGACTTTGCCAAGATCAACGGCTACGGAATGGTCCGTATCTATGGCACCGACTGTGACCAGGTCAACACGGTCAAGACTGCCGCCACCGCCAAGGGCATGAAGCTCTTTGTCGGTATCTTCGACATCAACTCGGTCCAGGCCGAGGCCGACAAGATCATCGCCGCTGTCAAGGGTGACTGGAGCTCCATTGACACAGTTTCCGTCGGCAACGAGCTCGTCAACGCCGGTGGAAGTGTCTCTGCCGTCGTCGCCGCTGTCAACTCGGCCCGTTCGATCCTCAAGGCCGCCGGCTACTCGGGTCCTGTGGTCACTGTCGACACCTTTGTCGCCATGATTGCCAACCCCGAGCTCTGCCAGTGCTCCGATTACGCCGCTGCCAATGCGCACGCTTTCTTCGATGGCGGTCGCACTGCCGAGCAAGCCGGCGAGTTTGTGCTCGAGCAGTCGAAGCGTGTCGCTTCGGCCTGTGGTGGCAAGAAGGTCGTCATCACTGAGAGTGGCTGGCCATGGCAGGGTGCCACCAACGGCGCCGCTGTCCCCAGCAAGGAGAACCAGAAGGTCGCCATCGACAGCCTGAAATCCAAGTTCCCCGAGAACATTTTCCTCTTCACCGCCTTTGATGATCTCTGGAAGGAGAACAACGCCGCCACGCACGGTGCGGAATGCTTCTGGGGTTTCGTCGAGCAGTCCGCATAGATGCCTTGTCTCTGTCACACAGTCAGCCAAAATCATGCATATGCACAGCAATAGAAGTCCCAGGAAACGAGATATGGGTGCAAGCACGCCATTGTACAGAGGTCCCTTTTTGCACTCTCTGCTGCGATTGAGAAGCATTTGCATCGGATGGAAGGGAAGGGAATGGTACCGGGAATCGGGACCAGGGCGTTGGAACTCTTTTTTTTTTCCTCTTCTCTCACTGCAAGAGTCTGTTTCCAGTCGAGACTCCAGTGTCCGAGCGCAGTGCTGGTCATGTGCCTAGTCCTGACAGTATGATAGAACTAGCCTGTGCCTCTTCAACGAATGCCATGTCACAGATTCTCAGCTTCACACTTTTTCCACCACCAGTAGAATGGAGAGTAAGCATGATGGAAAGCTGAGGTAGATGGATGAAGAAAGGGGTCGTGTCAAGGGTAAGTGGGCCAGCAGCAGGTACTTGTACTTTTTTTTCCACTTTGCCTTTCGGAACAACTGCTGCTTTTTTTCATGTGGTGTGGTCACGGCCGATGTTTGCTGACGTGGTGGTGTGGTACAAGGCGATCGGTTGAAAGAGTGGGAGCTTCTTAGGTTTATATTACTCCACCTTTACCTACCTCTTGTCCTCTTTCACACCACCACCTTCTTCTCGACTTTTGACTTGTCCGAAGAACCTTGATTTTGCCTTGTACATGTAGGTAGGTACTGTATGAGGTATGATCTTTTTGTACAGGATTGGTAAGGTCAGGTATTCTTTATTGATTATTGATGGATATTGAGTCTTTTTAGGTTGTTGAGTTTTGATACCTACCTTACCTGGTTTTGTACCTAGGTAGTTCTAACTTCTATGGTACCGTTAGGTACTTACCTACCTATCTTGTCCTCATTAGTTCTTCCAGCGGGTTGAACGGCGCCAACTTCCTCTCTAGGAGATATCCTATCTATCTACCTATATCCATCTAGCTCCTCGTGCTACCTCCTACAAGCTCTAGACCTTCCATGGCACTATGCTCTAATCTCTAGCCTCTAATCCCTACTTACTACATCTCCGCAGTTCCTACTCTGCTCCACCCCATCCACATCACCCCACAGTTCCAACCAAAACCAACCTCTCCACCTCATCCTTCCCCTCATTCCCACCAAAGATAAAGAAACCAAGAAACAAATAAAAAAACAAATAAAAGATAAAAAAAAAATGGCCTGGCGAAGCAGCGGCCTCACAAACACCGACCTCATCACCAACCTCTCCCGCAACCACCTCATCACCTCCTCCCGCGTCCGCTCCGCCATGCTCCGCGTCGACCGCGCCCACTACTCTCCCATATCCCCCTACGAAGATTCTCCACAACGGATCGGTTTCCATGCGACAATTTCCGCTCCGCATATGCATGCGAATGCTGCTGAGGCGTTGTTGGAGTTTTTGCGGCCGGGGAATCGGGTCTTGGATGTTGGGAGTGGGAGTGGGTATTTGACGCATGTTTTGGGGGAGTTGGTGAGGGGGGATGATGGTGATGATGAGGGTGATGGGGGAAAGGGAAAGGGAAAGGTGGTTGGTGTGGAACATATTCAAGCTTTGGTGGATTTGAGTCGGGAGAATACGGGAAAGAGTGCAGAGGGGAGGGAGTTGATGGAAAAGGGAATTCTACAATATGTGAGAGGGGATGGGAGGTTAGGGTGGGAGGCAGAGGCGCCGTATGATGCGATTCATGTCGGTGCTGCGGCTGCGGGGCATCAGCAGAGGTTGATTGATCAGTTGAAGTCTCCGGGGAGATTGTTTATTCCCGTGGAAGAGGAGGGTTTGCAGCATGTTTATGTCGTGGATAAGGATGCCGAGGGGAGGGTGACGAAGAAGAGGGAGTATGGAGTGAGATATGTCCCGTTGACGGATGCTCCGGTGGAGTGAGGGTCTTTGTGAGGATGTAAATGTCGTTGCGGAAGAAGATGATATGGGATATACGGTACCTCGAGGAAGGAAATACTGGACGTTATGGATGGTCACAGCTCACGACAATGTGCATGGCTCTCGTCAGAAACACCACGCAACGGAATCCTGCTCTCCTCCGGGCTGACACCGAGGGTCTCCTAATCTACGGACCTCAAGCAGTCTCGCCACGCCTACCTGTTTACCATCATACTCCCCGGACGGATAACTGATGAATCGTTGCTGGCTTGGACCATGAAAACAGACTGGAATACGAAACTATCTCATACCTACCTACGTTTGGCGAGATGGAGACCACTGATGCGGGATTATTCTTGTCAATGGACGCTGTAGCGATGTCCCTCGCATCTTGCTCTATGGCAATTCTCTGGCGTAAGTGAGAGTACCTTCTCAGGTCGAGTGAGTGGGAATCCATGATCGCTGTCTGTGTCAAATTAGAGGGATGTGACAGGAAGGAGTGGGCTCAAGTAGTACTGTGAGAATGGCTACTAAGGTATCTATCAGGAGGTATGTATGCATGGTTGAGCCTGTGCCTTAATTGGTATAGAGAGTCACCCGTTCCACCACAGCAGCTCAGAGAAAGTTGACATCAGCACGCCAAGTCTACGTAGATTTGCTGCTCATACCCAAGGACTGACTGTAGAGTAAGTAATTACCTACCTCCCTAAGACTTCCATTTGTTAGCCGCAGCTCTACTAGTAATAGTTGTACCTAGTAGTCTTTGTAAGAGTTATCGGGGGTGTTCCTATAGCTAGACTTGTGAATACCTCGAGGTCGAGGGCACCTATATACTATATATTAGCTAAGGTATCGTATATTCCTCTACTACTACTAATAGCAGTAGTTTATAAGCGGAAGAGAGGGAAGGGAAGGGAAGTCTGATAATACATATAGATAGCTGTATAATAAGTACCTTATTAAGGTTAGATAATATAGGTAGAGATAGAGTACACTACGTAATTGCGACTTCATCATTTCACTAGCCAGACAGCAAGCTGCACTAGTCGTACTGTAGAGTAGTATAGTGTAGACTCTTATTATAGGGAAATACCTTAATAATTAATTATATCGTTGCTATATAATGTATCTCTCCAGCTCGTTACTCCCTCACTGACGGCATGAACAACGACGACGACGAGGCCGAGAGAGTAGACAAGGCGGGCTATACGAGGCAATTATACCTTTATGTATGGGGCGCGCATGAAACGCAGGCAGGCCGGTTTCAGAAAAGCATGCTGTTGACGTCGCGCGCAAAAAAGGTGTGCCAAGACGCGTCCATTCGCTGGCTGTAAACCTTGCTGTCGGACCTCACACTCCAGCTTTCTCCTTCTCATTCACCAGTCACCCCCTTCAACACAACTTACTGCCTGGGTATCACCATCGACACCACCACTTCGACTTCAACTTCAACTTCAAGGCTAAGTAGTAGTGACGGCGACCACGACAGCGCTGACTCTCCTTCTCTCCTCCTTGAGCGACACCTTCCTTGAACTCATCACCACCATCAACTCCACCACCACCACCATCAACTCCACCACCGCTCCGACTGCGCTCTTCTGCCCGCCAGCGAGCTCTCTTCTCCTCGACACCACCACCACCACCTCATTTGTTGTCCGTCGCGTGGCTCATCACAACCACCATCACCTCCATCACCACGCCACTGCGACTCATCCGCGACCTTGCTCTTCCTTCCTCCTCCTCCTCCACCTCCTCCTCTTCGTCCGATCACTGCACTGCTGATTCTCCGCCATCACGAGCATTGCAACTCTCTCATCCACCCACTTCTTCTCGGCTCTCTTCCGCCGCTTCACGACACTCTTGACCGCTTCAGTCACCACCCACTATCATCACAACCTCTACCACGCACACATCCACGCACACACCCACGCACCCACACACCCAAACACACACACCCACACCCACATCTCCGTTGCTTCCAGTACACTACTGCATCCGCCCGCTTTCCATCAGCACGGATTCCCACGCGCACGTGTACGTAGGCCAGACAGACAGCCACATCAATCGCAAGACTATACCACACCAACAACTTTCTCTTTTCAACCTGTTCCACCACAGCTGCCATGGCCGAGACACCACACGAACTCCCTGCCCACACTCAGAAGCGCCCGCTCGAGGAGCCATCTTCGCCATCTGCGCCCACCGACCAACCTGACGCCAAGCGCCCCGCCCTCGACAAAATGCTTTCCGAGGAAGTTGCACCTCTGGATGAGCCTGCCGATGCCGCAACAGATGTCGCGCCAGAAGAGCCAGTTGTTGGAGAGGTCAATGACGCCGGCGTCGAGCCAGAGGCGGACGCTGCTGAGACTGCTGAGGTCAACCCCGAGGTCGAGGTCACAGACAAGCAAGGTGATACTGTTGTGCCAGATGCGCCTACCAATGGTGGTGTTCTTGTTGATGGGTCTTCTGCTGCTCCTGTCGCCGTGATCCCAGACCAAGCCCACAACGGTCCAGTCGATACCCGTGCGACCCCACAAGGCGCTCAGTCATATCACCAGCAAGATGAGTCCCAGTGGCTGCACGTTCGCGCCATCATCTCTAGTGCCGAGGCCGCGACTGTGATTGGCAAGGGAGGCGAGAACGTGAGCCAGATCCGCAAGCTTGCGGGCGCAAAGTGTACTGTCAGCGAATACACCCGCGGCGCCGTCGAGCGTGTCCTCACCGTGAGCGGACAGGTGGACGCCGTTGCCAAAGCGTTTGGCCTCATCATCCGCACTCTGAACCAAGAACCACTCGAGGAACCCTCCACCCCACAGTCCAAGACCTATCCCCTGCGTCTGCTCATTCCCCACATTCTCATCGGTTCCATCATTGGCAAACAAGGAGTTCGCATTCGAGAGATTCAGGAGGCGTCCGGTGCACGTTTGAATGCATCCGAGTCCTGCCTTCCTCTCTCTACTGAACGCTCTCTGGTCGTCCTTGGTGTCGCAGATGCGGTGCACATCGCTACCTACTATGTGGGCAGTACCTTGGTCGAGCAGCTGACCGATCGCTTCGGTGGACCCGCGGCCTCGAACTATGCCGGACGTCACGGCGGACCTCAGGGAGTCGTGCCAGGAGGCATGCAAGTTGTGCCCTACGTGCCACAGAACACCGGCGGACAAGTCGGACAGCCGGATAACAACCGCCGTCACAATGGTCCTCCTTCTCGTGGCCCACCTGTGCCATACGGAGCACCGTCCATGCACGGCCAGTCCCCTTACCCTCAGCAGCCAGTCGCACCCGTCCACTACGGTGCTGGCTCTCCACGTGCCCCATACGCCGGTGCCGGACCTCATCAGGCTCATCCTTACGGTCACGCTGCGCCACAGCCAGGCCCAGGTCACGCCGGTCCTCCACAACAGCCCGTGCAAGGCGTGGGTCCGGGTCAGCCCATCACGCAGCAGATCTTCATCCCCAATGATATGGTAGGTGCTATCATCGGCAAGGGCGGCGCCAAGATCAACGAGATCAGACAGTTGTCGGGCAGCGTCATCAAGATCAATGAGCCCCAGGACAATAACAACGAGCGTCTCGTCACCATCACCGGAACCCAGGAATGCAACCAGATGGCTCTGTACATGCTGTACTCTCGTCTGGGCGAATCAAGCAAGAACTCCAACTCGATAATGCCAAGATAAATCCATCATACTCGAGTATACTTGAGCGATGGAGTAGCTGTAAGAGTAATGTACAGTTTACTGTTTCTGCTATTCGGTTTCTGGTTGTGTGTTCACAGTCATACTCGGTTGCGATGGCTGCCAGAATCGGCGGCCAAAGAGTGTGCACGGCCTAATGGTTTGGATCTTTCGGTCCGAACAGAGTTGCTTGAAGCGAGACACGCTTCCCATGATGCTGTACTTAGAGCAGGCGTTCGATTACTTCACGGCCTTTGATGAGGGAGGTTGCACAAGAAAGGCGTTAGGAGAATGGGTGGCAGCAATACCGGGGCGGCATCGTCCCAAAGCCGCGCAATTGGTTAATGGAATGCAAGATTGGTTCTCGATTGTTGCCACGTGCCGTTGACGCATTCCACGGGCTCGGTGCATCTGCTTGCTGCGAACACCCGTAGATAGGCAAACTCAACACAGTCTTCGCATCGACACGAGCCACATATACGCGCGCGTAGACCCATCCTCGTGCACCAGTACATAGGGTAAGTAACTTTTCTGCGTCACCCATTCACTCACACCTTTCATATTCACCCGTATGTCTTGTTCTATTGTTCTCTGCTACAACGTGTCTGTCGGTCCTCCGCATTCGGCGTGAAGCGAGCATGCGTTCTGTCTGACTTTTGCCGCATGCGACAAAGAAGAGAGACTTTGCAACGCAGTGAGATGCGACTGCATTGGTGCGACGGGCACATCTGCTTGCAGGTTTGTCTCGCCGCAAAGCTACTACCATCACCTCTCGACACTTACACTTCCTCTTCTTCTTCTTATTCCTCTCCCTACTTTCGTCGCCATCGTTGTTGGTTCTGCATGATCCCCTTGACACTACTTGTTCCCCCCCCCCCCTCTCCTGCATTACTGCTGTCCTCTTGCAGCAAGTCTGAAAGAAACACTATCCTCCTCCACCCAACCAGCATCCTGGATTCGATCGAGACGCCAGTGTGGTTTCGCCACTTACCCGCTGCGCCGACCACACCTCCCAACAACTTTGGCCCTCCGATGTCGACGACGGTTCATCATGTTGGTGTGCCCCCTATGGAGATACCCTCTCCTGCCCCAAGTGACACTTCGCAATCGACTCGACAAGGCGAGCAAGACACATCGATAGCGCCTCGCCGGACCGTCCGCGCTGGACGATCACCAGTTCGACCTTTGCTACGAACTGCCTTTCGCAACTTTTCGGGTGTGGCGACCGTCGTTGTGGGAGACTCTGGTCACAAGAGCCGACCACAGACACAGTACCTCGTGCACAAAGAATTGCTCACTTCGGCGAGTCCGTTCTTCGCCGCAGCCCTCAATGGCACTTTTGCAGAAGGCATGGAGCAAGTCGTTCGCCTGCCGGAAGAGAAGCCCGAATCTTTTGAGTGGTTCCTTCAATGGCTCTACACGGGAACACTCACCACCCAGCCCGTATCATCCCCGGACTCCTCCTCGTCCTCCTCTATCTCCGCTCGCGGCACCACGTATGGCCGAGGCAACGACCAACAAGCACACATCCGTCTCGCGAATGGCAACGTCCTCCCGCACCACCCCGCTCTCTACGACATCCACCTCGACGGCGACCTTCGCAACAACGCCGGCAGTCCCAAATACTTCCTCCTCCTCGACCTCTACTCCCTCAGTGACCGACTCCTCACCACCCCTCTCAGCAACCACATCCTCACCACCATCGCCCGTCTCTCCGAAGCCACCAACTCGGTCCCCACCCCCAGCGACACATGGATTCTCTACGACACCATCCGCGACACCTCCCCACTCCGCTCCCTCATCCTCGACCTCTTCGCCTACAAAAAAACCGACAAATTACTCGAAACCCACAAAGATGACTGGCACCCCCGCTTCCTACGCGAACTCGTCGTCAAACTCAAACGTCCCGGTCCCGAAGCCATTGAACGCCATTCCCTCGTCGCATGGCGCCCTCGCAGTTGGAGCACGAGCAAAGCGTGTGAAGGCTGCAAAGAAGTTTTGAAACCAGGCTTATCCGTCGACAAGTGTTGTGCGTGTGAGAAGGTGTTTTGCGGCGATTGTTTACGACGCTGTGGGGATGGTGTCGTGGCTGTGGGTCATGATGGGAGTGGATGTAAACCCTGGATGGGAAGGGGTATGTGTGGGAGATATCATGAGCATGAGGGAGGTGAGGCTTGTGGGTAAGGAAGGTTAGATATATAAAAGAAAAGAAACAAAAGATGGAAGAATTATCATCTACCTTGATTGAGATTAGAATCATTAGATGTAGTAGTCTCTAGAGAAATCAAGGGTTTGGGGCGGGGGTGGTTTATCATTTACATAGCGAGGAGTTGGGTTGTTTCAAACTGGGTTTACTACTTACTATACCTATGTACCGTACTTAAAGTGTGAAAGTAGTAATATAAAATGCAATCCGATAAAGATACAATTTGCATTCCGCGCACACGAATCAAAAATATTTCCTACGCAGCTTTTCTCTCATTCATGCCCCTGTCTAGCGATACGATACCCCTTTCCCCCTATTTTCCTCTTACAAAAAGAAACATACATAAAAAACAATCCCTTGTAAAATCCGCAAAACATTCAATCTTCTATGATGTATCAAAAGAGTGTAAGCCAGTTAACTAGCTCTCTCCTTCTCTCTCGCGTACGAATCGAACCCTATCCCCTCGAAATACTATCATATAGACCTCCTTTTTACCTCTAAAAGAATTCCTTACTACCTACCTGGCTACCTACCCTACCCAATCTATCCACCTATCTCCATGCATCTATCCACCTATCCACCCACTACACGAAACCAGCAAGTCGCAATTGAAGCATACCTATATAAAATAAGACAGTATCATGAATTGAAACTTAACAGTATAGTACTCAAAAAAAACCCCCTAGCCTATAAACCTCCAAAAAAGATTTCGAAATGTTCCTCGTATCAGAAAATTTCATTTCTTTTCCTAGATACTTACTACTACCCCCTAAGAAAAAACATGCTAGATTGCTTGTAGGTAAAAGACGTTACTTGTAGGAGACTCACCTGTCATTTTTGTCGCCCTGGCTGCTGCGAGATAACAAACATTAGAATTGTTAGAAGAGCTGTATATCCTAGGGCTCAGAGATGGGTAGAGCAAATCACACTCCAACTTCATTACAACTAATTGTCTCCGTTTCGTGACTTGAATCTGTGAGGATTACAACGCTTGCAATAACAGCGTGGTCTGTTCACCAGACCGGGGGTATCATACTTCGTGCTTATGTACTGTCTCCATCTATTTCATCCGTCGTAAAACTGGGTTGTGCTAGACACTGTTACCATGGTAGCTATCCATCGTAAGCGAACTGACTCAAGTTGAGACCCTGCTTGGCCTCTTCGGGACTCTCTGGCACGATCATGTCCTCACTTCCCTTCACGGGCAACTCCGACAGAGCCCGTGAGAAACCTCCCGGTCCCTTCTCGACCACAACCCATTCTTGCTCGTCCAGGATATCCTCATCAGCTTCAGCCACGTCAGAGCGGAAATTTGCGGCAGGAAGACCAGGCGGTGACTCCAGAACAATGCCGCTGTCGTCGACATCTGCAATGCTGTCTTCCACCTTGAACCCCATGTCCAATGCTGAAGGCAGTCGAGTCGGTGTGCGAGAAGGGAAAAGCGAGGAGGCTGGGCGTGATGGCGTCGTGCGTGTGGTCGATGAGTTATACCGCAGAGCGTTGAAGTTGAGACGGATAGACTTGCTGAACACGCTATGCTCTTGCGACGGGGTACTGCAAACGGAAATTGCGGATGTGCCGAGAGAGGCCGGCGACTCTGCAGTCATCGCACTTGGGGTGGCTGTCGACTGGAATGAGGTGTCAACTGTCGAGTCCTCGGCGGAGTCGGCAAAGACCTGCAACTTCTTCCTCTTTCGAGGAGAAGACTGTGTGGGAGCTGGTGTGGCCTCTGCATGCTTGACTACTTCGACGACCGCCGCGGCAGCCTCCTTGACAGAATCGTCGGACCACAAGTCAAACTCATCAGTCTTGCGACTCGACTTGCGCCGGATAGGAGGTCCTGGCTTCGGGCCATTGTTGACAAAGAAGCGACTCGTGGCTGTCTCGATCCCCGATGTTCCCTTCATGGCAGCGGCAATTCCAGAATCTGAGCATAGACGCTGCCGCTTAGGTGAAGCGCGTTGAGTGGGAGAGGGGTCCGTCACGGTGCGGCGCGAGCCCTGTGATGCCGAAGATCTCGGCTGAGCGTTGCTGGCAACCAAACCGTTGAATATGCGAGGTGCCGAAAAGTGCGATAATCTGGGTGCCGGTATGCGTGAAACTGGTTCAATAACAGAGGTCGGAGCTGCAGACCAAGATGTCAGACCCTGCGTCTCAAGCAGGTTCTGTTGGCTTGGTGAGTGTTTGAAGAGATTTGGGTCGAGCTCAGCAAGAGGCATGCGGCGTGACTTGAAGTAGTCGTCGATTGGCTTGCCACCGTGCTTCTCCATTGGAGAAGAGACTGATCGCCTGCTGTGGCCTAAGTGATGCAATCTGCTTGGTAGGACGATACGAGTCTTGGTATTCGGGTGGAGATCACCAATTGCCACACCGTAAGCATGGTCGGCTTCGACGTGATGTCCTATGTATGGCATCAATTCAACATTCAACCCAGCCGGGAGCGGGTTGAGATGGGTCAGGCATTGCGCTTCCTGGAGTGACACAAGCTGCTGTTAGCGAATGTAGCGCGGTGGCGACCCCGTTGAATGTAGCAGTACTCACTGGACAGAAAACCCATTGGTGCATGAAGGTCCGCTCTGCTCGATAGAAGGCGTCGAGATAGTCCTTTGGAACCTTCATCTTGCCATCAAACTGCACGGTGCGCACGATTTTTTCGATAGTCTTGTGCTTGCGAACTAGACGGTAGGCAGTCTTGAGTCCTATCTTGTCGATGCCGGGCAAGTAGTCGCAGCCACTCAGCATAGCCATCATACGGAACTCCTTGTCAGACCAGCCTACCAGGCTGATGTCGCGAACGGAGGTGAAGTCGGCGCGGTTGACCTAACATGAGTCAGCGAGTGCGCGAACGGGTTGGGTTCAGTCACTTCTTACCATGACGCACTCTCCAAACTGGTCCAGCTTGGTGAGGAGGCAGTTGACGCCAAAGACCAAGAGATCCGAGTCTTCGCTGAGGACGCCGTTGATAATACCTTCCTTCTCAAGGTAGGCCAGTTGACTGTCCGCTTCATACGGCGCCACCACGTATTCCACATCCAACTTCCTCAACTCCTCAATCACTTCTCGTGCCATGACCGGCGTGACATCCACCGCCTTCTGCAACTCTAGCTGCGCCTGTGACGGTCTGCCCATCCTCAACATGTCCAATCCCACACGCTTGCTCTCTTTGCGTCTCGCAGCCCGTTCCTTCTCAGTATGTGCTTTGCTAGGAAGATAATCGCCGTCGAACACGAGGTAAGGTTTCACGCCGAAGTGGATGAGCATACGTACGCGGTGCATGACAAAGTCGATGTGCTTGCGGGTGGGTTTGCCCTCGGCCAACTCAATGGCACACGCCACGGTGCCGCGGTGCATCCAGCCATATGCGTCGACTCCGAGCGTCTGGCCAGCAAAGTGGCGGAGATGAGTGGGCTTGTGGATGCTCTTCAGCAGAGGGAGCAGGCCTGTGCGGGCGCGATATTAGGTCAGTATGAAGTGAGGTGAGGTGAGGTGAGGTGAGGTGAGGTGAGGGTGAGGTGAGGATGAGGTGGTGATGGTGAGGTCGGCGGAGTGCAGGACAGGACAGGAGAGGGAGCGGAGAGGGAGGATGTCTACCTTGAATACCCATGCTGCCTGCGGGAGGTGGTGGTGGCGGTGGTGGTGGTGGTGATATGTGGTTAGTCTCCGGTGGTGGTGGGCATGTCGTCTGACGGTGCAGTGCTGAAGATGTCACTGGCAAGTCGAATGAGACGGGAGCGATTGGCGATGTCGACTGCAGCGCGCCTCAGTACATCCAAGTGGAGAGGCTTTGGCTGAGGTAGGAGGTCCCGTAGTCGCGTCAAGCCAGAGACGCGCTCTTGCCGCCAAGCCTGGAGTACATGCCTGCCCTGCCGCTAAGCAAAACTCTCAATACCACAGCGACTTTTCCGCCGGGAAAATTCATTATTCGAGTGGCAAAGCATCATTTCAGCACTGAACGAAAGAAACCGCCCAGACCCACACGCCACTGCAGTCATGCCGTCCCAGCACAGCAAAGTGGTCAAGCATGTCCACAAGAAGAAGGGCGCCAAGATCAGCTCGCTTCACGAAAACAGCCGTGATGCAAAGAGAATCCGCAACGCCAGTGCTCGAGACGAGCGAGTCGCCAATATGCATTCCACCCGTCAGAAGCAAAATCGCACTTTTCTCGACAGGATCGCTTTCTTCCAAGACCGTCTACCCGAAACTCTGCACCCTCTGTCGGTGGACGAAATCAAATCGCACATTGAAGAGTACATATCTCGGTACGACGAGGAATTGGCAACTCTCAAGTCTGAGCGGAGACCGGGTCGGCCGGCGAGCACGAGGCAAGCTTTGTTGGAGCAGGCGGTGGAGAAGGAACGGCAGGAGTTCGAGAGTGGCTTCTGGGTGCCGGATTGTCAAGATGAGAGTACCTTGATGAAGTTGGATGGGTGGAAGGGTCAATGGCTGGAATTGGGCGTGATGCGCTTTGTCAGGATTGACAAGGAGGGTGTGATGAAGGAGAGTTCGTTTCCGCCGAGAGGTGCGTCGTAGACATGGCGAAACGCACAAGGCGCTGTACGGAACGCTCCCTTCCTAGGGCAGCGACGCCTTCAGACTCGTCCGCGCGAGAGCACAACTCTGACTGATGCCTGAGAGTGGTACCAAGCTCTACGTACGGTAGTCAAGATGGCGCGCACCCCCCCATGACAGCGCTGGTATCGATTCCAGCGGCATCATGCAGGACTCCGATACGTCCCTCGAGTCCGAGCAATGAATCTACCACTTGGAGTCTGAGACAGGGATAGATATGAACTCACATGAGCTGATTCTGCCGAGTAAAAGGACTCCCAAATCCAACGCCACGAGAACTTCCTGAAACGGGGATCGGCAATCGTCTGTCTACCATACTGCTTCAAAGCCGTCGCTCACATCATAGAGCCGAACACATTGATCATGGAGCGCCCGGGAAAAACTGACGCTACGGTCCGAGGTCGCAGTGTCCTTCATCAATGTGGCACCTTTCACCTAGGTTCAATAATGTCAGTAATGTAATCTGACACGCCATCATGGTCAGTCAACCAGCGAGCTACCAGACCAGTGACCGTTCTGAGAAAAACGAGTCCGAGTTCGAGCTCAGTCTCAATAAATTGATGGTAGAGGCCAGATGAGGTATACCCCAAAAATATTATTCCAAATCACCAATACATTTATTACCTATTAGGTGTTTAGGTATGCTCGAAAGCTGTACAAGCCTTCTTTTCTTTTCTTCTTCCTTTTTTTTCTGCTTTTTTTTGGTTTCACTTCTGCCTTCGTTTTTGTTTTTGTTTTTTGTTTGTTTGTTTTCCACTATTTCTTTTTTTTTCTTTTTGGGGAGGAGCCCGGGGAGGGTTTCTCCATTTGGTGAAGCGAGGCTGAGGTTGAGGTTGAGGCTACGTAGGGAAAGGAAAGGACCCTGGAAAGGAAGGCACTGTACTGTACTGCACTGTACTGTAGGTACTGTACTCTATTGGACGGGGGTTTGGAAAAGTGGAAGAATACCAGGTAGCGGTCGTTTAGTCGGGAGGGATACGTGTAAGCCGGGAGTTACATACATGCTTTACTGTACTGTATTCGAGGCGATCACTTACGACCTATTTGATGAATGTATAGGATCGTGATGGCTTCCGTCGTTATTGGCCAGGCTGCGTGGTTAGCGTTCTTTCAGCGTCCATGACCTTATACACGTCTAGGTACCACTGCAGTTGCTGAAGTTTCACAATTGTACAAGGTTGCTAGCTATCTAGGTAGATAGTGGCATGACGCCAGCGAGCTCCATTCCTAGGCGCTCATACTAGCTTTCGTTTGGATAGTCTAACAGAAGACGAAGCTGTCGCCAAACCCTTGCGGCAGAGCATCCACCGTCTGATGATCGTATGCGCCATAACTCCTCGGGCTCCGCCAATTCCACGCCCAAAACGCCTCTCATGATGAGCATCTTGCCATCTAGTACCCTCCTCGACCTCTGCCACGTGGGGCGCCTCCTCGTCCACCACCACGGCTGAAGCCTCCAGATCCAGAGAATCCTCGTGATCCACCTCGACCGCCGCCTCTACCGCCACGATCGCCAAAGCCTCCACGACCTCTCGGCGCACCGAAACCGCCTCGGCCTCTCGGTGCGCCGCGTCCGCCACGTCCAGCACCACCAGCACCTCTTGGCTTCTTCACTTTTGGTGCTCCTGGCGGTGGTTTAGGCTTGGGCAAGAACTTCTCCAGCGGCAATAGCTTGTCTCCTCCAATGTAAAACTTGTCCCCACTCTTGAAGCTCGTGGCTTGAATTCCTTCTTGTGGCTTAATCGTGAAGTGAACCTGGTTCAGTGGGCCCAGGATCTCATCGACCTTTCCTACTGGCGTCTTGTTCTCGAGGTATATTGGTGCGTTGAAGTATGGGATTTTGACGTTGATGGATTCGCACACCATTTCGCCTTCGGTCGCGTGGAGGAAGGTGCCCATTTCTGGAGGTTGTCTGTTAGTTCATTGGCACCTTGGCGAAGATTGGGCTGTCGCATACCGTAGACAGTGTCGGGAGGGCCATATGACTGCTGAAAACCACCTCTTCCGCCTCGCGCGCCGCCTCTGAAACCACCGCGACCACCACGATCACCGAAACCACCTCGTCCTCCACCGCGGAACGACATTTTTTTTGCACCGCTGCTCGCTGGACGTAGTTCAACTGTGAGTCGTCGTCCTCAGCATGCGCAAGTCGTGCGCTAGTACACTGGTATTATTCGTCACTCAAGCAGGAATGGCTAGCGGAGTCGTGTGTAGTCGATAATCGTTGTTGCGTTGTAGCTATGCTGTGGTGAAGCTTGGTATTCTAAATTTTGCAATGGAAGTCGGCGGTCGAGCTATTTCCCGCCGACATTTCTTGGCATAGTTCTCTCCTGGTCACGATCAATATTTGCACAGGGCTTTCCAGGTGGTTCAGTCTGCCACCGGCAACCTCTAATATAGGCGCCAGCACCGCTTTCAGGTGAAGTACTGCACATTCTTCTGCTTCTCGGAGCATCTCAAGCATGACCAAAACCCATCGAAAGGCAGCTACAAGCTCAGTGGATGCATTCGATAGACACTACGTTGCTATATGGGGTGAAGAAAGATGGCAGAAATCACTGCGGCCAGCGCTAGAGCAGCCGACCAGATATGCTTGCCTCCTGAACCGATATGTGCCCTTGGAAGCCTCAAAAGAGAAGCTCAGCCATCCTAGCACTGAAGAAGTCCCCCTTCATCTCCCGAAAGCGAGCGATAGAGAAGCAACAAATGTTCTGCTCCCAAATCTTGTAGCTCGCTATGCTAAGTCTGCAGACGGTCCAAGTTCTGTGCCATCCAGCGAGCCATTTCCAGCACCAATACCGGTGGCAGGTCAGTTGTATTCGCATTGGAATCTCGATGCTGCATCTTCCCTGGTAGCGCATCTCTTGGACGTTCAGCAGGGTGAGAATGTCCTCGATCTATGCGCAGCCCCTGGAGGCAAGTCTGTCAGCTTGGCACAGAACATCTGGGCACACTACCACGCCGACGATTCCGATGCAAAGTCCAAAGCTTTGCAGGAGAAGCGCCTGCAACTAGGTACTCTCCACTCCAATGAAGCCGACACTCCACGACAACGCCGGTTGGCAGAGAACCTGCGAGCATATCTGCCCAAGGCTCTCTTCGATTCACAGAGAGTGGTGACTTTACGTGTAGACGGAACAAGTCCGAAGGCGCACTACGAGCTGGTCGTCAAGACATCTGATGGGACTGTGAATTACGACAAGGTCTTGGTCGATGCGCCTTGTTCGTCAGAACGGCACATCATTCACGCACATGCCAATGCCAGGCTGGGTGGTCGTGAGGCACCCGAGATGGCGAATTGGCGACCTGGGTCTTCTAAACGCCTGGCTGAGACACAGTTGAAGTTGCTGATGACTGGCCTGCGGGTAGCAAAAGTCGGCGCCACGATCATGTATGCCACATGCTCGATTGAGCCGACCGAGAACGATGGGGTCATCGAGAAGATGCTGTCTCAAGTGGAAAAAGAGCGAAAGAAGGGCGTGAAGTGGTCTGTCAAGGTCGGCCTTCGCGCTGGCACTGGCGATGATGTGCTTGAAGCTGAGCTCGAAAAGAACTGGGCCGAAAGGACGAAGCACGGCTGGATTGTGCTGCCCGATCATCCTGGCGGGGGCAAATGGGGTCCGCTTTTCTTCGCTGTCTTGACCAAGGTCGTACAGTGATGTCTTGGGCCAAGGACAGACGCTTCGGCTGAATGAAGACAGATATCGGACGGAGAGCACTCCATACTGCCTCTTCACTCTTGTGTCCAGCTGAGCAAAGAGGTGACTATAAACTGGCTCCGGCACGAAAAATGTGTTCACGAAAGACTGTATAGGCCATTGTTGCTCTCCTTGAGATCCATCAATTACCGACAGCAGTGATGCCGAAGATGCTGTGGTCAATACTGTCACTCAACGATCTGTTCTTGCAATCGAAGAAATGCATTCTGTGCACCATCGCCAGGCAGCATCGGCATGTTTACCGAGAGAACCCCACGAGACAGGACAAGTGGTGTTCCGATTTGCCGCCCAGGACATACACTGTGCAGCATGAGTCGCGCCACATCCAATCGCAGGCGCCTCTCTTCCACTCCTCCATCACGTGGATACACAGCTGAAGGATTGTGGCTCCCTGGCTTCTATTTCGAGCAAGAGGAGGTCGATCGCTACAGCCGCAGCAAGGATTCGTCCACACACGCCAAGACCCTACTCTGGCTTTCTTCCAACGCCCTCGCGTCGTTCCTCCAATCTTTACACAGCCCCGAATCCTCACATCTCACGAGTCACAACTCACATCCATCTCACCGCCCTCGAAGGAGCGCTTGACTCTCGTTCCACCCCGCCCTCGAAGCAATGATCGAGCATGACTTCAGCCACCCTAATGCACATCTTGTCTGCTCCTGGCTCTTGGCTCTTTCTTGTGCTCCCGAAAGGGTGGAGTAATCGCTTTGCTGTCACCAGAAGGATTCGATACAGCATTCGACCAATGCGGTGCAGCGTGCGCAGTAGTTCCTCCCGAAGTGCAGCCAGCAGAGTAATCTATGTAAAGCGGCGCGTGTAACTAGTCGTGTCTTTGCACGTCCTCTCCAGTCTAGCAACACCTCTCGAATGCCAAGTGAGCCAGACACGACATTGACCGTTTGACCGATCAATACAACACTCGTACTGCTCACTCGCAGCGACATTTCCAGTCGATAAAATGGCAGACATTCCGGCCGAGAAACAGAATGCGCCTGCTCCTCCGTACCAGTCGCAGGAGCAGCAGCACACCCCGCCTTCCATGGGTCATCAAACGACAGATACCATCAACAGAGGCAGTGCGGTGTCTCCCGGTCCTCAAATGGCCATGACACCCAACGCGGCACCCTCTCAACAGGTCAGAGGGCACCAATATTTCAAAGGCATGTCATAGACTAACACCTCGAATGATAGCCTGAGATGACACAGCTGAATTTGCTCCGAGAACAACCCGAGCACATATATTGTCCTCGGGTAGGCAGAGTCTGCCTCACCAAGTCCGAGAGCAAGGACTCCGAGAAGACGTGGTTTGCAGTCATCGGTATTTGTCTTATCTGTCCCTGTGTTGCGTGTATTCCACTGAAGGGCTGCTGTGGTGACGGGATGCTGCAGGGTAAGCTACCAGTCGTTCTGCCAACCGCATGTTAGCTATCCTGACATGAGGACACAGACTGGGACCATTATTGCACTGGCTGCGGAAAGCAGCTCACGCATCGTCCATACAACAGAGAAGCTCAGATTTTAGCACCCGATCATGCTGCGGTCAACTCAGGAAGTTTCCCTCAGATGCAATATCAGTCACCCGTATCATCTCAGCCGCAGTATGCACAACAGCAGCATTAGGAACAGCAAGCACATCCAGACAATTGTGGCCGACACGATGAGAAGTCTGGAGTGTGGGTTCCAGTGGTTTGAGGTGAAAGTTGAGGCGATACAGCTCGAATGATGGCGAATGCGACTGATGGCGATTGATGTGGAAGGGCGTTCAATGCAATCATTATCAATCGATACTCATCAATAAAGACCTGTTGTGGAACACAGTACCACACCAATCCAGCAACAAGCTACTCGGGCTCAACCTAAAGCTAGCCTAGCCACGCGAATTAGAACGAACGAACAATATTACACTTTGCGATTGGTAGGCGAAGGGGGCTGTTCACAATGCTGTCTTACTCTGCCATGTGCTCGCCACCTGGCATCATGTCATGTCGATGCGGAGCCTGGTGACAAGGAAAAGGGAGGACGCCACGGCGGCGGCGACGGCGGCGGCGGCGCAATTGCCGCTCGATGCGCCCCGGCGGCTCAGACATAAGCTAGCGTATGATGCGTGCGATTGGACGTTCGTGCGCCAAGCCCAATGACTTTGTCCTCAGCTCACCCTTTTTGTCTAGGGGGCTGCTCACATCTCACAGTCATCTCGCATTAACGTTATATGCTCTCTTGGCGTTGGCTTCAACTTCACTTTGCATCTGCTAGGGTACCCTTTTCGATCCTTGGCCCCTTAGGACCTTAGGTTGCCTAGCAATGCTAGGGTAGCTTTGACCCCTGTCGGAATTACAAAACTCTCGATAATTCGATATGGAGAACACCCAGAAGCAGTCAGTGCAAGAAAGCATTTTAGTAATGACAAGCTACTGAGCATGACGAACGGGTAGTTGAAGGGCTAATGACCAAGTAAATGTAAGTACAAGTAGTTTCAAGGGAGGTCCATACCGCACATCATCACTTCTCTTTTCATTCCTCTCAACCACGACATCTGTCGACAAAACATACATGACAGCCAAAAAACAAAAGCCAACACCAAACATAACGAGATTCTTCAAAGAAAAATTATTCTTTCAACCATTCGTCCTCTACTACGCTCACATCCTCTTACTGCAGCTGAAATCTCAACCTCGAATTTCCTCCCCTTCCTCCCCTCAAATCCCATCATCATCCTGCAAGATCCCCGCACTCGTCTGAAATGTACTCCACGCCTCGCAAGAGTCCTCCAACTCTGTAGAATTATACAACCCCGCAATCTCATCATATCGTTCCACAAACTGCAAAGCAAATCCCTCAGCCGTATGCCACCCAATGCTGTGAAAAAAAAAATCCATCAGTCAATCAGTCTTTCCATCTGGCACAAAAAAATTTTTTTTGAAGAAGAAAAAGAAAAGTCGAAGGTATCCAATAGATAGAAAAAGGAGAGAGGCGTTCTGCAGAAAAAAAAATCACATACTGACAGTGCGCCAACCACACTCCAGGATTATCTGCTTGCCATGCAATGACGAGGTAGCCTGCAGCGGGGAGCATTTGGACGTCTCGGCGAGGAGGATTTTCGGTTTGGAGAACTGCGTTGGAATCTGCGTAGGTTCCGGAGCCGGAGGCGAGGACGAAGAAGTCGTGGCCGTGGAGGTGGATGGGGTCTTTGTCATGATGGTTGATGGTTAGTTGGGGGAGAAAAGGCTTTGGTAGATTGTTTGTCTCCTTTTTGGAAGGGGGAGAGGGGGGGAGGGGATGATATGCTAAGAAGAAGGGCAAAAAAAAGCGATGAAGCGTATGTTCTGTACGTGTGTGTGTGTGTGGATAGATGGGTGGATGGAAAGATAAGTATGACTTACGAGGCAAAGGAAAAGTCTGCTCAATAATCAAAGTCATCCAAGTATCTTTCGTAGGCATCTCCGTCACAGCATAACTTTCATTATACGTATTTTCGCCCTCAACAACCAACAAAGCAGTCGGTTGTTTCCAATTCACCACAAAATTCACATCTCCCAAAAACCACTTTTCCACCACTCCAGTTTCGATATCGCCGGCTTCGACGGTGACTTCATCGTCCAGCGAGACGTCGGCAGCTGTGCTCGCTGTCAACGCTACAAAGGGCACAATGGACGCGCTGGGTTCGCCGAGACAGTCGTTTTCGGTGATGGTGTAGGCTGTTGTGGTGGGTGTGGCTGTACTGTCGTCGTAGTGGATGATGCCTTTGATTAGATCGGGGTTGTAGTTGGTTGAACAGAAAGTGTCGGGGATGGCACGGAGCCAGAAGTCGGATGCGATAGAGGCTTGGTTTGCTGTGACGATCACATCGTAGCGTTGGCCCATGCCGATGGAGATGGAGGTGGTAGTGTAGGGAACGATGGGGACGAAATCGGATGCAATGACCTGGGATATATATAATATCAGCGAATAGACTTTTTCCAATCATCGGAACTCGTGTGGAGGGAGGCAGAAGTTTTCACCTGTAGAGTGTGATTATCGATGGAGAAATCAAAGTGAGTGTCAATTGCAGCATTGACGACTCGAAGGAGATAAGATGAGCCAGAAGTTACAGTCTGCTCCCAGTACGACCCCAGAGTGTCATTCATATTCGTGCCTAGCATCGGTCAACATCGCAGATTCGCGCCCTTCAATACATCGTAAAAAACGTACCATTGATCAGACCCGAGTCTGCAACTGGCGGACCAGTATACTGCACATAACTGTACAGCTGACTAGCAGTGAGATGGTCCCACTCCATCAAGAACAGATTTCCCAGGTCAACATCATAGTTGGCAGTAGCTGGGCCATTAATGATGATGCCACCAAACACACCGTCCCAGGCCTGCATGGCATAGTGGGAGTGATACCAGGAAGAGCCATACTGAGTCGCCTTGAAGGTATATGTCATGGTATCCCCAGGCGCTGTTGGACATTGCGTGATAGAAGGCACGCCATCGTATGGATTAGTGAAGTTTTGTCGAATACCATGGAAATGTACTGTTGTTCCATTGATGTCCAGAGAGTTGGTAACGTGAACGACAATAGTGTCACCCCTGTCATTCGATCAGTTCGTGAGGAAAAGGGATTAGGCAATAGAAAGAAGTTCATACCAATTTGCAATAATGGTAGGCCCGGGTAAACTTCCATTCACTGTAAGATATGTTCGCTCCACTCCATTAGGCGCCAGTGTAACATTCTGAATATCGAACCAGTACTCCACAGTCACACCAGTATCGGGTCCTTCATCGTAGTAATTGGTGCTCGTATCATAATCGCACCAAGTGCTACGATCATCGGCTGTATTTCCAGTGCAAGCAGATTGTCTGACAGCAACATCCCCCTGGTTTGGTGCAGCAAGAACAAGAGCGGCCAAAGAGCTCAGAGAGAAAAGGTTAAGGATGAGCATACTGAAAAAGGCGAAAGAATCGTGCGTTGTGCCAACGTAGGTGGCGTGGTAAAAACTGAAAGGGGCCGTCTCCAGCCGTGTCAATCACAGAGGTTTATACGACGTTCCAACTCCTGCTTTCCCATGCACATTCGGTGTGGTCCAGGTCTCCTGCAAACGACTCGTCAGCTCGGCTAGTCACTCAATATTCGCAATATTTGACGCTGCGCCCCAAAACCGGCTTGGGAATGAACATATAGTACGAGTACGTACACACTGCATGATACCGCTCATCTTTGCCTGTGATTATGCGTTCAGTAGACCTAGACCCCAGCTGGACTCCTGCCTGTAGAGTAATAATTGGAACGTACACATCTCTTACGCCCTGTGATCTGACCAATCGTAGGACTATGGATCATTCTATAGATCGACCCTTGGAACACCATGTTCACATTGCAGTGTATTCCTCCAAAGTCTATTTTGAAGTGAAGTGTACTGCAACCAGCATGTGAGAGCCGTGTCGGGCGCGCATCGTCCGTTGATTGGCTACGAGCTGCGTCTTGGCAAAGTCAAGCGAACTCTGTTCGCATACAAGGAGGACGTGCGCTGCAGAAACATTGTGGTCCCGAGATATTAAAGTGACTTAGAGCGATATCCATTTTCCATCATACTTGTTCTATCGCGCGAGGGTCGGTCGAGCTTCTTACAGATGTCTCGGACGAGAGTCCGTCCTGGTATCTATGGCTCCGCTACAGTACGTGGACGTCGAGCTGTCTCTTTTCGTGACATACTCCTTTGCTGGTAAATAAAGGAGGCGAGCTTACGACGGTGACGACGTGGAGTGGAGACAAGCTATAGCCCAAGAGTAAGGCTTTCTTGAAACAAGCAAGACTAAGACCGTGTTAGTCTATGACCGCCTCTTCTCCAATGTTGCAAACACCGTGACAGCCACCCTTCGACTTACCGAGTGACCACAAGCCCACATGTGCCGAACGAATGGGTTACATAGGCCCACCATGTACGTCTTTCGTCCACTGCTAGCCATGGCGTACGCGTCCCGAACACATCCACTTTCTTCGTCGGAGTAGTATGCCTACCTATGTAAGTAGTAGAGAGACCATGAATCGCTGAGTCCAAGGAAGCCTAAGGTAATCAGCAAGATTCGTTGACTCCCTCCTCAGTACGTCTCATCATGAAGTTCCTCGCATTCACTTCTGCCATCACCATCGCCTCTCTGGTGGGTTGTTGTTCAGCTCTTATCGCGCCTCAAAAGCGAGCGACAAGCAAAGCTCTCGGCGAAATCTACGCATACGGCACCAATATCTCCGGTTCTCAAGTCTTTGTCGACAATGGAATCGCATACATTGGCGACTCAACAGCAATGGACGGCGCAATGAATGTTACCTGTAAGTCCGGCAAAAAGAGAAAACACACAAGCCTGCCAGCCAGCCTTTTCTCCATATCAGCACAGTAGAAAGACACCGATCGCTAACCCTCGAGAGAACCCACCCAACCATTCAGTCGTACAAACCGGCACCGAAATCTCCGTCCACAAACATTACAGAAACGGCACCGATGCCGGCAGCGACGAATACCTCGCCATCGACACCACGGCGGGAGCTTCCAATCCCGTATTGATTGCCAATTCCGCAGCAGTTGCGGATGGATACACAACCGAGGGATTCAACCTCTACGGCATGCAGATTACGTGGCTGACGTCTAGCCGAGCGATGCAATCGAAATTTTACGTCGTGGAGACGGAGACTACGGATGTCTGGGAGCTGTACTGGAACGCTGATAGCGCTACTAGTGATAAAGGCACGGATGTTATTCTGAAGGCTTTTGGACCTCCAGACTTGGGGACCTCAGAGCCGTAATTGGAATGCGAAGCTATGATGCTGTTGAGGAGCGGGATGGAGAGAGAGAAGATGGCGATGAAGCGGGCTTACCAGGGATGGTACTGATCGTGCGTAGTCGTTGCGAGGTCGCTTGTATTTAGTAGTCGTTGGTACTGCGAGAGTCTTTTCTGTATTGATGAACGCTGGCCTGTATTTTTTTCTCCGAACTCAGGCACTTGCCAATCCCCTCAAACATCCTATTTCTAACATTCTCGAGGGCTACTGCACATATATAGTGCTCTTCTCGAGTAGAATGCAGTCGAAGATGGCTGAAAACCGCAGCGCTGAGGCATCTCTTTGGGGCCGTTCAACACTGTTCAACACTGCGATCAGTCAGTCGAAGTGCGCGATGAACTGCGATGTGATACTAGGAGAGTACGTACGTTGCGAACCATAGTTGGTAAGACATCTCATAGTCACCGACGCCACTCCATAGAACTCCACTGTTGACGCACCTCGACGCGCATGCGACGCGTAGGTCATTAGGGATCTTCCGGCTTTTCGGACACATACAGTAGTCTCGTCAGATCCGTCGAAGAGACATGTTATATACCTTACGTATACGTAGTTCAAAGCAGAATGCCGGGTGAACTGCGATGAACTTCGACGTATTGTGAAATTGAACTGCTGCAGCAAGGCATATGCAACAGTGGTTTCATAGGTACACGCAACTCAGTCTCGGGACCACCACATAGTCTCGATGCGACCATCTTCTTCTTCGAGCGCCTTGTTCAACACCTTCTCGTAGTTACAAGGAGTCGGCGTTCAGGCACCTGGTAGGCTGTGTTCGGCTTGCTCGAGCGTGGATGCCCATCGGTTGTGTTCATCTCGGCCTTCTCTTGGGTTGGCTTGTCCTGTACAGAGAGAGAGAGAGAGAGAGAGAGAGAGAGGGCTGCGAGTGAATGAAAGTACAAATGATTGAGCCTGGTCTGTAGTATGCCTTTTGACTTTTATCATGGATGGTAGGTAGGTCGTGCATGCCCGTACAAACAGTCGAGTAATCCTATCCTAAATGTACGCGTCGGAGATAGCAGCCCTAACGCATTCAAGAAGACTTCTTCGTCAATGCCACGTAGAGTATCTGTAGATCTGATGTATGCAATTGTGCAAAAGCGAAGGACTAAGGCGTAAAAAGGTGAAAGGTATACAAAAAGTACAAAAAGTTCGAGAATCGAACTTGTGATTTCCAAAGATTGATAAAGCTGCGTAGTGGAGTGACCCAAGGATTCATCTGGTAAAAGGCAAGGTGAATTTCGATTAAGCCAACTCCGCAGTCTGACAAATCACAATCTCTTCAAAATATGATTGTAAAACTAACCTCTCGCCAAGCCCGTCCCGAAGAAAAGCCCGTGTATGGCCTCTTAACTCTCACTTCTCACACTGACTGTGAACTGCCTCCCGAATCAAATGTACCGCGTCTTGAGTAATATATATATTGACGTTGTTGTTGTATTGCTAATATATATTTATACATATTTTCTGGTCATGCACCACAGAAGCCAAGCTACCCTATGATCCCGTCCCTCTTCCCCATATGCGGTCGCAACCGGGTAGAATCAATTGGTTTCAACTCTATTACGAATTCAAACGCGGCATCGAAGGTACCTTATAGAGTTGAAAGGACTGCGGAATCGGGAAGGATTGCGTAGAGATGGTGAAGTTTACAGGTAGGTAGGTATATGATGGAGAAGCAGCAAGAGACGCAGAGAAAAAAAAAAGGAAAAGTATCAGTTGACTGTCGTGTATCTCTTGACAGATATACCTTGCCTGTTGCTTGCGCCGGAGAAATTTAACAGTAGCTGGCTGGAGGTCCCCGAAGCCACCAGGTATGGAAACATCCCGAAAAGCGAGTTTCAGAGTAAAGTAGCTACCATACCTAGGTGAGTACTGGATAATCGGATTTTCTTCTTCCATATTCATGCCTGATTCCCGACCGAGGTATAACATATTGGTTCCACTCTTTGGCCTTCCCCAAAAGAAGAAAAAGAGGAAGAGGAAGAGGAAGAGAAAATAGACTTACTTTGATCGTCTTCGCATAGTTATAATACCTTGTTATATCATCACTACTGACAAAGATAATCTGATTTTTCTTTTTTTTTCTTTTTTTTTTTCTGATTATTTTCTTGTAGCTGTAGACCACCTGCGGTTGAAGAACTGATGGTATGGTATGGCATGGAAAACAGACACCGGGTATTCCTATTCCCACTTGGAAGGCTTTCGTTCGTGTTTCACGTGTTGCTCGTTTTTCCACACCTTCCTTCCTTCCTGCCTTCCTTCCTTCCCTCTCCCTCCCTCCTCCCTCCCTCCCTTCCTTCCGCATACCATACCCATACCTACCCGTACCCACACCCATATCATCGCGGGGGCGCGGCCAAGTCCATCTCCAACCAACCAACCAGCCTTTCATCATGGTACTCGTGACTTCGTATTATCGTGGGTGTTGTCTCTTCTTCTGCTTCTTCTGTTCCCTAGGGAGATTGGTGGGAAAAGGGTCGCTTTTCACAACACCAGTCAATCCCCCTCGAAACACACCTATCTGAGCCATTCTAAAGTTTCTTGGCGACTTCCTTCGCAACCTCTTTGGCCATGTGTGCGTTGTACTGATGAATGCCCACGCATGTACACCCCGCCGTAGGATCGTGCGACAACGCACAATAGCGGAGCGTGGAAAAGGTATCGCGGAGCGTGCGCAGTTCCTGGTGTAGTCGCACATTGGTTTGTTCAATCTGTTGCGCGTGTTCCTCAATTTCTTTGGCTTTGGTTTTCTTTTTCCGACGCGTCTTTGCCGCCGCGATGCGATTCTTCTCTCGGCTGACCTTGAGCTTCACGTCTCCTGGGCTGTCATCACCAGCTTCACTGCCGGAAGGACTCTCGTCGACAGGGTTTTCTGTGCGGTGCATTTCTTCCGACGGAAGGCTGCCGCTACCGTGGGGCCAGCTGGATGGAGCGACGTTGGTCATGTCCACCGCGCTCTGAGCCGTGCGCAGCCCTGTGATATTGCGCTGGCTGAACATGGGGGATTGGAGCGGCCTTTCTTCGAGGCCGCTCTCTGCGACGTTTCCTGGAGTCAACGTACGCATCCCGGGATGAGCTTGATAAGTTGTTGCAGACGTGTCGCTTGTCGTAAACTTGTGTCCACCCACGGGTAGCTCGTGCGTGTGGTACAGAGGGTGTGTCTGTGTTGGTGGGTATGGAAGAGTGTTGGTGGTGGGCATGTCCGGTGACGCGGTCAGCGATGGGTATGTGGCGATCTGATCATCCCCCCAAAAGAAACCCGCATTGTGAAGACTTTGATATGACTGGGTTTCAAGATCTAGCGAGTAATGTTCGGGGAGCTGTTGCGTGAGCCATGTGTTTGGGGTGGGTAGTGGAATGGTTTTTCGATCATCGGTGGCGTCTGACACCTGGGCGTTGCCCGCTCCTTCGAAGGAGAGCGAAGGCTCGTGGCCTTCGACTCTGGGGGAGTTGCTGTACGTGTACTGTCAGCTTGATGGTGTCGATGACGTCTGGACGTAGCTCCCGTGGCACAATAACACGCACCTTGCCATGATATGCGCGCCTCTCGACTGTCGCTCGCGGTGCTTGTTCTGGTATGTGAGTTGTCAGGCGGATGGCGAGATGCTGGAGCTGCTGCTGTTGCTGCTGCTGCTGTGTTATGACCCCGTGACTAAGGGCAGTGACCTACTACACAAGGTCGCATTGGAGACTGCTCTCCTCCATAGAATACCCGACGCAGTCAATAATTGCGAGTAGGCGCCCAGCGTACCCGAGCACGAGGACTCGCTTGACATGGCCCATATAGCCACGGCTAGCACACTGCCGCCATTGATCGAATTTTGTGGCCATTCCAGTAGCCCACACCTACAATAAGATATCTATACAGCATTGGGAGGCTCGTCCATGACTGCAAGTCTGATGGTAAAGAATTGGAGACAAGCGCACCAGAGAAGCGCCTAGTATCTTCTTTCGGAGCTTCCGTGGCGTCACAACAAGGCACAAGGTAAGAAAAAATATAGGCCACGGCCTCGGAGCCGTGGATTCCTCGGAGGATGCTCCGGCACATGCGCATCCCTCACTGCTCCCGAGGCGTGTTCCGCGTGAAACAGCATCGGGAAATCCTGATGACCGCGTCTTCGCGCATCGGAGCCTCACAGAATAGGCACGGGCCGTCCGCGTGTGGACTGCCATTTGCTACAGGCCTTTGAACCTGGCAGGACACTCGGGATGCCCGATACGCAAAGACGCTGAACCCTCACTGCCAACTGGAGCACGATGGTCGGTGGAATCTCTTGGCGCGCCGTCGCTTACCATCTGAGCTCATCCTGACCTGGGGCATGACAAACCTCGTCTCTTCAGACGTCCCAACGCCACATCACTACCTACCTGATACGACGACCAGCAGGCAACACCCCAATCACCTCCGGCGCGATGGAAGGACGGGCTTGGTTGGCGGGCTGGCTGAATGCAGTTTCGGTACTTCCTCATCTAGCGGAAGAATCATCATATGACGTTGGTGGGCAGCATCCTTGCATGATGCTGCAGATTTCGCTTGTGCTTTCACGTGATGCCAGAGCGGCCGACCAGACGCCGTCCATGTGCGGCAGCGCGGTGGACGCGAGCTGGGGCCAGACTGCCAGAGGACAGTACATGAGGTGTCGTAGAGAATGCTACATATACGTTGCAGCCCATGTGTTGTTGTTGCATCGCAGGGGTCGGAGAGCAGTCCATGCGGGAAGCGGGTGCCGTATGATTGGTGGGGAAGTGGGAATGGTGACCGTGTGTGAATTTGACCGCGGTGTCTTGAAAATTTTGTACACGGCCGGAACGATTGTTATCGGTAGTCCCTCCGAATGTGTAGTGAGTAACCCGTACGGGGACGGAGCTGAGTCCACTAAAGCCGCATGAGTCTGGAACGTCGTCAGCCATTACATACAGGTAAGGTACAGGTGGCCATTGATTCCCAGTTGTGCAGGATACATGTACCCTCAGAGCGTTCGACAGCCGATGAAGGCAGCGCACGCGTCAGAAGCCGCTCGATACCACTGCACCTACCATGTACCTGACCTTACACAGACATGTGTGCACGAGGAGAACGTGTCAAGAGCAGCAGGATGGGGAAGATGGAAAACAGACAGCACGGGGAGGAGTGCTGGGTAAGGTGGGCTGGGAGTCTCTGTGAAGCTGAAGAAGATGGCAGCAGCAGGAAACGTGGACAGGAGCAGGAGCATGTCATTTCGACCACAAGCACGAGCACGACGGCGACCACAACGACGTCAAGAAGGGGCGAGCACGCGGTGTTGAAACATCCAGGCTGGCAGAGATGTCTTGCAGATAGCCACGTGGGATGCGCAGAGGTTGATCGGCCGGAAACCTTAATGGACTCCACCAGCAGACATCATCGTCATCACAGTCTCTCCCGTCAACTGAGTGTTTTCAGGTCCGCCTTCACATGCCAAGGCCAGTCATTCGGACCGTGAACGCATTCCACAGGCAAGTTGCAAGGAATGATGGAAAGCAGCACGCACCTTCTCGCTCTTTCCACCTCGGCCTCGCCCCTTCCCACTTCATTCAGCGTCACATGCCCGTCAAAGCAGCCTGTCCCACCCTACGTCACTGCCCTGATGGGTCTCTCTATTCGAAATTAATTGGCTTAGCTGGGTCGCGCCTTCACTTGTGAGCGCATCACGCGTCATACGCGCCTCCCACCTGCTTGCAGCCCACATTCACTCCAGCAAGAACGTTGTGGAGGGGTAGCAACCACACTTGACTATAAGACCACTTCTTCCAGCCTTCGTCCTCCCTCTCATCTACACCAACACAAGCAAGCCACTTCCACAAGCAACTCTCAACACACAACCACCAAAACCAACCACCAACCAACCCACCACCACCTACCAACAACATGTCTGCACCAAACGCTGATAAGCCAAATGAGGGCATCGTCGGCCAGATCGGCAACTCCATCCAGAACGCCGCCAACTACGTCTCTGAGAGCGTCCAGGGCAAGTCTGCTGAGGCTTCCAAGGAGGCCAACAAGGAGCAGGCCAAGGGCAACACACCAAACTCTGGTCTCGGTGACCGCCTCAGCGGTGCCACCGGCGCTGTCAGCGACAAGCTGAGCCAGGAGAAGCACGAGGGCGCTGCTTCTGCCAACAAGCACTCGGTCTAAAGTGGTTCGCGCTTCGTCCACGATTCACACAGGTTCGTTGCCACTTCCTGGCTCTTGATGTGAATACCATGCTAACTCTTATCTCCAGACACGACTTCACCACCTGAGCATGACTGAAGGATGATTGAAGCATGACTTTACGGCAGCATTGAGCCCGCTATTATGGCGCGGACAGGACAGACCTCAGATACCCCAGAATCAATTGCTTTCTGAAACCCCTACCCATTTGTTACTATGTTTCTCACTTCTTCTCTGGTGACGCCATGTTCTCACCTGCTCCTCCCATATATGTATCTGCCCTTCGCGGATAGTGCCTTCCGTGTCAACGATGCCTCTCATGCGGCCACCAGTGATGAAGTTTGCCTTGCAACAGCTGTGAATGCAAGGCTGCGGCCTGAATGTGTTTGGGAAGTTTCTAGCAAGACGGAGATTCACTACCTTGATGGCGAATACCTTGGGGCTTGTGCGAAGAGTTTACATGTAGGGCGGGAGTATGTATCGCGAACTAGATGTTTTGCCTTGGCTTTCTGTCTTCCTCAAATCAGTAGAAGGTACTAGGAGGTAGGAGGTAGGAGGTCGGTACCAAGGTAGGTACCTAGGTAGGCAGGAGGTAAATGTAAGGTACCCTAGCCTGGCTTGGTCTGGTCTGGTCTGGCTGCCAAGAGGGATAGCTTGACTCCCGTCTCCTAGCATTTTACCTTCAGGTAGGCAGGTACCTTATACCGTATTGGAACGCTCGTAGATGAATACCTGTAGTATGTACCTATGTACTCCAGCAACTTGACAGGAGCCACCAATCATGCTTCCTCAAAACAGGATAGGTATAGGTACGTACATACATGTACCTACCTGACCTACCTTACCTGAACGGTCATCACGACATGTACATGTGCCTACAGTACCTACGTTATGTACCTACTACATGTATGTAGGTACAGGTAGGTAACCAGCCATGGAAGAGAAATGAAAACCAACACCTACGCTATGCTGCTCATCGTCTTCTACTATCCCGCTGCAAATACGAGTCCCGCAGGTCTCGTTGATCTCGTCACTACCATACCGCCTTGCTGATATAATAATCGCTTTCCGCGTTCACAAGTCTTTTGCGTGCTGTATCTTTTGTTCTTCCCCAGACCCCCAGGTATCAGGCTCGTGTGATCAATGCGAGGCTGTTTTCCCCCAAATATCATTGGTGTCATAATCCACGGTGCGCCTACAGCTCAGCTACGACATAAAACAGCATGTACGCTTCGGCATTCAAGACTTCCTTGTCGTCGACTTGCACCACCATACTGTCGTCGAATCGGAACCAGTGTTCAACCTGCTTGCAGTAACAGATGTAGTGTCCGCTGTCGATCTTGCCCTTGTGCACAATAACAGAGGATAACTCGTAGATGGGTTGGTCGGGTGAGATGTCCTCTTCTTCTTCGTCCTCTTCTTTTTCTTCTTCTTCTGTGGACTTGGTTTGCCGCTTTTTCACTGGCATCTTATCTCCGTCTTCGTCGTCGTCTTCACCTTTGTGGTCTTTGGCCGCTTCAGCACCCTTGGAAACACCATTGCCCGCCTTCTTTGCGGGCTCGGTCGATGATTTAGCTGGAGCCGTCACATATGATGATAGGTCCAGCTTGAAGGGGAAGCGAACTCTCGTGTCTACCTTCTGACTCTCTTTGCTGCCCTTGGAATGCGAGAAGCGCTTGAAATGTATCGGAATTACTGGTGGAAGTCGAGTCAAAGTGAGCTTCTTCTTGGCTTCCTTGGGTCCATCGCATTTCCGGCACGTGTAGTTGTCACTGGACAACGTCTCCGCAGTGGTGTATCGATCCAGACACTCCGTCAGGTCCACGGGCAGTTGCTCTTTCACGGTCTGTGTGGCGCCCGTGAGCGCTAGTTTCTTCTTCTTAACGACTACGCCGGCGCTCTTAATGTCCAGACTGAGGTCCATGAAGGCTTCTGATGTGCTGTTCACCGTCTTACACGTGCTGCACGTCACGGTGCTCCTCATCATGCCCGCGAACGTCTGATGCACCACACATTCGCAGTCTTTCGCGTCCTTCTTCTCCTCTTCTTCCGTGTTCGCCTCATGTAGGCTGTTGAGTATGAAACCGAGAAACTCGTGCGCGTCTTGCTGGCTGTAACCTGCGAGATTACCACCATTCTTCCAGCAGCCCTGTAGCATGTGCACAGCGCCGTAACCCTCGTGCTTTTCCGTCCCGTAAAAGTCGGTGATGATGTCGTCGAGAGCGCATGATGTGCATGCTTCGCGCTCGCAATCGGACGATCGATGTCCCTCGGTGAGGTAGTAGGTTCGTATGAAGGGGTTATGAATGAGGGACTGCAGGATCACAGACATGAAGCACGTCTGGCCCATGTTGTAGAGCCCTCGCAAGCCGGTAGCTGCGCATGATATCGATGTAGAGTTGGCAGCCACCAGCTTCTTGTCGTTCTCGTCGGCCAGAGCGGACAACTTCCGCTTCTTGTTCGGAGGTGCTCGAATAGCTTCGAAGGAGATGTCGTAGACGAAGTCCTTGCACACGTGGCAGAAGATGAAGCCATTAGCGGACTCGATGGCTATGATGGGTCAGTCATGGCCGACCACATGTATGTATGCACAAGTACGATATCCATGGATGTTCACGCACCAAAGGTATGGTCTTTCCTGTGCGGCTCTCGCGTGAGGCTGACATAGGGACACTGCAAGCAGAGATATGTCACGCCTCCAGTCACCCCCGTGCCGCTGGGGCCTTTGTGAACTGCCCAGCTAACATTATCCTCCTTCTGCAGAGAAGTAATGGCCTTTTGGTAGCCGTTGATCGCTGCGGGCCGCGCGCTCGTGAGGAGTTGCTTGGTGTGTGCTGGCAATGATTGATTCGGTCAGTTGCACGTCTCATGAATATTTGCTGTGGAGTATTCGAATGTGGAATTGGACTCGGCATACCACAACCAAAGACGGTCTGCAAGGGCGCGCCAGATTTGATGTCCGTCGTGCTCGCCTTCTTGAGGAGCTTTGGCGCTGATGTCGAGGCCGACTCGGGGGTCGCGGACGGGGTCTGGCTGGTCGTCGTCGACATGGAGAAAGGGTCCGACCCACCCGCTGGATCCTTATCTCCCAGTGTGTCTCGTCGTCAAGGACGCGGTCGTTGGCGATGGTGGTGTCGAGTGGTAATTGCGTCGCTGCTCTCTCGTCAACTTAAGGTACTTCTTGACGCTCCGAGCATGTCTGCCCTGAAATAGCTCCGAGTAGCTGCAGCTTAAATCCGGGGAACGGGCCACTCCGCAAAGTCAAAGAGTGTTCAAAGCGCCACTGTGCTATGTCGATCTTCCGACTGCTACAATGGATGGAATACATACACATACAGTACTCCAGTGTGATCGCCTGCAACTCGTTCTCATCTCCGTGCGCATGGACGGGCGTACATCATACAAGACAGTGGCCTGGCCACGTCTATCTGGACACCATAATCAAATGTGCTGTCCGGAACGCGTATCAAGATAACCTGAGTCCTGCGATGTTGCGATCTCGCCTAAATCTCGCCGTGAAAGGTAACAGAAGGCCCCGAAGCCATTCTTTGCCAGTGGCGCAGCTTCCCTTTGGTTATTATGTGCCGGTCGAGATGGTCGGGACGGACACCCTGACATGACACGAAGCTTACGTAAAGCATGCCTTGTCGGGCCAGGTTGCCTCTCGCTGCAGACAATCAGATCGGCTGATTTCTTCGGAGGCATCCTGTACAATCTCAGGCTGTATATAGACGGACATTCAAGCGACAGAGTAGGCGGCGGCATATCCTCGTACAAGAGGTCTTTGATGTGTCGGGAAGCATACAGTCCTTGCCGAAGTGTTTGGTTCCGCAATGTCTACAACTTCGAAGTTGTTGTAGAGTGAGATCTACGGCGAGGAGTCTGCCTCAGGTATAAGAAGATACCTAGCCACGAGGTCCGCGTGATGTGAGACGGCATAGCTTTGAGGCGTCAAGATCTGATCAATCTTTGATAGTGACAGGAACATTCATTGGCGCGAGGCAATGTTGACGATACAGCAATCAGCAACAACCAGATGCTATGCCAATAGGATCACCTTGCCTCATATATACGAGGAGTTTCTAGATGAGTGTGTGCTCATAAGTAGGTATCTATGATCCGGAATACGTAAAGTCTGTATACAGGCAGCTTTACCTCTTCCGGTCATATTGTCGACACAAAATCCAGCAACCCAAATGACCCCTGGGGCCCTGTGTGAGGTGTGGTCGAATTCACGGTATCTCGTGATGCCAGTGTGGTTACATAACCTGTACCTCCTAGCCTCGGCTGTACGTTGAACTCCGTGAAGAGACAGACACTAGACAGAGGACACTGCTAGCTTCATCATCTCTTCACTTCAGTTCCCATCATGTCACATCCGTCATCGTCAATTGCATCTCTACCTCCATCATGACACTTGATGACTGACATAAGTCGTATTGCCGCTGAACATCACCTCAGGACTCAGGTCCTCAGTAATCAAACCACGCCGCCGCGCATCCCTTCCAGCCGGGTAGATCTGGACATGGACCCGACATGGACATGGTCAGATACTGGGGCACCGACGCGCGTGAGTTGCTCTCGAACAACACCCGCATAGCATCAGCAGCGCCGACCAGATGCACACAACCTTTGCGATTTCCTACATCGTCAAGCGTACTCAAGCCCACGCCATACGAGAAGATGACAATGATACCACCATACCTGGCTTGGCTCTCTGCCTGCTTTGAGGAACGCCGAGTACGAACCATCCTTTGAAACCTAGGTACATTTTGAGTTGCAAAGCTATCTGCCACCCCGGCTGTTTCTAGCGAACGAAGCGTTCGCAACAGATACCATTGGCCAACGGGCTGTAAGCCATTGTCAGCTATCGCTAGACGGCAGTTAACATCATGGCTGTCCTGTTCTCTGTCGACCGATCAGATCATCGCGTGAAGCTGGGAGTGGAAATAGTCTCAATGCCCTGCATTCCAGCAGAAGAACCAGCCACGGTTTGTTCTCGCGGCCATAGGACTATTTGCGTTCGGGACTCCGAGCTTACTTTATCAGTGAAGCCAGCATCCCCGTCCACGTGGTCAGTAGCCTATCGCCTTCCTGGCTGCTGCTATCGTGTCCAACACAGAGCTGTTGGTCGAGTTACAGCGGCTGTTTCCTCCAGTCGTACGCACCTTTTCCACGGGTAGGGTTCTAGCTAGACCTACAATGCTACATCTTTGAAAACCTGGTCTAGGTTACATGAGACTGGCTATGAGCTAGATAAGGTCTCGCAACCGCACCTCCTTCACTCGACACGTTTGGGCTCGTGCATCTTTTGCACTCTCTTTCCTCGCGCAGCGACTCGACATGGCGTCTATCGACGAGAAATCTGGCGTCGTCGAAGCCAGAGAGCTTTCAGATGAGAAGAAAGAGAGCACTGATAGTGGATCGTCAGAACTATTCGACGAGCCCTACGTTCCCGACGACAGTGATGAGTTCATTGATCCTCGCCTCAAAGACTACCCCATTCCGCTTGTGGCAAAGACCGGTATGCTCCATTCGGCGCCCTCGATGATTTTGCTATACGGCAGCCGCCTTGTGTGCAACATCGGTAAATTTTGCGCGAAGCTGACCTGCAACAGTGGACTTGCACAATGACCCTACCGAACCAATCTTAACCTTCCGCTTTTGGTTTCTCAGCACATTTTGGGTCATCATTGGCTGTGCCATCTCGACTTTCTACTTCTTCAAGCCATACGATATGGCATTGAGCTCTTACACGATTCAGCTTCTCGCATGGGGCATGGGCGATGCTATGGCTCGATGGCTACCGAAGCGAACGTACACTACCTTTGGCTATCAGTGGTCCCTCAATCCCGGGCCTTGGAATGCGAAAGAGCACGCGCTCATCGTTGTGGTGAGCATTACAAAGGCATCTTTTTCAAAAGCATAGCGTGCGCTAATTCACAGGAAGGCTTACTGGGGCTCCTGCTATACCGCGTATGGACTAGGACCTTTGAGCGCGCTTCAAATATATTATGGGCACAAGATCTCGACTGGTACGTTGCTGTGCCTCAGCCTCTCTCTCTCTGACTCCATTCATCTTCGAATGATACTGACCACACTAGGCTGGAGCATCATATTCCTCCTATCTACGCAGTTGATAGGGTATGGCTTCGCGGGTCTCTTCCGCGATATCTTAGTGCGACCGCCGAGACTGTCAGTGTATTGACAGTCAATTATGACTGCGTACAAGTCTTCTGACACGCTCCCAGGTACTACCCAGGCGTACTGCCGAATGTTGCGTTGTTCAATGCAATGCATCGCAATCCGACCGTCACAAAGAAATCCATCAAGTTCTTCGTATGGATTGCTACAGCTGCCTTTGTGTATCACTGGCTGCCAGAGCTGGTGAGATGATCACTGACTGTGTGAAGGTTACTTTTACAGCGCTAACCATAAACTCTCTATTTCCAGATGTGGCCGGTACTTGCTTCTCTACCCATCATCTGCTATATGGGCCACGGCAATCCCATAGCTTATGTCTTGGGCTCTGGTAACAAAGGATTTGGTTTCCTCACGCTCAGTCTTGACTGGAATTACCTCAACACAAGCGCGCTTGGCGGTCCTATGTACACCCCTCTCTGGTCATATATGACGCAGTCCGCAGGCGTCATTTTCGTGTGCTGGCTCTTGTATCCAATCCTCTACTACACGAAGACGCTCGATGCACAGACCTTCGCTGCGATGTCGTCGGACACTTTTGACAAGAATGGATCTACGTACAACATCAGCAGAGTGATGACCCCACAATACACCTTGGATCAAGCAGGCATGGACGCGTACTCGAGACCTTATTGGGGTGTATCCTACGTCTTCTCCTTCTTTGTCAGTAGACCCGTGGTAGCAACGGCGAAGGCTCACAACTGACTGATCTGGACAGTGGGGATTCGCATCGAGCACCGGTGCAATGCTTTATGCTGCGCTATGGTATGGCTCCTACGTCTGGGCTGCAGCCAAGAAGCCTTTCCAGAAGGGAGACACCCGTGAGGACTACAACGATCCATACGTCAAGCTCATGTCATTTGACCCACGAGTGTGAGTGCACTTACCAAGAAGGCAGTTGTAGGGCGAGACTAACCTTACATCTCAGGCCTCACTGGTGGTACGGCGTTATGCTTGCCATCTGCGTTGCTCTCTCCCTCGGCACCATTTACGGAGCTGGCCTGCAGCTGTCTTGGTGGGGCTTCCTCCTCATGGCACTCATCGCCTGGATCTTCACTTTCCCTAATGGCATCCTCTGGGGCGTTGCGAATCAGCAGATCGGAATGTCCTACCTGTCTGAGGTGATTGCCGGGAGTCTGTTTCCGGGACAGCCCATATCTGTACTCACCAGCATGACATATGCTCGTCAGATACTCGAGCAGAACCTGAACCTCATTTCAGATTACAAGTTTGGCTTCTATATGAAGATTCCCGAGAAGGAGATGTTCATTGGCCAAGTCTGGTGAGCTCAAAAGCATCTGCGTTGCTGGGATTGTGCTAATGCCATACAGGGGTACCGTACTGGGTCCTTTCGTCAACGTCGTTTTGATGCAAGTCGTGATCGATAAAATTGGCATTCCGACGCTCAAAGGCGACATTCCTTCGGTCAATTGGCTGGCTGTAACCTCGAGGAGCTTCTACTCGATCTCTGTTCTCTGGGGAGTCATTGGACCTAAAGTGTTTTTCGGAAGTGGATCGCCATACCACTTTGTGTAGGTCTTTGCCCCGTCATGCTTTCGGAAAGCGGCACACTTTTTGCTAACACAATCCGACTGCGCCGCAGATACTACGGCTTTATCTTAGGACCCGCAGTTGTCCTCATTGTCTGGCTTATACAGAAATGGAAACCCAACTGGAACAGCGAAATCTACTGCAACCCAAGTCTATTCTTTTACGGTGCCTGCAGGTTTCCAAATTCTCCGATGACCAACTTCTTCCCCGGATTCCTTGTGTCGTTGACATTGTAAGTTGGACCTGTCTCTGGAGATTCCGAGAAACGACGGCACTAATTCTTCCGCTCAGTATGGGTGCCCTCTACCGATGGCGACCAGCCTGGTGGCGCAAGTACAACTATCTTCTTGGCACAGGATTGGATTGCGGGTAAGTTGATCAATTATCATTTCACTGCGGCTCTAGATGACTTGGGATGATGCTAACAACTCCCTCAGCACCCAGGTGATGCAAACCGTTCTGATCTTTGTCGTCAATCTTCCTGGTCTGAGCTTTCCAACTTGGGTGAGTGCCCCACAATGATGTGATGAACCGACACAAAAGTCAGATGGATATATCAACTAACCAATGTGTTCTCTTGTGTAGTGGGGAAACAACCCCAACGTCGTGGATCTCTGCTTCCCACCGAATAGTAAATTGCCCCCGGCTATGCAAATCATCCCAGACTCTTCTTGAGGAAGACGCTTGGGGCTGGGGAGAGGAGAAGATGGGAAGGAAACATGGAGAGGCGTAACATTTGCCCTTTGATCTCACACCGTCTCGTCGACATATCGGAGAGGAACTGCGAGCCTGGAAATGTCGCACTATAGCTGACTGATAGATGATGACCCAACTTGAGTAACGATGCTTGATCGGAATAGTTGGTACTTCAATGATTTTACCTGTTTTAGCCACTACATCTGTGCACTACCACTGCACTCTGCTTCGCCCTTTCGCCACGCTCACATGACTGCTTTTGCTACACAGACACGGGTCAATTGGGTCCGAGCAGATATATTTGACTGCCTAGCTCAGGCAGGGTAGCCTCCTAGAAGACCCGCTGGAAGGCATTATTTACATGCTCTTAGATAGTATTGCAAGTGACTTTGGTACCTCTGTTGTAGCGACTGTACTACCCGGAGCCGTGTCCGGTCTCGGCGAGAGAATTGCGTTTCTGAACTTCCTCCCTTCATGTTCCCTCAAACATCGTCTCCGTTCTCCGTACCTTTCATATCATGACCATATCGTCCATACATCATCGTAAGGTAGACGGCCTCATCGCATCAGCCGCACCCGTATGCAGCAATTGCTTGCGAGCGGAGGATTGCAACTTGTCGGTAGATGCCGGAAGTACAGCTCATGCAGTCACTCCCTCGACCTGGCATGCCATGCCATGCCATGCCATGCTTTGCTCTCGCTCTCGCTCTCGCTCGCCACTGCTCACCCTTATTGATCCTGCTTGTAGTCACCATACAAGCCTCGTGGCCACGTCAAGGACTTCTCGCCGCAAACATTACTCAACTTGGCGACACAGGGCACTGTTCCTTGGCAAAAAAGACTGAGCTATTGTCAGAGCTGAAAGTAGGTGTACATGTACTTCACAGCGCTCCGACGGTATTGGTCATCATCATACCCATTGGGGACGCGCAAGCCCATTTGGACTATGAGCTGTGCAGAAGCGCTCAGTCCGGGCCATGTGGACGATCATTGAGCGTGGCACAGCAGCTTGTTCTCGAAACACCAACAAGAACAATCCTGCCGCAAGTATTTCCATCTACTGCACATGTGCTTAGCGATCTTCCAGACTGCATTCTCCACCTTTCTCCTACAAATCATGTGCCGGTGTAGGGGCACCCTTTGTCGTACAGCTCACGCTGCACAAGCAGTTCACTGACATTTGAAGTAGTCTCTTCCCACTTTTTGATCGGCAGTACTGGAAGCGATAGAAGACGTGTTTCAGCGTTTCAGCCCCTACCGACGGAGAATGTCTGGCCAATATTTCGAACCTCCCGTATCCTCTGGGGAACAATTCTACGACTTCACCGATCTTCTCAACGTGCCGCAAACTACACATGCAACCGGCTCAGGCCCAATCTTTGTACCGCATGTGTACGAGAGTGTTGCCGACCAGCATGGACAAATATACAACGGATATCCGCAGTTTTACCAGCAGCCGCCTCCAGCTCAGCAGTATTATATGCAAATACCAGTGCCAGAACAGCAGCAAGAACAGCAGCATCAGTATAAACAGCAATGGCACCAGTCCGTCAGCCTACCTACCGACGCCACCACCGCCTCTCACTCCACAGCAGGCTTCCCGCACTATTTAGATGCTATTGACTTCAGTTCCAGACTTCCATCCTCCACGTCAAGTCGGACACTAGGCGCTCATCTATCCCCCGAGATGAACAACAGCACACGAGCATCACGCGCAACTTCAGTCGCAGAATCCATAGCCAGCTCCGTCCTGAGTTCCCAAACGGATTTCTCGCGTGAAGACTCGCCCAGTACAACAGAAATGTCCAAATGGGCCCACCGCAACAGCTCAGGCACATGGTCGTGCGCATACCCCGGATGCACATCCCAATCGCGCTTCAAACGAGGCTGCGACGTCCGCAAACACTACAAACGACACACGAAATCGTTCTACTGTCGTCACCAAGGCTGTCCGCAAGCGGTGGAAGGAGGGTTTTCGAGTAAGAAAGATCGCGCTCGGCATGAGGGGAAGCATAATCCGGTGATTGTGTGTGAGTGGGAGGGCTGTGGGAGACTGTTTAGTCGGCAGGATAATATGGTGAGTGGAGTTGTAGTTGAATTACTACGTGATGTGTGTGTGTGAGAGAGGAGAAGAGAGATGCTTACTGTTACTTTCACTACAGAAGGATCATGTCAGGCGACTTCACAAGCGTCGCGTACAATGAGCCTACCCACGTGGCAAAAGGGGAACTCAGTGTGTGGTGACACGACAGCTGGACCGCGTCGGCTATTGATCACCTGATGTGGAGAGTCACGCTTGACATATCGTGTGTGAGGGAGAGAATATAGAAAGAAGATATGGGTGGTGGTAGTGTAGTTGGAGTCTATGCTGAGTAGGTATGTATAGTGTAGTATAGAATGATATACCATAGATTGAGTACTGATAAGGAGAAGATAAGGTAGACAACAAGCCGATGTAGTTCACTCGATGTTGCATCCCCAGGCACCTACATCTACTGTACGTGTAGGTATGCATATCCCTATCCTGATCTACACATCTACAAGTGTAAGTAAGACTTGCACTATTGTATTGTATCCACGTAAGCCATCTTCTTCTCGCCAACAACAACAACAAACAACAACAAACAACAACAAAGTCTCAAACTTTCCCACTCCCCGACAACCAGTCCAGTCTCACCCTATCCAACCAACTCTCTTCTCCAGCCTACAGCCTCTCTCAAAAACCATTCCTTTTTTTTTTCTTTTTCCTTATCGATAAACGATAAACCCTCCCCCATCTTCGTTTCGTTTCGTTCAAAACCATCCCGCCAAGCCTCCAAGAATCGGTAAGGTACGGGAGGTACCCGACTAGGTACATGTTAAAAACGCACCGACCACTGCAACGATGCATCCAATCAGATTATGCCAAACAGGCTACTAGTACCTCCTAGTAGAGAGAGAGAGAGAGACAAGAGATCAACGGCTCGGATCGGTTTTCCTCCTCCTGACCTTTCTTTATTGTCTTTCGTAGGTACTAAATGAGTGTTGAGGAACGAGTGTTCTGAAAGAATATTCTTGCTGCCTGGTTTGCCGAGGTGCGTCGTTTTCGTATTTTTTTTTTGTTACTGGAGGTATAGGAGGTAGGAGGTGGAATTTGACATGTGAAAAGGGTTGCCGAGGAGGAGGTTCCCCCACATTTGATTTCTGGGCTAGATCGAGGTAAAAGTAGAAAGTGTACCATGTTCAGCTACTGCAGGTAGCCGTGTATACATACCACATGTAGTGACTAGTCTGTACCGATGACCTAGGTAAGGCTGCTAAGGTAGAGGTAGCTATAGGACAAGGACATACTTTCACCATAAACCGATGTCATCACCTTTTCTTACCTGTACCTCCTACCGCCGACCACCTCACCTCTTCTTTCTCAGCTTCCTCTTACATTCGCCCAATACCATCCGGATATGGCTGCTGCTGTCCCTCCATCTCTGATCCGTCTGGGCATCAACGTCCTCGTCACTTTGACCATTGTCAACACTTTCCCGCAATACCTGCCCGACCATGCTCTCCTCTACGTCTTTGTTCGTCTGCTGGCTCTACAGCTCATCCTTCTCGCCATCTGGAACTTGGCCATATATCCCTTCTTCGTCTCGCCACTGAGACACTTGCCAGGCCCAGGTATCAAGGTCAGTGTGGGAAGAAGGCTGGAAAGAATGCATTGCTCGTCTATCATCACTGACTGACAGCTATACCACCACCACCACAGGGCACATTCCCTTTCATTGGCCATGGCCTCACCCTGTTTGAGAAGCCTGCTGGGACCACTCACTTGAAATGGATGAAGACGATCCCCAACGAAGGATTAATCCACTTCCGTGGCTTCTTTCACTCCGATCGCCTGCTCGTCGTCAGTCCCAAAGCACTTCAGGAGATTTTGGTCACCAAACCCTACGAATTCGAGAAGCCTGCGCCGTTGCGGAACTTTTTGCGATATATTCTGGGAGATGGATTAATCATTGTGGAAGGAGACTCGCACAAGTTCCTACGCAAGAATCTCATGCCCGTCTTTAGCTTTCGTCATATCAAGGAACTGTATCCCATCTTCTGGACCAAGTCGGTGCAGATGATGCAAGCTATTAGCCAACAAGTCGTCGAGTCGCCCGAGTCTGCAGATAGCAAGACGTCGATTGTGGAAATTAACCACTGGGCGACCAAAGTCACGGTCGACATTATTGGTCTGGCAGCAATGGGTCAGGACTTTCAGGCACTGAAGAACAGCGACGATCCACTGGTCAAGGTCTATGAAGAGCTTCTGGAGCCTTCCTTTGAGAAACAAGTCTATTTTGCCGGCCAGATCCTAGGCCCAGCCAAGCTCATTCGAAGTCTACCACTCCAGCTCAATTATCGTACCAAGCACATCACCGAGACACTGACCAACATTTGCCTCAAACTCATTGCCGAAAAGAAGGAAATGATCAAGACGGAATCCGAAAGTCACAAGGACATTCTCTCCCTCTGCATCCGATCCAACAACTTCTCCGATGTCCAACTCGTCGACCAACTCCTCACTTTTCTCGCCGCCGGCCACGAAACCACCTCTTCCGCTCTCACATGGACCGCCTACCTCGTCGCCAAACACCCCGAAATTCAAAAATCCCTCTACGAAGAAATCCACTCGACCCTCCCCTCTCCCAACCAAACCATTTCCTCCGACTCCGACTCCGACCTCGCCTCCAAATTCGAATCCGCCCCTCTCCTCAACGGCGTCTGCAACGAAGCTCTCCGCCTCTACCCCACCGTCCCCATCACAATCCGCACAAACCCGCACCCCGTAACCCTCCTCAACCAACACATTCCCTCTTCCACCCAATTCATCCTCTCCCCCTGGGCCATCAACCGCAACCCCTCCTCCTGGGGCCCCGACGCCGACTCATTCCGCCCTCAACGCTGGATCGACACGGATCCCACTACCGGCGAACCCCGAGCAAACAACCACGGAGGCGCGACGAGTAATTACGACATTTTGACATTTTTGCACGGACCACGAAGTTGTATTGGACAGGGGTTTGCTAAGGCGGAATTGAGATGTTTGGTTGCTGCGCTTGTGGGGAGGTTTGAATTGGAACTTGCGAGGCCGGATGAGGAGGTTGTGCCGCATGGCGTGGTGACTACTAAGCCGAGAGATGGAATGTTTTTGAGGTTGAGGCCGAGGGGGGAGGGGTGGTGAGGAATAGAGAGGGGGGAGTTAAGGGGGGTTTTTTGGAAAGGGTAAGGTAGGTATTATGTATACGAGTATAAGAAATTATTGAAATATATATATAACAAGTAAAGTCTTATTTTTCCTAGGCTATCTCTATGTCTTTAAAATCTCTAAAATTATCTAAGTAGTCTATCTAGTAGTAAGGTAAATAAGAGAAAAGTAGAGATAAGTAAATAGTTCTCTCTAACTATCTCTAACTCTAAAGAATACTCTTAAATTGTCTAAGTAGTCTATCTAGTAGTATAGTTAAGAAGAGACAAGTAGAGAGAGGAGAAAAAGAATTACTTACCTTTAGAAAAAACAAAAAATAATTCTAACTAGTTACCTTCTCTCTAAAGCCTATTAATTCTCTAATCTTACCTCTATTCTCTAGTAGTTAGTATAGTTAAGAAAAGACAAGTAGAGATAAGTAGAGAAGAGAAAAATAACTTACTTGCCTTAGAAATATCTAAAAGAATTCTCTCTCTTTCTCTAAATTCCCTAACTTTCTTTCTCTCTAAAACCTAATAATCCTCTAATCTTACCTCTATTCTCTAGTAATTAGTCTAGTTAAGAAGAGACAAGTAGAGAAGAGAAAAGAGAAAAAGAATTACTTGCCTTAGAAAAAGATCAATTACTTGCCTTTAGGAAAATCTAAAAGAATTCTGACTTTCTTGCTTTCTTACTCTTCTGCTTTCTTTCTCTCTAAAACCTTAAAATCCTCTAATCTTACCTCTATTCTCTATTCTCTAGTAGTTAGTCTAGTTAGTAGAGTTAATAAGAGACAAGTAGAGAGGAGAGAATAACTAGTTTTTGTCTTAGAAAAATCTAAAAGATTTCTTACTCTTTCTCTAACTCTCTAACTCTAAATTCTCTAACTCTCTAAATCCTAATACTTCTCTAATCTTACCTCTATTCTCTAGTAGTTAGTAGAGTTAATAAGAGATAAGAAGAGACAAGTAGAGAGAAAGAATTACTTGCCTTATATAACAGCTAGGCCTAGAGGCATATAACTCTAGAGGGTAGTCAGGTATTTAAGCCTAAGGTACGCTAGCCTAAGACAGGACGGGCTACGGAAGCAGTACGATCCGAGTCGTCGGGCGATCGGCTATTAGGCGACCGCCCGCGTAGCGTAGCGCTAGCGTATACTTGGCGTAGAGGTATATTATACGACGCCGCTCTCTCCTTTCTAAAGGACAAGAATTAGTTTGTTCCTTTTCCTACGTAGTAGGAAGGACGCTCTATATATTACTATATACCTCTACTCTTATATTTCTAATTCTTCTATCCTTCTAAAGGGTAGTAATCTATAGAGGTCCTATAGCCCTACGATAGCAACGCGACTATACCGTAGCTATAGCGTAGGCGGGCCGCGTTATCGGCAAAGTAGACGAAGATGCCTAACCTTCCGAGGAGACGGTATCGGGCCCTATAAGTACCTAGGCAGACGGGAACCTAAGGGAGACTTCTTTCGAGGAGGCTCCTACCTAGCTAGAAGCCTACGTAGCCGACCTGTATACTAGACGTATATAGCTCGAGGAGGCAAATTAGCGTCTCCGTATAGAGTTAGAAGTTTAGGCCCTCGAGAGGGAAAACTAACGTCTATAGGAACAAATTTAGGGCCGAGTACTAACCCTAACTATTATAGTTACTATAGACGACGACGACGCCGAGCCCAACCTTCTTAACGGGCTCGAAGAAGACCTTAGGTTAATAGATCTACGCGACGTATACAGACGGGCTACGAACCTATCGCGTAGCTTGTATTCTCTATATAGAGGTTCTAAGATTCGGGAACTAAAGCCCTTTAAAGGAGACACCGACAAAGAGTACCGTAATTTTATTAGATACCTCGAGGTTGTCTTCCTTAGTACCCTCCGAAAATATCGAACCGATTAAGACAAGGTCCTATATAGTATTATATAGCTCGTAGGCGAAGTATAGGAGACGTAGTACGACGAGTATTCCGACGTAATCCCCGAGGACTATACTTAGGAGGAATTTAAGGGATAGCTTCGTAATACCGTTAGCGATTAGTCGAACCGTTAGATTAGCGTAATAATCGAGTACGAAAGAGTACGTTAAGGCCCGGACTAGAGTGTCTATTATTTTGCAGTATAGCTTAGTTATCTAGAAGCCTAGTTTGACTATACGCAAGCGTAGCTAATACGCTACTTCCTCGCAAAGTTAAAGCCGTCGCTACGTAGACGGTAGGGATATCGTTAAGGGACATACTATCCCTAATACGCGAGTAGAGCTCGTAAACCTAGTAAGGCGCCTAGAATAAGTAGACAACGCCCTAGCAGTCCGTACTAAGGACGAGCCCTATCGGCGCGACTATAGTATATAGAGCAAACGTAAGCGTACCGAGAGCGACGTACCGCGAAACTACAATCGATAGGATCGTAGTAAGAGTAGGGCCCTACGCGACGGCCGTACCTTATCGACCGCAACGCCTTCGATAGTACGCGGATACGAGAACCTAGAGTATTACTCCTATAAGAAGAAGGGACATATCGCGACCGACTCCGTATACCCTAACTACGCGAGCCGCGACAAGGCGAATACGGACTAACGGTTCGTAGGGTTACCGTACCTAAAGAGTAAGCGTCGAAAAAAGAGAAGGTATTAGAGAAGAGTCGTAATCTCTAGATACTAATCTTGACGGCGATATACCTTTGCCTATCTAGGTATACTATACTCGTATCCTCGAAGGATAAGTCGAGACGTATAAGGGGCGTACCCCTACTACTATACTACTCGACGATGCCGCTAACATTAACGTAGTATTACGTAGCTTCGTACTAAAGTATAACCTTGCGGTCTATAGGAACGTACTCCTACCGCCGGCGAGCTCGTTTATAGGCTAGTTAGGCTACTACTACGGAGCGTACTATATCTATATAACCCTTATAGACTCTATAGGTAACGAGTGTACGATAGGCAGCTTGTTTTATACCTACGATACGCTGGAACCTAATCTTATCCTAGGGCGGCCGTAGCGTCGTACCTAGTAAGTAGTAGTAGATAGTACTACCGACGAATAGCGCTATAGTAGCGAGCACTTGTACGTTAAGGTCCGAGAGGTACCTGATTTCTTTAAGGACTTAAAGAACTCGTCCTACGTATACGTAATAATAGTACGTAGGACAGACGTAGGATTAGAGCTTACGGAGTTGCCGATAGAATATTAGGACTACTACGACGTCTTGTTTCCTATAGACGAACAACGTAGTAAACTAGTAGATAGTATAGAGTATACGATCGACCTACGGCTAGGTACTGTTCTACCGTTCCGACTGTTGTACTACTAGTCCGGCGCTAAACTTAAGTACCTATATAAGTATATTACTAATGTACTAGAATACGACTAGATTAAGACTAGTATAAGTAAAGTAGGCGCGCCGGTACTGTTTGTACCTAAGAAGGATAGTTTACTACAATTATACGTAGACTACTATAGCCTAAACGAGATTATAGTTAAAAACCGGTACCCTCTACCCCTTATAGGCGAAACGCTAGATAGGCTTATAGGAGCCGAGTAGTTTACGTACCTAGACTTAGCCGATGCCTACTACCGTATTAAGATTAAGGAAAGCGACCGCTAGAAGACTACGTTTCGTACGCGCTACGGCTACTTCTAGTATAAGGTTATGCCTTTTAGTCTAACTAATACCCTAGTAACGTTCTAGGCGTATATTAACCGAGCCCTAGTAGGATTAGTTAATATTACCTACGTAGTGTACCTTAACGATATCCTTATCTATAGCAAGATACGCGAGTAGTATATAAAGGACGTACGCGAAGTACTTAAGAGGCTCCGCAAATTCGTACTCTACGTATAGCGCGTAAAGTGCAAATTCTTTATAAAGGAGGTTAATTACCTTAGGTTTGTCGTAACCCCCGGCGGCGTAAAGATAGACTCTTGTAGGGTAGACGCAATTAGAGCGTAGCTAATACCGACTACCTTAACGGAGGTATAGTCCTTTCTAGGATTTGCGAATTTTTATCGTAGATTTATCTTCGAGTACTCGAGGATCGTAGTACTCTTAACGGTACTATTAAAGGGAGCCGTAAAAGGTAGGAAGCTAGGACCGATCTAGTAGGGCGCAGCTAAGGAGTATACGTTTTAAGAGATTAAGCAGCGTTTCTAGTAAGTACCTCTATTAAGGCATTTTGACCCGGCGTTACGGCTACGTATCGAAAGCGACGCCTCGGCGTTTGCTATCGTAGGTATTCTAAGCTAACTCTTCGGCTCTAAGTAGTATCCTATCGCTTTCTACTTCTATAAGATAATCCCTATAGAATATAACTACGAGATATACGACTCGGAATTATTAGTAGTAGTCGAGTTATTTAAAGCTTAGCGGCTATACTACGAAGGCGCCTAGTATACGGTTAAGGTACTCGTCGACTACGCTAATTTAAGAGGCTTTATAGGCGTAAAGAAACTTACAGGTCGATAGGCCCGTTAGGCGATATTCCTAGCGGCTTTCGATTTTACTATTATCTACTAGGCAGGTAAGCGAAACCTAGCCGACGGTCCGTCGTAACGTAGCGATTATATACGTAAGTCGCGTAAGGTAACTAACCTCCTCCCTACCCTATAAACTAAGCTGTAGCTATAGGACGGACGTACGCTAGAAGTAGATAGTCCGAAGGTATTGCATATCTATATTACCGGCGATCGCTTGTACTATAGCGTTAAGAGAAGTACCGACGCTAACCTATAGTAGTACTATACGTCGCCTATCCGCGTCGCCTAAGTAGTATTAAAAGACGAACAACTATACGCGAACGTCTCTAACTTAATTCTAATATATACCTGCGCGTAGGCCTTATTATAGGTACAACCTACCCTAGTAGGTATATAGGGTAGGTTAGGTATTAGCAATACCTAATAGGTATAGGTATTTAGCTAGGTATACCTAATTTATCGGGTTGGGTACAAACCTAGTAGGTATTGCGATACCTAGTAGGTATTGCGTACCTATTAGGTATTAAATCTTCGTATATAAAAATAAAAAACCTAGAAACCGGGTGCCCTAACGAGA